GGACTAGCATGTTGGGGCCACTTTTGGAAGCTTTAGGGCCTTCATATAGGGAAGGTAGAAATCAGAGGTGGAAGAAATGAGGGGCCCTCCAGGACGCAACATGCCCGCCCTAGCCATCAGGCCCCTGAGAAGAAATGAGTCGCGTCATTACGTGTCGATGGCGTATAATACCACGTTGCAAAAGTTGGGCGAAAATTGTCATTTTTGTTCATTTTTCATTAAATCCTGGAATTCGCAATCTTTTCAATAATTTATTTAATTTTTCAGTGGATATGATGTCCAGTTGAATTTTTTTATGTGAAGTACGGTTATATTTGTTTTTTTCTTTAAGCGAAATGTTCCAGATTTATGGTTACGAACCCGCTGACTAGTGAGAGAATAAATTTCCGTCGCCACCAAATTGGAAATTCAAAAAACCTTGTTTTAAAGGTTCGAAAACAACGATTTTACAAGATTTTAGAAGATTCCGTTTTTTGCGCGTTCTTTTTCTTCCAATGGCGTTTTTTTGCCATCGCGGTTTTGGCCCCGGGCGCCCTGGGCAGCGACTTATCAAGGAATGGCCATGGCGGCCTACGTCGTTTTTGAAATGTAAACGTTTGAAAACGCTTAGGGGCGCCATTTCTCCACCTTTGGTAGAAATGGTTCTCAAGGACCTCTAAGGCTGTCACTATAGGGACCACTCTGGAATTCCTAAGCAGGTTAATCGTTTCAAAATCTTCATCTGGAGTGGTTTGACTCATTTTCAAGAAAGTGCTTATGCTCCCAAAAATGGCTAATTTATATAGAATTCAAAGGTTTTTATTGAATTTTAAGATTTTCTACACACATAAAAATTAGGTATCAAAGTTATCTATTTCCACTGTTTTTGGTAGTTTTTTTTTTTTGGACTCTGGATGTCCCTTTTCGGAAAAATAGATAATTTAGTAGACTGAGACTTTTAAGGTTTTTCATCATAGGACCAGTTTCCAAGAATAATATTAAAAAAAGATGAAGCCACTTTTTTTATCTTGAAGCACTAGGCTTACCCCGGGGTGGGATCCAGCCGACGTATCAATCAATCATTTATTTGTTTCTGAACGATTTACTTAGGGTCTTTGAGGCCGCTTATAAGGGGATAAAACACAAAAAATAAAAAGTTAAGTAAACACAGGTGCGTTTAAAGGAATTTTAAAAAAAGCAATAAAAAATATTAAGCAATGATTACTTTTCTAAAGACCCTGGCAGATCATGAATGGTCAAAACAGGAGCTAAGAATACAGTTTCATAAGAAAAGGCGAAAGACTTGCTATCAATACTTCTAAATTTGGGGTGAAGATAAAATCGTGCCTACGGAGATTCCGAAGATCGGAATTGGCATTGATATTTGAAGAAGTTGTAGATGAATAAATATAACATAAGTCAGTTACATGGGGGTCTAAATTTTCGACAATTTACTTCTTTTTCAGGCGGAGGCTTTTCATCCCGTGGGCGCGGTGGAATGCGCACCAACTATAACAATAGAGGCGGCATGTCCAGGAGTTTTGGTACGTTTTTAGATAAAAATGGTTGAATAGCGATATTTTAGGAGCGAATCCACCCCGCGCGGCGACTAAATCCACCTACGGTGGTTACTCAACCTCCCAAAGCGGTAAGGAAAGGGAAAAAAAATGAAGAGAAGCTGAAAATTTTGGGGGGAAGCTCCTTAAGAATCAGTGGGAAGAAAAAAAAATGAGATAGATTTTTGAAAATAGAGATGGCAAACGGTTTCTTTTTTACTGCCTTTTTCCGTCCTTTCATCGGCCTCTATCCGCCCTTTTGGACCCCTTTGAAAAATACAATTTTTTTTAAAAATTAAGAATAATCTTTACAAGTGACTGTGTATGAACCAGAAAAATCTGGAGTAATAAAATCGGGAATAATCAATGTTCGAGCTTCTCAGCACCCTTTTTGCACCCTTTTTGCACCCTTTTTGCATCCTTTTTTGATGCTTTTTAGCTCACCAAGAAAGGCTCAATAAAGGCCGCAAAACGGAACCCTTTTTGCGGTCATTTTGCACCCATTTTCTGCACTTCCGACTTTGGCAGCGCTCTATACAGTACCGCCCAAAAAGATTGTGAACTTTAATTTTTTATGGGGGGCGGGGGGCTAACTTTTCCCTAAGTAGAGATATCAATCTGAATATTTTTTTGCAATGCGTTTTGTGAGATTAAAAATACACACCCGCAAAGTTTCACAAAAAAATAAGCAAGAAAAAAATTTTTGTGTCATTTTTTTCGAACTTTTTGTGAAATACGAATTTTTCCGGATACTAAGTTCAATCCACAATTTTTTTGTAAATAATAACATTTACTGAAGAAGTCAATGTGTATATAAGTTATCCTAGTCTAATACTTGGTCGCGAAACCCCGAGAACTAATCACAGCTTGGCATCGACGAGGCATAGAGTCCATCAAAGTATCGATAGCCGACATCGGTATTTTTTTCCACCCTCCACTCGAAACTACCGTACACTCACTTATTAAATAGTGTGTCAAATCTCCAGAAAAAGTTTCATGAAGATCAGCGCGCTAGGCCTGAAAAGCCAAAAGTTCACAACTTTTTGGGCGGTACTGTAGTTATGACGTCATGTCTGAAATGAACAGTAGACCGTTTTTCTCTGCACCCTCCTCGTCTCTCAGAAACCCTCTCATGTTCACATGATATTTCCGTTTTCTCTGACTTTTCCGGCGAGGGAACAGAGAGACGCAGACACTAGGAAAATGTCAAGTCGCGGTGAAGGTACTATAAAAAATTTCGCAAGAAAAAAAGAGATCAATTTTTGAAAATAGAGATAATATAGTTATGACGTCATGGTTTTAATAAATAGTAGCACGTTTTTCTCTGCGCCTCTCTCATGTTCACATGCTATTTCTCATGTGTCTCTGACCTCGCCGGTGAGGGAACAGAGAGACGCAGACACTTGGAAAATGTCAAGTTGCGGTGAACGGACTATAGAAACATAGGAAAAAGTTTCAAATATTTTTCAAGCCAGACCTTTTTTGAATAGTTCCGAGACCTTTGCAGGTTTCAACGCAAACCAAACGGTGGGAGGAAGCTCTCGTTATGATGATTACGACGCGCCGCGTAGGGATGACAACTACGACCGGAATCGTCGGAACGTCTCCTACCAACAGCCGTCCCCGAACGAAAACTTGCGGGGCGGCTACAATGACGACCAGTATCGTCATCAGAGGGCCGGAAGCGGCGAGAGCGACCGGAGTGGTCAAAGTGGCCGGGGCTATGGCGGCGAGCGGTGAGGATTCGATAGGGACAAAAGAAATCTGTACTTGGGAACTCCACAGTGGTTCCTATAGGCGCTCATTTCATTTTGCCTTCTCCCCTAGGGGCTACTCGAGCTCAAAAAAGTGGCCACTAGAGTGGACAAACCGGTCGAATGAGAAGAAGCACTTCCCATACGAAAAACTTGATGAATCAATTATTTGGATAAAAATTATCGAAAATTGTTGAACTTTCGACTTTTTAATTGGATACAAATTTGCTCAAACACTCTCTGAAGGTCTAGATGAAGATCCCTCATAGTCGTTTCCACCGCAAACATCTAGTTTTTAAGATATGATTTATGAAAGTTTGAAAGAAATGTAATTTAGGCCTGAATTTTCGACCTTCGGATTCAATTATCCTAAAAAATATAAGCTGGAAACTTTGATGAAGTTTCTTATAAACCTTCTTTGTTTGAGCAAGTTTGTAGAAAATTCCAAGTAAAAAAAACGACCTCCTCGTGGGGTCTAATTCTTTGATAAAAGCGAAATTCGAAAAAAAAAGATTGAAAATTTTCATCTTGACATTGAGAAAGTTTTTGGGAAGCTTTGTAAGAAATTCCAAGTCGAAAACTAAAAATACTTTCCCTGTCAGAGACCCTTGAAAAGGAAATTCGTTTTTCCTAGGTTTTAATGAAATTGGTTTTTCCTAGGTAAAATGTAGATTCAAAAAGTAACCTTTTCGGCTATGAGAATTTAAAAAAATGAATCCATCTTCTAAGTATAGCCCGTTCACGGCTGGCTTGGGACATAAAACGGGCGGTTTGATTTTCGCGGCGAAGGTTGATTATGGCGACTATTCATGCGCCTTCGCCGATGAAAGAAAATCTAAAAACCAATGAAATGAATGCAAACATAAAATAAACTTAATAGAAACAGAAATAATTCACCAAAAAAGGCTCTTATTAATGGCACATGTATGGCGGCCATGATCTACCATCGCCGCGCAAATAAAACCGCCCGTTCGCCACGCCTTTTTGCGTCCCAAGCTAACCCTGATTCGGATTTACCATTGAAATTGTAAACCCCCATTGTTTGGCCTATCCCTCGGCGCAAGCCGCTGCGAGTCGGGCGCGGCCAAACATGGGGTCAGCCTCCCTCTTCCTTCCAATTAACTCTGGTTCCTTTGCATTTGACCGAGAAAATCTTTCGCCTTTTACTAAAGATTTCCGTGCAAAGGGGCAACTTTATGAGTATTGCCCAATTTTTGGAAACCCCTCGAAAGAGCGGGTTAAAATACCAAATGCGTGACGATTTTCGAAATTGCGAAATAACAAAAAGTGGGCTGTGCAATCAAAGTATTGATTAACCAGAGATCATGAATTTACGCAATTTCATTGGATTAACTAGGGAACTACTCGGATTCGGGTACCCGTTTCGAGTTGAAACTTTGGTGGCTTATAACTCGGGCAAGAGTACTTGGAAACAAGAGAGATTATCTGCTAAACCCCATAGGCTTCTGAGAAAAAGCTTTTTGAAAATGAACAGTTTAGGCTTGAAAATGATCAATTGTTTGCTTTCCTCCTTCTTTTGACTGGAAAAAAGTTTTTTAGAGTTTATCATAGCCGGATCATTCAAGGCGCTTGTATTAAAATATAAAAAGAAGGTAAAAAAATAGTGTTCTGAAAATTTTCAGGCCTAGTATTCACATTTCCTACTAATTTTTTCTCTATTGGGTTTAGCAAATATTCTTTCTGGTTTTCAAGTATTCTGCTTCGGGTCTATAAACCACTGAATTTTGAACTCGAAACCCGTATCCTAGTCCGAGTAGTTTCCTAGTCAGGCTATTATCAGGATTGGAAATTGGCATGTTAGATAGTCGGTTCGGTCACTTTTTTATAACGACTATTTTTTCAAAATTTAAAAATTTGAAAAGTTTTTTGCGCTATATTAAGGTGTTAGCGGTTTTAAAGTATCTTTTTTGCTTCATTATATGACGAGTTTCGAAGTCAGTTTTTCGAAAATTCTGATCATTATGTTCACGAAAATTCATCTTTTTTTAAAATTTTTCCATTTTCGTCAAAAAAAAAGTGCTATGAAATCTGAAAGAACACTATTTTGCACTTGAAACAGTTTGATTTCGTGACAAATTTAATGGTTGACATGAAATTTAATGAAAAAAAAATCCCAAAATTTCCTATTTTGAGCGCCAATATTCGGTTTTCGAAACTTAAAACCTAACCAAAAAGCGAGTTTTATGCATTTCGAACTGCTAAAAAAATTTTAATATTGAAAAAAACTTAAAAATTTTCAAAAAAATGGCCATATTGAAAAAAAGTGATCGACTTTTCCAGCATTTCCTGGAGACTGAAATTTTTTTTTTGAAGATAATTCCGAAAAGAAAAATCAACAAGTCTAGAAAAAACTGAGATTTAACAAAAAAACCTGTTTTATCAATATTTTTTTCGTCAAGCAGAACTTTTGATTCCTAATTATCTGAAAACTTGATAAGTTTGCGATTCAAAATAGAAAATAGACAGCTGCAAACATTTTTTCGGCTCTATAACAAAGTTTAAGTTTCAACTTTTTGCAGGGACGGGTATTACGCTAGAAATGAAAAGGACTCTTTTTCGAGAAGCAACTTGGAATCGGAGTATCCAAAATGGAGCACCGGCTCTCCGAATGGAGGGACCCTGAAGGTCGACACGCGGAACAGTGTCCCGCCGCCGCCCGGTCTCGGCCCTCGACTCAACCAGGACACACTCGTCCCGCCGCCGCCAGGTCTCGGAAGAACGTCCCACGCGGCTCCCGCCGTCCCGCCTGGCCTCTCCAGGGCCTCACCGCCGGTGAGAATTGGATCTTGTAGAGGGCTTGGCCCGTTTTTCGCGATATTTGGAAGGCTAGGACTTCTCTGCGCCCTCTTATCTTTACGTGAAACTTTTTTTCGCTTCTCTAACTTAGTCGATGAGGGAGCAGAGAGACGCAGACACTTAAAAAGTGTCAAGTCACGGTGAACGGACTATATGATGAAAATTTCGAATTGACCGTGTAAATTGTAAATTTTCACTTTCTGTGATTTATTTTTCGAGAATTGACTCTTGTAGAGATTTTCGTCCGCTTTTCGCGATTTGGAAGTCTGGGGCTTCTCTGCGCTCTCCTCGTCTCTTAGAGACCCTCTTATCTTTACATGCTATTTTTTTAAATTTTCTCTAACCTCTCCGGCGAGGGAACAGAGAGACGCAGACACTTAAAAAGTGTCAAGTCGCGGTGAACGGACTATATGATGAAAATTTTGAATCGACCGTGTAAATTGCAAATTTTCATTTTTTTTTTTTCGTTTTCTCATTTTCTTATCTTCATCCAACTTCAAGTACTGGCTTTCATTTCTGCGCTCAAATCAAAATTCGAATTTTTCGATTTTTCGTCTTCCTCAACCTTTAAAACCTGAATTTTGTACCCTGAATCCGTTTTTTGTAGCATCAAAATTTTTTAGCGATGATATTATCGTATTAATTTATTATTTAGAAGCTCATAAAGACGAAATTTTTTTTTCAAGTTTTTATGATTTCTGGATGACATGACCTTTTCTTGTTTCCACAAGCCTATTTCTTATTTTTAAGCGTAAAATCAAGTCAAATTAAAAAAAATTTTTCTGGAGCTTACTAAGATTTCCACTGTGAACTGACTAGGGAACTACTCGGACTCGGGTACGCGTTTCGAGTTGAAACTTTGGTGGCTTATAGACCCGGGTAAGAGTACTCGGAAACAAGAGAGATTATCTGCTAAACCCCATAGGCTTCTGAGAAAAAGCTTTTTGAAAATGAAGGGCTTGAAAATTATCAAATTTCTGTTTTCCTCCTTCTTTTGGCTGAAAAAAAGTTTTTTAGAGTTTATCATAGCCGGATCATTCAAGGCGATTGTATTAAAATATAAAAAAAGGTAAAAAGCAGTGCTCTGAAAATTTTCTAATTTCCACATTTTCTGCTTATTTTTTCTCAGTTCTCTATCGGGTTTAGCAGATATTCTCTCATTTTTTCAGGTATACGGACTTAGGTCTACAAACCACTAAATTTTCAACTCGAAACGGGTACCCGAGTCCGAGTATAGCTGATTCACGGCTGGCTTGAGCCATCGAGAAAAGGGTCCTGCCACGAAAAGAGACGAGACAGTGCCCTGGTTGGTGGAGAGTGCAGACAGGCCGCGCCTTTTTGCGTCCCAAGCTAGCCGTGAATCGTCTATAGTTCCCTAGTGAGATTCTTCCCTTGTTAGCAAATATCTTTTGTTTAGACAGTATTCGAATTTTAAATGATGATCAGAAATTTCAGGCCGCCTACTCGCGGGCGTCCCCGAACTACGGTGACATCCAGGAAGATAGAAACGCATTTGGCCAGAGTTCGAAGGTGAGTTCCAAGTTTTGAGAAGGAAAAGAAGGAGAAAAGAGTTGAAATTTCTTTGACTAACTCATAAATACTATTTTCGAAGTTTTGAAGCTTACGAGAGAGTTGGAAAAAAAAGCATATTTTTGAGAATCTGGCTAAAATTTTTTGTCTTCTAAAGCCTCTAATTCAAGAGCAGGAAGAAATTCATGCATTTTTTTCCCACGTTTTGAAGATTTGAAATTTTGAAAGAACGCTTTTTTTTTAAATTTGGTTTTTGCGGACTTTAAACAGTTATCATTTGTAAAAAAATATTTGTTTTAGGAAATATATTTTTTTTCTGAATCTCGAGAAAAATTTTTAATCAATGGGTGGACTGAAAAAAATTTCCTTGAGATTTTTTTAGCCGAGAAAAAAAGTGGTTTTTAAGATTTTTGAGTAGACGAATTATCAGAAAAAGTTTATTTTTTTGTTTTTTTAGGATCATTCAGATAAAAATTTCAACAATTTTTTTGGCAAAAACTCATTTTTTTCGTGATGATCTCGTTCATAAAAAAACTGGGAAGAACAAAAAAATTTTTAAAAGGTTTTTTTGAAAACAACCGCCATTTGGTGTACCTGTTCGGCAAATATTTTTTTGAAAAATTTTTTTCCTGCTTGACAAATTTCGGAAACAAAATTTAAATTTCAAATGATTTTCTAAAAATTCCAGACCAGCACTTGGGGCGCTCCTTCAAGCTACGCTGGCTCGAATGAAGACAGATCTCAAGTTGGTCAAAGTTCCAGGGTAAGTTTTCAGTTCCGAGAAGAAGAAAAGAAAGAAAAAATAGGTGATCTACGTTCAAAATTTTTCTTTACTGACTGAAAATTAACATATTCATTCAATTTGGACCTTTTTCTGAGCTGTGAAGTTTTAAAATACTCGAACAATGCTTTTTTCGTCATGATTGGTATATTTTTCGGACTTCTGTAGGTCAAAAATCGAAAAAAATTAAATTTTATTTCAGTGAATATTCCATTTTTTTTTAGATTCAAGGGAAACTTTAGGCAATTTTGATCAGTAGGTCAACCGTGAGCTTGAAATACTTTCACCTTCGATTTTTAATTTTTCTAAATTTGTTCTCTATTAGATTATTGAAGAAAAAAAGATTTTTATGGCATTTTTTTAGGTTATAACTTGGTTAAAAAAATAAAAAAATGTTAATTTTTTTCGTTTGTATATTGGATCAGGTTCATCTAGAGAAAAAGTCAGCGAAGTTTTATTAGAAAAATTCGTTTTTTTAACTATCTTGTTCAAAGGAGCGTAGAAGAAATCAACGGGAAACTTGGCGAAATTTCGAAAAATTGTTCGGATTTCAAAGAATTTTCTAAAGTTTCAGCCAACCTGGGGCGCTCCCTCGAGCTACGCTGGCTCGAATGAAGACAGAAATCAAGTTTCTACAAGTTCGAAGGTAAGTTTTCAGTTTTGACAGGGAGCAGAATGATCGAAATTTCATTGGCTGACTATAAAAGGTGTCTTTTTAAAGTTTTTTTTAGTAAATATTTCTCGCGGTTGAACTTTTGATGAAACTTTGCTGGAGTGTACTTTAGGACCCCTTGATCGCGACAGATCTCGTTTTTGAGTAAAGACGCTTCAAAAGCTTGAAATCGCGCCTTTTTGGCCAAATTTGCGTATTTTGCGGACTTTGCAGGTTCATAGCCTTGAAAACGAAATCTGTTGCGAGGATTTTTTTTTTCTTGTTCTGGGATGAAGAGGTTCTAAGGGGGGGCTAATTTCGATATTTCGGACCTTGGTAACGCGAACAAGACGCGAATCGGACGTGTCGGGGCATTTCTAGTGACTACTTTAGTAGCTTCAGAACCCTTAAGTGATCCCTAAACTTGCCCAGAAACGTCCGGAGCACGTTCGTTTCGCGTTACTAATGTCCGAGATCTTTTAGGTTTTTGAAGAAAAAATATGCGTTTTGAGGCCTTTGAAACGTTTGTTTTCATTAAAAATCAGAAAAAATTCAGTTATTGCTTGTTTATATGATCAGGGTGTGCCAGAGAAGATTCTAGAATTTTTTTGATTTTTTTCAATGACCATCTAGAGACAATTTCAGTAATTTTTTTCGTCAAAAAAATTCTTTTTCATCTTGTTAATGGAAGAGTAGATAAAAATAGGAAAGAATAATAATTTTCTTCTGAAAAAAATGTTCATTTTGGCATATTTTTTTCAGGAATCTCTGAGACGCCGCTTCGGCGTCTCACTGCAGAAGTCAACCGAGGATAAAAATGATGATGCTCCGCTTATTCGGAGCGAATCTCCGCCACGTCCGGTTCAGTTTTTATAATATTTTTTGAATTGGGCATAGAAAAATGAACAAGAAAAAGGTTTTTTCAGTTGTAAAATTGGGTTTTAAGCTTGGATTTTCTCACGAAAATGGGGAATTTGGAGAGCTTAGCTTTAATTTAACAGAAGTTAGGAGAATGGATTTTTTTACTGACCCTTGGCTCGATTGTTAGAACCTCTAATGGATACAGAATATTAGAATAAATTGGGAAAAATGGAAAAAAATTATTTTATCTTTATGTTCGTTATTTTATCGTTTTTTTGAACTAAAAAAATACAAAAAAATCAACAAGAAATAGATTGATTGAGTCAAAAAAACTGGGTTTTTAGCTTCAAACCTTGCACAAAAATCGAAAAATTTATCAGGGTTCAGATCTAAATTAACAGTCAAATAAGAAAATGAATTTTTTTTTGACCCTTGGCTCGATTTTTAGAACCTCTAATAAATACAGAATATCCGAGTAATTTGGGAAAAATGGAAAAATTTTTATTTTATCTTTATGTTCGTTATTTTATCGTTTTTTTGAACTAAAAGTACAAAAAAATCAACAAGAAATAGGTTGATTTAGTCGTTAAATTGGGTTTTGAGCTTGATATTTTGTACAAAATTGGAAATTTATCAGGGTTCAGCTATTAATTAACAGTCAAGTTGATAGAATTTATTTTTTTGACTTTTTGGCTCGATTTTTTTAGAATCTCTAATGAATACAGAATATTAGAATAAATTGGGAAAATGGAAAAATTTATTTTATCTTTATGTTCGTTATTTTATCGTTTTTTGAACTAGAAATACAAAAATCAACAAGAAATAGGTTGATTTAGTCGTTAAATTGAGTTGTAACCTTGAGATTTTGTACAAAATTGGAAATTTATCAAGTTTCAGATCCAAATTAACAGTTAGGTTGAATATCAAAAAAATGGATTTTTTTGTATTTTTTTGACAATATTTTTTTCGTGGAATATCAATCAAATTGTTCAGTTTAATGTAGGGCAAGTTGAAAAAAAGAGTCTAAGCATCAAAAATTCATCAAAATGAAGAAAAAAACCCGGCGTTTTTTTATAGTCAATCCTTCCCGACTTGAAAGGCGAGAGGGTGGAGAAGTGGGCGGGACGCGTTGCGTACGCGACGCGGCTCCTTGGGGGAGAATCGAGGTCAAACGGGAGCCATTATTTTTTTGTATGTTTTTCTCCTTTTTTAATGGATTTTCAATGGATTTTTTTTTATGGGTCGAGTTGAGTGAATAAAAGGATGTTGAAACATTAATTTAATTTTTTTCATTTTTTTCTCAAGATTTTTTTGACCTCGATTTCTCCGCCAAAAAAAGCCGCGTCGCGTACGCAACGCGTCACCTGTGGTAGTCTACTCATCTCGTTTTTTGAGTCGGGAAAAAATTGAATAGAACAAAATGAATCATAGAGGGGAAAGTACAGAAATCATCAAGTCGGGGAAGAGGAATGGGCTTAAAGGAATTCAGAAAAATTAGGTATAAAATCAATTTTCCACCTCACTAGGAAACTACTCGGACTCGGGTACGCGGATCGAGTTGAAACTTTAGTGGTTTATAGTCAATGTTTCCCGACTTGAAAGGCGACGGAGGCGGGGCAGTGGGCGGGACGCGTAGCGTGTGCGTACGCGGTTCTTGGCACGTGTTCAATTCAACCGCCATCTACTCTTTGAAAAGCCCGTTTTTCGCTTTTTTCATTCCTTTTTCAATTATTTATTGATTATATCCATGTTTGCATCAAAAAAATAGTAGAAAAACATTGAAAAAAGAGCGGTTGCCGAGCTTTTTTTAAATAGTCGGCGACAATTGAATTGAACTTGTGCCAAGAACCGCGAACGCACACGCTACGCGTCCCGCCCCTTGCCCCGCCCCTTGCCCCGCCCCCTCGCCTTTCAAGTCGGGAAACATTGACTATATAAGCCCGGGTAAGAGTACTTGAAAATAAGAGAAAATATCTGCTGAACCCGATAGAGAACTGAGAAAAAATTAGTAGAAAATGTGAAATCTAGGCTTGAAAATTTCCAAAATACTGTTTTGTACCTTATTTTATATTTTAATACAATCGCCTTGAATGATCCGGCTATGATAAACTCTTAAAAACTTTTTTCCAGCCGAAAGAAGGAGGAAAACAGAAATTTGACAATTTTCAAGCCCTTCATTTTCAAAAAGCTTTTTCTCAGAAGCCCATGGGGTCTAGCAGATAATCTCTCTTGTGTCCAAGTATTCTTACCCGGGTCTATAAGCCACCAAAGTTTCAACTCGAAACGCGTACCCGATTCCGAGTAGTTCCCTAGTCAGGGAGGTTATTTTTACCACAATAATACCCGTTTCTGTCTCAGAAGGTATAGTTGATTCACGGCTGACTTGAGCCATTGGAAAAAGGGTCCTGACACGATAATACACGAGATAGTGCTCAAGCTAGACGTGAATCAGCTATAGTATCAACTGTACATTAGGAAAACTTGGGAGGAGGCGGCTTTTAAAAATGGTCTGCCCGTGTATAAAGTGAACCATTTTCTGCAGGTCAAATTTTGAAAACAGGTTAAAAATGGAAAATTAATTTCTGAAATGTTTGGCTCCATTTTTGAACCTCTAACAAACTAAAAATATCAGAGTAAATTTGAAAAGTCAGGAATTTTTTTAGTTCTGAGGAAATGGAGAAAGGAAACGATCAAAATTTAATAAATTAATTTTGAAAAAATTGCAAAATTTGCTCTTATATTTTTAATGGAATTGTTCGAATCCCCTCAATTTCTTAAGAAAAAGTTGAATTTTCGAAATTATCGATTTAATTGTGAATGGATCAACGCGTTGCGGTTGCAAAACGGTCAATTTGTGATGGAATTCACATTTTTTATTCAAGACCGCATCGCAACCGCAACGCGTCGAGTTTTTCCATTTCCTTTTTTTTTCAGCGATTGAGATCAATATGGCTTGCAATTTTTTAAAAAATAACTTTTCCAATTTCCAGCCGGCCGCCACCGCACCGTCCGAGTCGATTGTGGCCCAAAATGTAATTTTTTTTGTTTTGAGATAATTTTTCACTTATTAACTGGTTATTGAGTGTAATTGGAATTATTATCGGACGACAAATTATTGATTAATGTACCATTTACAGAAAATATCCCGTGGAAAAGTCGCCCGGGCGTTTTTGAGCGTCTTGCTGAGCAAAAATGGACAGCCGGTCCGCATCGATCAACTCATCGACCTTTCCAAAAATTACCTGAAAGGGTTCGTTTTAAAGATTTCACCGTCTTTTGAAGATTTTCGTAAGGTTACTATTGAAATTACAAGGGGGAAAGGTTGGAAATTGGTGTAAAGTTGGTATTTTTCGTGATAAAAAAAGCGAGCCTCTTTTTAATAAGCAGGGGAACGAAAAATGACGAATACCTTTTTATTTTAACAATTCCTACACCTTTAGAAAACAATATGCGAATTTTTTCGACTAATTTTCATTAAAACTGAGCTTTTACATTGTTGGTCATACCCCTCGGCGCAAGCCGCTGCGAGTCGGGCGCGGCAAAACATCCGGTCACTCTCCCTCTCTCTCAAATTAACTCTGGTTCCTTTGCATTTGACCGAGAAAATCTTTCGCCTTTTACTAAAGATTTCCGTGCAAAGGGGCAACTTTATGAGTATTGCCCAATTTTTGGAAACCCCTCGAAAGAGCGGGTTAAAATCATCTCTAACCAAAATGAACCGGGACCTTCCCGGTTCACCCCGCATTAAACCTGGATGGGGTGCACTCTTGGGGAAATTGGTGAAAGAAAAAGTCAAAAAAATCATGTGCGTCAGGCCGGGAACGCACATTTTATTTTTTCGAAAGAAATCTTAAACCCTTTTAATTGTCGCCCGGGCTTCTGGCCTACATTTAAAAAAAAAAGCCTGCGTGGGTTCGGGCCAGGCCGAGCTTCGAAAGAAATCTTAAACTTCTTTTTGAAAAAATTTCACGGAAAAATTATTTTTACTTCTTGAATTATATTTTCTAGTAACTCCATAAGAAAAACTAAACAAAAATACCACATTTCTCGTTAAAAAAGCGAAAAATTTGACTTGAAAAGACTTTGATTTTTTTGTGCCGGTCCAGCCATTTTTGCTTAAGGCCTCCCTAGGGCCGGGCCGGGTTGAAAAGTGACCAGGGGCCGAGAGGTTGACGGGCCGGTCCTCGCACAAGCCTGGAGCTACCGTAACAACTTTAGGATGAAACTGTAGAAAATGGTTATATTGGGAAAAAAAACCCCCTTCGAAATCGTGTAGGGAAAAAGTACCTTAATTGGAATTTGAAGCTAAACGGGATACACCCCTGGTTACACTGTGGGGTGCACCGAGGGTTCGACGCAACTTCGGTTAGACTAAAGTGCTTTTTTAATAGCTTTAGTGAATAGAGATTCAGATTTTAATAATGGGTTACGAAACCATCAAAATTCCTTCAAGTGGAACTTCTCCGACTTTGAACTTTTCCTGTTGAATTTGAAATTGCGGACAGCCAAAAATTGAGCTTCTCCTTTTTCTTCAGCGAGGATATCAACTACTTGATGCACGTGAACGGCGGACCCAAAATCTTCGTTGAAGAAATTGTAGCGTATAAAGGGTTCCTCGAGGAGTACGAAGTCCGCCGCGTCCTTGATAATCACAATATTGAGGTTTTTTCCACTTTTTTTTTGGACTTTTTTGGGAATTTATAAAATCAGTTGATAAGCTGGACTGAAAAGTCGCATGAAAGATTGAAAATGCTTTCTTCTTTTTTTTCTTTTTTTAAGATTTGGAAAAATTTTCTAACTTTTCGCGTAGGTAAGACTAGTATTGCGGTCTCATTTGTCATTTTGAAATTTTGCAAATCTCTAATTTTCAGGTTTATGAAGAAGGACATGAAAGCCAATCAAAGGCTTGATTCACTTGAAAACTGATTTGGAAAATTTTGAAGCGTTATGCCTGAAATGTCACATAGGATCGATGTTTTTTTTTCCAAACGAGTTCCCAAAAACTTACAGTACGTGGTCGTCGAAAAAACGGAAGTAAACCCACCCCGCTACGACGGTGAAGCTCCTCGAGAGAGAGCCCGACCCACGCCGTCATCGGCGGAATCCGCCGGCTCGAGCAAGGCCGGCGATTCCGACTACGCCAGAGCCATGAAGTTGGCCGAGGACCCCGAAGTCCGCGAAGAGCTCATCGGTCAAGTGAGTTCCGGATGTGGTTCTTATAGTCTGTTCTGGTTTTGATTGGAAAGAGTTTCCTCAAGCTCCGCCCCTGATGAAGCGATAAGCCAACCAGGAAACGAGCACACCAGATAATTTTTTTAATGGTTTCATGGGCTTGGCATAAAAAATCTGAACACCTAAAGTCTGTATGTAAGGTTTTCCCTTAAGCTCCGCCCCTAAATCCGCTATGAGTCAATCATAAAAAGAGTTTAATGACGTCATTTGCTTGACATTCAAAAAACGAACACGTAAAGTCTATATTTGAGGTTGTCCCTTAAGCTCCGCCCCTAACTTTGCGATGAACCAATTAGAAAACGAGCACATAAGACATTTGAATGACGTCATGCGCTTGAAATTCAATAAAATTAACGCTTATAAAGTGTGTAGATTTTGATGTGAAGTCGGTTTTAAGCTCCGCCCCTAACTTTGCGATAAGCCAATCAGAGTAAGAGCACTTCAGAGATGGCATTTAAATGACGTCATGCGCTTGACATACAAAACATGAACATGTAAGGTTTGCCCTTTAGCTCCGCCCCTAAACCCGCGATAAGCCAATCAGAAAGGACTTTCAAATGATGTCATCTTCTTGGCATTCAAAAGCTGAACCGATTATAAAAGATAAAAGTGTCAAAATATACTGGTTTTTTCCATTTTTATAAATCCTTCCAAAGGCACACGGTTAGTAAAAGAGAGATCAGAGATGATGTAGCAGTAAAATCAACTATTCTAATATTAAAAACGCAATTTTGTAGTGTTTTCTGTCGAAACTAGACTATCACTAAGTTTATCATGCCACGCGGCGCAAACCGCTGCGAGTCGGGTGCGGCCAAACATGGGGTGCGTCTGCCTCGCCCCTCCAATTAACTCTGGTTCCTTTGCATTTGACCGAGAAAATCTTTCGCCTTTTACTAAAGATTTCCGTGCAAAGGGGCAACTTTATGAGTATTGCCCAATTTTTGGAAACCCCTCGAAAGAGCGGGTTAAAATACCACTTCAACAAAAATGAGGGTGAACCCTAGAAAAGGGAACTTTTCGGTGCAACTATGGGGCTTTTTTTTTAAAGGGTCAGAGATAATTTTGCATTTCGCGGAATTTACTTTAAACACGGCATAAATTTACTAGGGAACGTTTTTTACACTCCGGTTGAATTTTTGATGAAACTTCTTCGAAGTGTACCCTAGGACCTTCTGATTGCAGAAGAAGAAAAAAAAAATTCTCGTTGTCGAGTTAGGAAACTTCAAAAGCTCGAAATAGCGCTTTTTTATCATAATTTGCGGGCTTTGAAGCTTCATAAACCGAAAAAAAGATCTGAAAAACATTTTCTAGTTATTGAAAATTAACTTGCTTACATATTTAAAGCTATACTGAATTTTCACCGGCTTGAAAGACGAGATGGGTAGATTGGCAGTCGTGAAGCGTTGCGTGCGCGACGCGGCTTTTTGACGAAAATTTGAAGTCAATAATCGAAAAAATTGATAAAATCGAGGTATTTTATCATTTTCATGCTTATATTCGATTAACTTAGCTTTTTCAGAACCATAAAAAATTCGAAGTTATTGGAAAATTATTAAGAAAGGAATGGAAATTTAAAAAATTTTCGCAGCCAGAAAACCGCGTCGCGTACGCAACGCACCACCCATTTCGCTTTTCAAGTCGAGAAAATTCGACTACATATAGGAGTGAAATTAGGCCCAAAAAAGCTCTCCTTATAAAATTGTCATCATGAATTCTTATTTTTCAGATGTTGAGTATAGTGAGGCAAGCCAATGAGGAGAATTGGAAACCTACACTCGAGATCGTGAGCGAGCAAGTCATCATGATGGAAAAGATGTCTGAAAGTTTCAAGCAGTTCCTTCTGAACCTGTGTATCAGGGATGACCCCAAGATGCGCATGGCGACGAACGGACTGAGTAGTGAGTTTGACGGGGAAAATTATGTATGTCACGGCTGCCAAGCGGTCGTAAAGCATCTGCAACCGACCTGAAACGATTTTCGCCCGAAGCCATATAAATATCAGTTTTTAATGCTTGATCCAATCGCAGCGCGACAAAATAACAGGCGACTTCGAATATTTCGCGTTTTTTGATAAAAATGTCTAGAAAAAGTCTAAAATGTCTACAAACTTGGCACTAGTCAGGAAACTCAAACTGGAAAATCCAGCTCAATTCACTATTTTCAAATCGCAAAACTCTCAACGTGAAACGGCTGCCAAGCATCTGCAACCGACCTGAAACGATTTTCGCCCGAAGCCATATCAGTCTTTAAAGCTTGATTCAATCGCTTACTTACTTAGATACTTAGATGGTCCATCTTCGCTTTCGACCTTTTATTGCCTTTTAGTGCCTTTTATTGATCGAAGCGTGGACCACACGTTTTCCAGGAGATCTTGTGCAATCGGTCATCCAGTGTTGTCGTCCTGGTTGACTGGTATTCTTGCGAAAAAGTTCCATCCGTGGTGTTGAACGTGTTATAGCATAATTGTGGTCTGATTATCCTTTTTGCCTTGCCAGGGCTAAAAAAGTCCGCCCATTCTGTTAGCAGAAGCAAGCCGAATTGCGTGACCGGTGTACCGTTAGCCGCCATAAATGGCGTTGCCTCCCCCTCACCGCGTAGAGGTGGTACTTGAAGGGGTGATTCAATCGCAGCGCAATAAAAAGAACAGTTGACTTCGAATATTTCAATTTTTTGACAAAAATGTCTAGAGAATGTCTGAAAGTAGCTTTTGAAGAGAAAATACGGCTTTTTTGTATGCGTACTCAGTAAGGCTGCGCAACCAGGTCGGCCAAAAAAAAAAATTCACATTTTTTCCGACATAGTCAATACTTGACAGAGAGTTGAGATGATTTTCGTCTGACCGAGCGCAAGTCGTTTTTGGTCGGGCGCAGTCAGAAAAATTTTAAAAACCACACCCATAGAGTCGTTTTACGGATGATGATTCAAACTTGAGAAAAATTAATCCAAAAAGGTTAAAGATCAAAAAAATTTTTTTACATATATTTTTTTACTTATTTTTTTCTGAGCCTGATAATAGATATTTGGAACTTTCTAACAATTTTTTTCATTTTATACTTAATGTTCTCTTGGTTGAATTTTTCTAATAATGAATCAGAGAACGCCATCGTCCATATTGTGAAGCCCGAAAAAAAGCAGTTGGTTTTCACGGATTTTTTTGGTTTTTTTCTGGTTCAAAAATCTGAGCTTCCTATTCCAAAAAAAGATATATAAATGTTCATATTGTTCCCCTTTTTGCTTTACTTCTTTTTCTTCATAAATATTTAATATTTTTTTCCTTTTTTTCTGATTTTTTACTGTAATTTTCAAGGGGGAAAGTTAGTTCAAAAAAAGTTGTAGGAATTATTTTATGAAAAAAAAATTTTTTTTTCAATCAGTTTTGAAACAGTAATGATATAAATGAGGCTATTTTTTTGAAAATTGCGATTTTTGATATCTGAAATCGACTGAGCAACTTTGGAGGGGTCCCTATAGGGGCCTCTGCAATTTTTTCTCCTATAGGGGCCTCTAAAACAATAAATCCCTATAGGGACCCCTCAGAAAATCCTCAGAATCTGTAGAATTTCAAGAAATTTGCAAATTTTCATCAAGTTCGCTCTATCGACAATATATGGGCCTCGGACATTGGTAACGCGAAACGGACGAGCTCCGGACGTTTCTGGGCGATTCTAGAGATCACTTAAGAGTTCTGAGGCTACTAAAGTGGTCACTAGAAATGCCCCGACACGTCCGATTCGCGTCCCGTTCGCGTTACCAAGGTCTGAGGCGGAACGGCGTTTTTCGATTTACCTTCTCAAAAAATTGATTTTTTTTTTACAGTCATGCAATCATCTGGTTTCACTCGCTAACTTCGATAATTAATATTTGAAGAGGAAAAATTCATATTTTCCAAAGAATTAGGCTTTATTTTCTACTGACAAGGGAAGGTAATTTTACTTTGCTGTTGGAAACTTTCTGAAAATTGGCCAGAACGCTCCTTGATGTAGCAAATGAAGATTCTGAAGGTCTCAAGAAAACACTGAAAATAGGCCATTTTGAGGTTTTTTAAAACTGACTCGGCAGACGCAAAAAGTACCGTAACTCAAAATTTTCCCACAGTAACCCAAGATGGTATGTACTGTAAAAGTACTTAAAATTGGATTACCTATCGATTGATATATCACTTGTCTACTAATAACTCTTCAATACTGAGATACGCAGGTGCCCACCTGCCTACCGTAACCCGGCTACAGTAAGAGGAAATGGCTCAAAAAGTTGGGTTCGCATTTCTGATGATGGGTTATCACACTGGATGAAGTTTTGTCGAAATCAAAAAAAATTTTTTTTATTGTACCCGTTGCTTTTAGAAATTTTTGAGAATATCGGAGAAATATTAAAAGCCCTTATTTCTCGAAGACTAGGAAGTTTTGCAGGTTGAGATTTTCAGAATCTTCTTCTGGTGCATCAACCAGTGTTCAAGGCAATTTTTAGAAAAATCCCAATGTCAGGAATCTGCCTGTGTCGATTTCAAAAATTCAGTTCCGCCCTTCTCTGATCAATAGTTTTTCTTTTAAATCCCATTTGGAAATTACTTTTTCTCATCAAGTCGAATTTTCAGCCCGCGGAGAGGGACTCGATGTCTGGGAGGGCCTGCCCCTCCCTTGGAACGACTGGCCCCATCCGTACTTTGACTCCTTCTTGAACGGCAAACGAGAACGGATTACGGTTAGTTATTAGCTTGGGAAAATTCCAGAACCGCGAATAGCCCCCCTAACTTTGGAATTAGAATAGCCCCCCTAACTTTGGAATTAGCATGGCAAGCCTTGTATGGATCAGCCCCCAGCCCCCCACCTCATTCTAGAATAGCCCCCCCCACCACATAATAAACCACCAGATCAACGAAAAACTAAAAAAATATCTGGAAAAATAACTAGCCCCTGTACATTATATGTAGTATACATGTCTAAAAAAATTTTTTTAAACACGATTATTTTATAAAAAAATTGTCAAAAAAATACAAATTTTGTACTATATTATGGTTATTTTATTCAATCATCATCATCAGTTTATTCATTTTACAATAAATGAAAACATTTCTAAGGGCCATAAGACCTCTATAAAGACAAAACAAAACCTATAAGTTTTATAAAAAGCATAATACACGTCATATTTTAGTAATAACTAAATGAAAATACTTACTTACTTTGATACTTTGATGGTCCATCTTCGCTGATGTTCTCAGCGTGGACCACACGTTCTCCAGGCGGCTCGGTCTTGCGCGACGGTCATCCAGTGGCGGCCTGGCTGACTGATGTTCTTGCGGGAAGTAGTCCGTCCATCTGGTCGGTGGGCGCCCGAGTGGGCGCTTGATGTTTCTCGGAATCCAGTGTGTTAATCTCGTGGACCAGCGGTCGTCTTGTCTGCGGATGACGTGGCCGCCCCAGCGATGTTTCCCGCGTTGTATGTGCTCTTCTAGATCCCGGATTTGGGATAGTTGACGGAGGTCTGTGCTCCTCTGTTCTTTTTCCACTGCTCGAAGCGAGTGGTGCCGATGAGAGCACGTTCCAGTGCGCGGTAGGAAGTTCGTAGGGCGGTTGCATTTTTTTCTTCGTGTCAGGCCAAACTTCGGTACCGTAGGAGATGGCAGGGATTATCGACGCTTCGAAGATGTGAGCTCGCAGTTTCGGGTCTTTCAGCTGACTGGTGACTTCTTTGATGGAGTTGAAGGCGGCTCATCCAGCGCGTTTGCGTCTGCCGATCTCTGCTTGCAGGTCGTTCACCATGTTTACTTCCCGGCCAAGGTAGATGTAGGATGTGACCTCCTGAAGGTCGCGGCCCTCAAGGGTGACTTTTGCCTTGGTCGCAGAAGCGGTTCTTCATCCACTGCGTCTTCTTTGACGTTCATCTTAAGGCCGATCTTCTTGCCGACTTCGTCCAGATCGTTCAGCATGGAGGACAGTTCGGTGGTGGAGCTTGAGAAGAGTACGATGTCGTCGGCGAAGCGGAGGTTTGTGAGGACCTTGCCGTCGATGTTGATGCCTCTGATGTCTGTACTGTCTTCCCAGTCGTGCTCTTCGTCCCATCCAAGTTGGCGCATCGCGTCTTCTAGTGCCGTGGAGAACAACTTGGGGGAGATGGTATCTCCCTGGCGAACACCTTTCCTGATGGGGATCGAAAGCTTCTTGTCGAACAGCTGGATGGTCGTGGACGTTCCCTCGTTGCTGTTGGCGATCAGCTCGACGTACTTCGTGGCGACTCCGGCGGAGGCAAGAGCATTCAAGACGGCGTTGATCTCCACGCTGTCGAAGGCCTTGTAGTAGTCGACGAAGGCCAACGCAAGTGGCATCTGGTGCTCCCTGGTGCCGTTCCACCACCTGGGTCAAGGCGTGGATGTGGTCGAGGCAAGAGTAGTTGCGTCGGAAGCCAGCCTGCGAGGGCGGTTGGAAGTTGTCGAGTTGCTTCTCTAGTCTGTTGACGATGACCTTGGTGAACAACTTGTAGACGACCGATAAGAGGGAGATCGGTCTGAAGTTGTTCAGGTCGGTGAGGTCGCCCTTCTTCGGAATGAGGATCGTCTTGGATGTTTTCCATTGTTCAGGAATAGAGGCTTCGCTCAGGTACTTGGAGAAGTGCCGGGCAAGTAGTCGGTACAGCGAGTCTCCTCCAGCCTTCAGCAGTTCGGATGAGATGTTGTCGGGTCCTGCGGCCGTTCCGACCTTCAGCTTCCTGATGGCGTACTTGACTTCTTCGGGAAGGATCGGGGGTTCATCTTCTGGTGGCGGCGTTGGTGTTCTGGGGACGGGAACGTCGCTTCGAAAGAGTTTCGTGTAGAAGTCGACCGTCAGGCGCTCCATCTCGTTCCTTGACGTCTTCAGCTGGCCGTTCTCGTCCTTCAGTGCTGTCATCACCGTTCGCTCGTCGACGAGCTCGAACTTCTTCTTCTTGAGGCTTTGACGTTTCTCAGCTGTCTGAAGAAGTGCACTCCTGCGTCGGTTGGCTAGAGACTCTTGCACGGCCATTCTGCAGGCTTTGTCGATCGTCAGACGTTCTAGGTGCGTGGCCTGCGGGTCTCGCTTTGACTTCTCCTCTTCTTCGCAGCAGATCTTTCGCTCGTTGGTCGAGTCGCGGCGGTAGAGACGAGGTTGGTCGAGCTGCAGGTTCTGCACATCTGATGAGGCCATCGCAGAGGGATTCGTAGTCGGCTGTCGGGTCGTCGAGAAGCTGCCAGTCGTGCCTGAGATCTTCTCCTCCAACGTGGTGATGTCGTAGGTTGGTCTTCTCGGTCTCGATGGCTGGTGGTAGTCTTTCTTCAGGAACTTCTGGTTCAGACGGACCTTGGCGCGAACGAGTCGATGGTCGGATCCAACGTCGAAACTGGGTAGTACGGCAACGTCGAGGAGAGACCATTTCCGGTTGGCCAGAATGTGGTCGATCTCGTTGGTGGTGTCTCCGTTGGGCGATTTCCAGGTCCAGCGTCTCCGATCAGGCTTCTCGAAGAGAGAATTGCCGTGGTAGAGCCTTCTGGAGTCGAGAAGTTCGGCTAGGCGTTCTCCGTTGTCGTTCCGAATTCCGAGTCCGTGCTTCCCGTGACGAATCGAGGGAGTGGCGCACTTGCCCATCTTCGCGTTGAAGTCACCCAGAACGAAGATGTAGTACGCCTTCTCTCGTTGGATCGTTTCCTCGAGCTTCCGGTAGAAATCGTCAAGTTCCTTTTTCCTTCTCTTCCCTTTTTAGCCTTAGATTCGGCTTCTGGTGAGGTCGGCGAGTAGACGTTGATGATGGTGAGTCTTCCTCGTTTTCCTAGGTTGAGTCGGAGGATGCCGAGGCGGGCGTTGACGATTTCGTGCGAGTCGACGAGGTGTTGGACCGAGCGATTGACGAGGAAACCGACGCCGCCGACGTTCTTCCCAGGGACTTTGTGGCCGAGGATGAGAAGTTCACCGTTTGGCCAAGTCTTACAGCTGGTGTCTTGAGATTTTGTTTCCTGGAGCGCCACTATGTCGATGAGTGCGTTTCGGTTTGCCGCGAGCAATTGCTCTTTTGCTGCATCGGAAGCGAGCGAGCGGCAGTTGAGGGTTCCGAAACGTAGACAGTCACCGTGGCGCGTCCGTAGTCCGTTTCTATGGTATCCTGTTGCTCCGAGATTTGATCGCCCCTCGTCGGCAGAGGCAGCCCCCGATACCGGAGAGGCGCGTGACCGACGGGCGGAGGACTGGGGCCGTCTTGTTGAACGTGTTTTTAGCTTTTTTTGTGGTCTGGTTATCCTCGTTGCCTTGCCAGGGCTAGGAGGACCGCCCATTCTATTAGCATAAAGCAAGGCGAACTGCGTGACCGGTGTACCGTTAGCCGCCATTTATGACGTTGCCGCCATAAATGGTCGTTGATCCCCATCACCGCGGAGAGGTGGTACATGAAGGAGTCTAAATGAAAATGGATCAAATAAAACAGAAAAAGGTTAAAATCTAATTGAAAAACAAAAATTCCTAAGTTAAAATATAAAAATCTGATCAAAAACATGGCCTCCCTTTAAATCTTTTCGATACCCATTAACAAATAAATTCACCTACTGGTGGGGGGCTCGTTTGGACGGGCCTGTGGGGGCTATTTCCTACACTAGGGGGCTTTCTGGAAAAAAACCCACTCGGAATTATTGAAAAAAGTAAAAAAAAATTTTTTTCCTCCGATTTTCATCAAATTCAATTAATTTCAGCATTTTCTTGATGAAGTAAGACTAGGGGAAAAGAACTATCAAAAAAATTTTGCGGAAAAAGTTTTTTTCTCGAAATTTTAACAGATATCGCCCATATGCACATTAATCACTAGAAAAAAACATGAAAAAAATAAATTTATTGGGGTATTTTATTTTCTCATAGCTAACTTGAGTTTTTCAAAAATTTTATCAGTTTCAAGTGCTGCCAAAACACTAGCTTATAAGAAAAAAATGAATATTTTTTTCTCAGACTCTTTTTATATTTTTTTAAAAATTATTGCTATTAAAGACGAGAAAAAAATAATAATAAAAAAAGCCCATTCAAATGGATTTTTTTAACTTTTCATAAAGTTATCCATGGAGCGCACTTTCACCAGTTTCTTTTCAGCTTTAAATTTTTTTAGCTTTTTTTCTGTGAGTTCGATTTTTTTCAGACAGACAAAGGAAAAAGAAAAAAAGTTCAAAAAAATCCTTTTTATATCTATAAAGAAGTATTTTTTTCCCATTTCCAATTTCAATTTGAAAGCTTTTTTTGGTCAAAAATGTCGACAATAAAAAAATTAAAAAAATCAAGGTTACGAAAAAAAGCTCAAAAATAACCTGCTGAAAAAGAAGCGAAATAGCTTTTTTTCGTAGTCTTTTTGATCCAGCTTTTCCAGTTTGCCTATGAACCTATTTGAAAATCAAAGCTACAAAAAAAGATCATGAAAACGCCGGGAAAACTGGAAGAAAGCAGCAAAAAAGCCACTTGAAAGATATTTTTTTAATGATTTTTTTATATCATTTCCTTTTCCCTTTCAGATTCATCTTTTCCAATTTCTTAATGAATCGATATTTTCTGAACTGAACTTTTTCTAAATTCATAGCTTTTTCAGGCGAACGTGTACTATGCCGAGGGGCTCAAAAATCGCATTTTTGTGATTCCCGAGTCGAGTAACGAGTCATATGAAAACCATATGATAGAACTCCGGTAATTTTATTTCAACTTGCTCAAAAGAATAATCAATGTGAACTCCAGAGACACTTACGAACGTTTACGCGAGAACAATAGACACCAGACGTTTGAGTTCCGCCGAGGCGACGCCGTCTGTGTCTTCGACCGGAAAAGAGGGTTTTCTCAACGCGCAGTGATCCAGAATGTCTTCCCGGTAATTTTTTGGTGTATGAAAAAAACACCAGCGAAAATTCAAAAGGCTACTTTTCCGATTTTTTCATATCGCTAGGGAATTTTCCGAAGTAAAAGAAGGCGTTTTTTCCGGTTTCAGAGCTTGAATTGGTTTTAGTTTTTCCAGTAGTAGGATTAAAGGTTGTCAAAGTCATTACGTTGCAAGAGGTTCAAAAAAGCTCCTTTAAAAGGCTTTCCAAGAGATTTAGATCGCGGGAACTGGTAAAAATTATCCAGCTCATTTTTTTTTATTTCTAAAAAAGAGTTAACTCTATAGTCGATGTGCCAGGAGTGTCTTTCATGGAACGACACTCCGCTCGGTGGCCTTGTGGCCGTGAAGAATCAATGCCTTTGCGGATCTCGGTCACGCTTTCCCATTTTATAATTTGCCGTTTTCAAAATTCGATAATTCTTTAGTTTTATGAACTTTTTGGCAGTGCAATGGATGAATAAAGTTTTTCGGACTGCCAATAATTCAACCAGGGGATAAATAAGCAGAACCTTATGTTGACTGAAACCGATCTCTCTATTTCATAGTGCGTACACGTCTTTATTTTATAAGCCACTCACTTTCTGAAAAAATCCATTAACCACTGCAACCAACAAAAAAAAAACGAGGAAAATTAAAACATGGCTTTTAAAAAAACGCAGAAACTTTTGTAGAATAAACTTTTTTTTTTCGCTTTTTTCGAGAAAGATCAGGAAATTTACTGTATTCTTTCGTTTTCATTTGTACAACGCGATCGTTTTCAACGATAATAATAAATTTCAAAGAAATAAAACAATTAAAAAACGATCAAAATTAGAATTAAAACCAAAAAAAAATTAGCGTGGCCGAGGCTGGCAAATTCGCAAGATGCGCGCTACCGCACAAATCGAAACAGCGGAGTGTCGTTCCATGAAATTTCAACTTGTGGCACATCGACTATACTAAAAGTTCAAAAGCTATAGGAACTCTGCTAGAGTCAAAAAATCTTGAAAGAGTATTTTGGTGAAATTTCAAAATATATTGGCCCGAGAAAGGGATCCTTCGAGGCGCCACTTGGAGCCTTATGAATTTTGAAATTTCCGAAATAGTGATGTCAAGCCTGATTCTGTGGTGAAGGAACACTTTGAAAACGAAACAAGACCCTTCTATGAATTGATGTTTCAGAACGTGTCCCGCTACGAGGTTTTTCTAGTCGACCGCGGGGGACTCCGCGAAGTCGACGGAGAAGACATACTCCCCTTAAAGAAGGAGTTCATATTCCCGCCTTTTGGCTTCTTCGTCGTACTCCCGTATTTCAAGATACGGGATGAGGTACTCACTTGGAAGGAACCCTTGACTTTAAAAAAAAAATCCGGTACCGTTCGATTCGCAATGAAAAACTATATAAGATACTGTTTTCACCTGAAACCCCGTTTTTTACTGCCCCTATGCCTTTAATTCATAGAATAATCAATTCAAAAACTTTAAAAATTTATATTCAATAAAACGAATTTCAGGAAAGTTACGGACGGATTTCGAAAAAAAGTACTGCGACTGGATGAAGGAAGGTCAGGTGCAGATAACGCCTCTGAGAATTGTGAGCTTCGATTTATTCGTTTTTTTTTGGAGATTTGGAAAGTTCGAACTGATTTTTAAGAAAAAAAATGAGTGGAAAGGGAAAATTAAAACTTTTCTGAAGGAAAAGATTTCCAACCGCATTTTTGAGCTCTTTGGTAAATTTTATTCATATTATTTTTTTTTTCTTTAAATAAAAATAAGACGTGCTCTGAATTATGAAACTTTGCAGAAAAAAATCAGAATAAAGACAGATTTTTTTCAGATTTTTTTCAAAAAGTAATAATATTGTCAGAAAAATGGTCGTTTTATTTTCAAAATTCACTATTTTTTTCAACTTTACATCAATATTTTTTTTATAAAAATCTTATTAGAAACCATTTTTCACTACCTATACGGAAAAGAGAACACAGTGTTCCCAAACAGGCGGCAGATGTGGTCATTGGGCGTGGCCGTATGCAATGGGGGCGCGGCTTATTGCAATAGTGGCGCGACATTGAGAGCCGATCTTTGTGCATTTACTGGATGGAAACATAGCGTTGGATAGTGTTTTTCGAGCCTCCTTGAACTTTTATAGTAGTTTTAATATATTCCAACGCAAAATGAACCTATTGAAAATGGAATATGAACGGAATCGCTTTTGCCAAAAGATCTATCACACGAAATTCCTTTTTTCAGGACAATTCGTCGCGTGAAGTCCTAAAACATTTTTTTAAAGGAAAAAACCCATAACGTTCCCTCAAAAAACGCATTCTGAATATTCTGAAACGAAAAAAAGAATCAATTGGCTTTGGCACAAAAATTTATAACTCAAAAAGTCATTTTAGACAACATATGTTTTGTGAAACATCGAAAAAAAAATTTTGAAAAAAAAATCTCTGGGCGTTTATCTTAAGAAACTCATTCTGAGCATTTTAAAACAAAAACATGAACCAAGTAGCTTCTGCAAAAAAAGTTACAATTCAAAATGTCATTTTAGTCGAAATTTCGGGACCACCTCGATCAAAAATTAACTCAAGTACTTCTCAAACGCATCCAACACGGTTATATTACACAACAGAAAGTGAATCTATTCAAAAATCTGAAAAAAATACGTGAGAAAAAAAGAGAAAAAAACTATATTTAAATTGAATGAAATTTTTGAGAGGTTGACACGCGCCGCACCGCGTTGCGTTAGAAGGAACTCGCGTTTTCGCTCCATTGAGACGACCATTGTTTTCGCCTGCGCTCGCCCGTTTTGAAACACTCTGGAGAATAGATTCACGCTCAGACAAATAAATAAAAAAATATCTTTTTCGACCTCTGAACTTCGGTTTTTTTCTTGGCTTTCTAGTGATGAGCGTCTATGAAAAATTGAGATATTTTGAAAAAAATAACTTGAAAAAGAATATTTGAAAAACCTGAATTTTGGTTTTTCAATATTTTTTTAGTGGTACAAATTAAGAAATGGGCAAATTTTTCTGACTGGTTTTCTAGTATTTTTTTCTGTTTTTAGACCATTTTCCTGTTTCTTTGAGTCTGTACTTTTATTGGACATGAGAGACGATGAAATATCATATAAAAAGTCCGGTATTTGAGAAAAAAATCGCTGGTTCTTTTTTTTTTACCACGACTCTGGACCTTGGTAAAGCTGACCGAACGTTCTGAGCAGATCTAGGGATCACTTAAGCGTAATGACGCTACTAAAGTGGTCACTATAAAGGCTCCGACCCGCCCAATTCGGTGCTACGACAAGAGCAAGTTTTCCATTTGCGAGGAGTACTGTATGCGGAAATGCGCATTGAGTGCATACACTTTGCGTTTACACTTTCGTTGCGTGACGTCACCGGGTAAGACATTTCCGGGTTTTTTGTTTTCAATTTTTTTTTTTCTTGATACTGTTATTTATCGTGCACATATCCTCGAGAAAAATGCAAATCTTGAAAAAAACAAAAAAAAAGTTGAAAAATATTCGAAAAATATTCGAAGAAAAAACTCGGAAACAAAAAACCCGGAGATGTCCCACCCGGTGACGTCACGCAACGAAAGTGTAAACACGCAAAGTGTATGCACTCAATACGCATTTCCGCATACAGTACTCCTCGCAAATTGAAAATTCGCTCTTTTCGTTACACCGAACCGGGCGTGTCGGAGCCTTTATAATGACCAATTAAATAGCGTCATTACTCTCAAGTGATCCCTAGAAGTGCTCAGAACGTTCGGTCCGCTTTACCAAGGTCCGAAGACAAAAATAAAGAACAGCGATTTTTCTCAAATACCTGACTTTTATATGATATTTCATCGTCTCGAATGTCCAATAAAAAGTACAGACTCAAAGAAACAGAAAAATGGTGGTCTAAAAACAGAAAAAATACTAGAAAACCAGTCGGTAATTTCGCTCTTTTCGTAGCACGCCCGGTTCGAGTTGTATTTCCTGCGATTCATCATTAGTATCAATATTTATATGATCCTTTCCAGGAGGACGGCATCATCGTCGCCCGAATCGGCATCGACTTCGAAAAGGAGCGAGTCCCCGACGTCTACGACGAACTTCTGTACAGTACCGTCATTGATAGTTCGTCGACCACCCTGTCTTGGTCTCGAAACTCTCCCCAGCACGGCTATCTTGACGGTGGTCTCGATAACTTGATGAGCTACCAGAATAATCAACGATATTGATCGGTTTCCCCTCCAAATGTGTGTGTAGTCGTGGCCAATTGTTCTCTTTTTCTCTTGCAAAAAAAAGTTCAAAACTACAAAAAAAGTTGTATGTACTCCCCACTCTATGTTATTCATCAATAAGTTTGTGAAAATCAATATTTATTCATATAGATTCATTGTGAAAATGTTTGATTCTTGTAAATCAATAAATTTTGACGGCTATCCCCCGATATTCTGATATGATCAGATTTCTGTTTCTGAACGATATTTGGAGGTTCTCGAACCATTTCAATCAAAAATTATCATCCTTCCTGATTCAAATCATGCCCATTTTCCGCTCCTAATACATTAAATTGTCACTTTGTATCGATTATTGTCCTTTTCCGCATAATTACCTTTCCCCCTTAGTTTTCCCTCCTTCAACGCATTTTTTTTTCACCTATTAGAAGATGTTTTTTTTTCGTAAAGTGCGAAAACTTTATCTTACTGGCAACCTGGTGGACCAAGATATATAGTTTAAAACGAAAATTTTCTTGGTCCACAATGGTTAAAACCATACTTTCTATCACTTAGAAAGTTTTCGCAGTTTACAGCGTTCCCCAATTGAAAACTCTGAAAAATTTTCATACTATTCAACAGAAAAAGTCTTTTTTTCATTATTTTATGAATAAATTTTGAGTAGGACGGTCAAAAAAAAAAAGGCAAAGATCAAAAGATTTCAAAAAAACGATTACAGTGGGTTACTGTGAGACAAGCCACTGTGAACACACGATACCACGCAGACAAGGCGCGGGAATTGACGAGCATAAATACTTTTGATGATTTCCTTCACCTTTCCCTGGTTTTGCTTTGTTTTACTACGTTCAAAGTTCTGGAAAGTTTTAAATACTTATTGCGTTGAAGAAAGTTTTCATTCGAGGCCCATTTCTATTTTTAATGGTAGGTTACGATTGTTTCAATAAAACTTCAGAAATAGGACCTAAAACTCGAGCCGGAGCGACCTTAAGCTCGAGAGGTCTGTAGATCATAAAATCCTGTTTTTAATAAGTACCTTTAGGCCTGATACAATTCCTTAAGCCATTTTTTTATAATTTTTTTATTTTTTTAATTTTTTTATAAACTTGTTTTGTCTTCTTAAAATCTTTCGTGAGGATCTTAACGTCGTGCAATCCTTATTATGACATTAAAAAAAGGCTCTTCGCTTTGGAATTTTTCAGGAAGACAGTCCATGTGCCTTTAAAACCATGGAAATATTTTTCACTTGTCGAAATTAAAAATATATTAAACCAGTTAGTGCATTTTCTGTTTTTCTGCGCTTTTTTTAAACAGAAATTAAGAAAATCTGACTCCCCCCACTCATTTTTTGATATTTTCTGAGGTTATTAAAGGCGCATAGACTTGTTTCAGAAATAAAGCGATTGTGGCGTGTTTATCCGAAAAAATAAACAAGTTCCAAAACACAAAAGACAAAAGATCTACTGTTTCGGAGCAACTTTGGCGCGCCGATAAACAATTTTTTGTGTGTTTCGAAACATCCTCCGTGGAAATGTCACTTGATTTGCGTCTTTTATACATCTCGGCAATGATTTTTGATCCTTTTATTGTTTGTTTCGTGCGTTTTTTGTTTTTTCGTTTTTCGATGAATAATTCACAGTTTTTTTAAAGTTTTATAAAGAAATTTTCCAGGATGATCCCAGAAAGAATGCGAAAAATGTGTGCCCAGCACCTGATCCACCGTTTTTTCGGCAAATTTCTAGAAAATCAGATCCCCCTTGATCGATTATCATTAAATCTAACCAAAGGACATGTTGAAGTCGAGGAAATTAACTTGCATGTCGAGGTAATCAAAGAACATTTTGGAAATTCATCATTTTTTGCAGTATTTCAATGAAATATTGACGAAAATGAACGTCCCTTTCGTTTTGGTCGACGGGTATATTGGTAAATTTAGGGCTGGTGAGTCGAAATTCAAAAATTTGAGAGCTGAAAATTAAAAAAATAATTCCAAATTTGAGAAAAATATTTTTTTATTTAAAAATTATCATTTTTTTGAGGTTTTTTTAAAAAAATTTTGTGCGTACAATATTCCGAAAAAAATTGCGAAAAATCTCGAATTTTAAGTCGATTTTAACTATTTTTTTACGCATTAAAAAGCAAGAAATATGCAATTTCACGTGTGATTTTTTAACGCTCAGAAATGATTTCCCATTAAAATGTACGTTTCACGAAATCTTTTTATTTCTTCCTATTATCTTACAATTTGTTTAGTTGATTACATGATCTACTATATAAATTAGGACATTTTTCGGAAAGTTAGGCCTTGCATTTGTTAAATACGGCCTTCAGATAATTAGGACACTTTTTTTCACTTTTTTAAACTTTTTTCATAATAAATTCGTTGTTTTTTCACGGATTAGTTTTTTATTCTGTGTTTTCTATTCGTTTATTTTTATTTTTTGAATGCATCTGTAAATATTTTGGTTCAGATGAAAATTTTTTTGATTTTCAATTTTTTTGAATTATTTTCTTCGAAAAACATTTTTTTGCATTTTTTTATCATTTCAAGGTACTTCAGAACATAGTGCTATTCAAATTTTGCCAGGAAAAAGAAGATGGAAAAAAATTAATTTTTCATTTATTTTTTTCTTTGTCAAAAATTTTTTTCGTTTTAAGAAAAAAATGTGTTTTATCGCAAAAAAGGACCGAGTCATTTTTTTTCATGATAAATAAGTCAAAAATTGAATTTTCAAAATGAATGAAGGAAACTATAAAAATTAGTAAAAAAAAAAGATAGTATGAAAAAAAAAATTAATATCCTAATGTGAAGGTCGTATTACACAAATACAACATACGACCTAACTTTCCAAAAAAATCACTTTCCGGAACTTTCGTAGTCTCCATCCCGTGTTCAAAGTAATTTCCGCGAAATCCAAAAAAATCTCTGACTTTCCAAAATTTAATTATATTTTTCTCTCTCTGACGGCTTTTTTTTTGATTTTTTGTAATCACTTTCAACATGGCATTAGGTTTGATTAGAATTTTCTACGAATTTATTCAATTTTTCTCTGTTTTTCTCTGCGCCCTCCTCGTCTCTCGGTGACTCTCTCTTTTGGCTGTGCTTTTTTCATGTTTCTCTGATCTCGCCGGTGAGGGAACAGAGAGACGCAGACACTAGGAAAATGCCGATTCACGAGACTATACTTTATAGCTGATTCACGGTTTGAGACATCCAAAAATAGGTCCTGACGCGATGAAAAAAGAGAGAGTGTCTGGTCGGTGGAGAGCGCAGACAGGCCACGCCCCCTTAGCGTACCAAGCCGTGAATCGGCTGGAAATAAAGTTCGCATAGTGAAAATCTGTACAAAAGTTTATTTTTAGAGATGTGAGTCATCAAAAATTTCGTTTTAAGCAGAAAAAAAAAAATGAATTTCACAAAAATTATAAGATTTCGCAATTTTTCACCATGAAGGACGTGGTTTTAAAGCTTTATAGATTTTTTTTTTTGGCAAATTTCAAGTTTTTTGAACCTCAATTATTTCTTATGAAGAATAAAATGCTCAGAAGTTCCATGGCTATCACTAATGTCCAACTCAACCAGAATACGTGTAGAGGACTTGCAATTGACTTTCCAGGCCCGCGAAAAAATCAAAATCGAAGATAAAGAGAAAGGTAGCTTCTTCAAATAAAAAAACATGAAGAAATGAATTTTTCAAGTCGCCGCAATGGTCGGAAAAATCGTCGAAAAATTGACAGTCCCGCCGGAAAGTATCTTCGAAGATTCCTCGCAGGAAAATGTCGACCCCGATGAGGGAATCGAGGCGTTTGTCAAGGTTTTTGGTCTTGGAAGTTGGGAAAATTCCCTAAAAATGCATGGGTTTTATTCAGAAGAAGGGTTTGTACTAAAAAAGATTTCAGGTTTTTATGTCAGTTTTTAAAATTTTCTGATGAATCTTTATGTATTTTTGTACCTTTTTATACCTTTTTCGTACCTTTTTGCCCATTTTTTTAAAAGGTCACAACATTAATCATTTCAATTAACCTGTTAGTCTTATTTTTAATTTTTTTGTTACTTTTTTTGAAATTTTTTTCGCAAGATTTCAATGTGACTTTATTAATTTTTAAGGAATAAGCTCCAACTTGGATCTTTTTTTGTCCGTATTTTTTTTGGGATTGAGACCGTTTCAGAAACTTTATTAAAAACTATAAAAAAATTTTAGGAAAAACTTTTTCTGAATTTTTTTCGAAGAGTGGGATATTAACAAAGGGCAGATAAATTATTTCCAAAAAATGCTCGATTTCCATTTTTTTACAAGACAAAAAAACAGGTAGAAATCTGGTTTTTTTCTAATTTTTTTCGAAAAATTGAAGATTTTATTACGGAAATTCATGTCTTTGTTTCGTTAGAAAAGATTAACCGTTGAAAAAAATCAGGAAAAAAATCGCGAGTTATATTTCGAGGAAAAATTCTTAGAAAAATTCGTATAAATTTAACCGTAAAAAAATTTCTGTGCGTGAATTTCAGGCTGAAAAAGCTACTCAAAAAAATGACTTTGGTAATTTGAAAAGTGATAAAAAAACGTTAAAAAAATGAACAAAAAAAGTCTAAAAAAATCACGTATTTTTCCAGGTCATCGACTCGATTTACACTCGATTCCGTGCTGACTTTGCCAAGACGATAATTCGCGTCGAAACTCTTCCCGCAGAGGAGTCTGGCATTTGTCAGGCTCTCGAATTCCGCATTGAAGAGTTCGTTTGAAAGTTTTTAGTTTGAAGGCGCATAGACCAGTTTGTTGAAAATATCCCTTTTTCGGAGTTTAAAGGCGCATTGATAAGTCTTCTAAAATCTTTCTTCACAGGTTCTTAAAGGCGCACTGACGCTTTTTTTTTTTGCAAGTTGTTTTAAAGGCGCATGGAACCGTCTGTTAGAAAATATCATTTTTATGAGCTTTTAAAGGCGCATGGACAAGTCTTTTGATTTTTATTTCTGTTTTTTAAAGGCGCATAGACCAGTTTGTTGAAAATATCATTTTTTGGGAATTAAAGGCACACTGATAAGTCTTTTGAAATGTTCCTTTACAGGTTCTTAAAGGCGCATGGACGCTGTTTTTTTTTTATTGCGAGTTTTTTTAAAGGCGCATGGAAAAGTCTGTTGAAAAATCCACTTTTTTATGTGCTTTTAAAGGCGCATTGATAAATATACTTCGAATTTGAATTTTGTGTTTTTAAAGGCGCATAGAACCGTCTGTTGAAAAATATCATTTTTTGAGAGTTAAAGGCGCGTTGATAAGTCTTTTGAAATGTTCCTTTACAGGTTCTTAAAGGCGCATAGACCAGTTTGTTAACAGTATTCATTTTTCGCAGTTTAAAGGCGCATTGATAAGTCTTTTCAATTTTAATTTTGTGTCTTTGAAGGCGCATAGACCAGTTTGTTGAAAATATCCTTTTTTAAGCTTTAAAAGGCGCATAGAACCGTCTATTGTTGTTAAAGGCGCATTTAAGGATCTTCTCTAAGTTTTCTGCAATTTTAAAAGTGAATTGTGAAATTTTTTGAAAATCCATTTTTGACGCTTTTTGGACGCTCAATTTGAAATAAATCGATATATTACGTCCTTTTTTTGATTTTTTATGTATCTAATTCGAGCTAAAATCAGTATGATTATTTTTGAAAAAGAATCGCGATTTTTTTTCGCAGTAGGTTTACCATTTTTTCTATGACCCAAAAAATGATCTTCGTTTCGAGACCCTGCTCCTTTAAAAATCGCAGCGAAGATTTTGTAGTTTATGAGTTTTCAGAATCAAGTTTATGGATGAGAAATTGCGAGCCGCCTTGGAGTCGATCAAGATTCAGCCGCCGAAACAGGATGACTGGGAAATGAACAAGTTTTTCGCTGTCAACGGTATGTTTGACTGGAAAAAAGTGGGGTCGCAATGGGAATGGCTCAGCGCGTCGCGGCTGCGAAACGGTTTCTAGTGCGATGTCGCGAAATTAGAAATAACCGCCAGAGAGTGAAAAAGTTAATGAGTTTCTGGAGAGTCAGAGATAATTTTGCCTTTTGCAAAGTTTACTTTGAAAACGGTATAGGTGTTTTGGTGAAATATTCGAGAAAAAAGGCTTAAAATTAATACCGTAACGCATTCCAGCCATTCTCCGTGCGACCAAAAATAAAAAAGTTCGAAAAACCGAAAAAAAAAACACGCATGGAAATGCCCTGCGAGCAGCTGTTTTTCCAAAAATAAAATTTATTATTTTTTTTTTCTCGTAATAACAGTGTCAAGAACTAGAGAACCGTCGGGGAAGATACGAAAAACGACTTTTTTTGGTCATAACTTTCCTGTGTGTAGTTTGATCTTTTTGGAAATTCATGGAGTTGTGATGAAAGTCATTTGTAGCACTCTGGTTTTTCGAAAGAAGAAAATAAACACGCTGCTTTTTATAGCCCATTCCGCGCCAGCTTGTCACGATTTTTCGTTTCCCTCTGAGCTTCAGAACCCTTCCATTCGATGCGCCTAATCCGCCTTTGCCCATGCGCCTTTAATAAACGGTGGTTTTGGGCGAAATAAAAGGCGCATCGAAGCGAAGCTTCATGGAAGGGTTCTGTAGCTCAAATGATCATAAACATGGTGACGAAATGGCGTGGAATGGTGCTATAACGGTTTTTAAAAAGATTGAGGTCTATACATGGATTTTTTGAGCAAAAAAGAATTTCTTTATTTTTCTAACAATACTGAAAATTTTTATGTTTTGAAATCGATTTTCTAGGATTATTTACAGGTCTCACCATATTTACGGACGTTTATTCGCCCTTGGCGAATGTGATTGTACGGCAAGACGGTTCTGAAATTTCCACGTCCATCAATGATTTCCATTCTTGTCGGGCTAGTAGTGAGTTTTCCATTAGGACTCGGTAAAAAAGCTGAAAATGGAGTTTTTGTGAAAAAAAGAGACTTTTCCATCGCTTTTTCATCGAAAATTTTCTTTTTGATAAGTAAATATGATGTAGAAAAGAAGAAAATTGAACATTTTTCCAGAAAATAGGGCTGAAAACCCGATAAAAGTGTTGTTTTCCTGGAAAAGAAGCTCAAAATTAGCTTTTTTGAACTTTTAAAAAAATTCATAAGGCATTTTTGCATGGTCACAAACCCCTTAAAGGACCATTTGGACTCATCAAAAATTTTAATCAATAATCATGAACTTAAGTGTCTTCCTCGTTTCAAAACGAACCCAGGGATGTCTCAGAATCGGAGTGAGTTTCGGAAAGGATTACTGTAGAAATAATGATCTTCAGGCTCTACAGTAACCCAATAAAATTTGCCCAAACTGTTGGAGAAACGAAATTTTCCTTCAGAAGCAAGCCGCTGGCCGAAACTGAGCAAAAAGTGACTGAAAAATGCCAATTTTGACTCAAAATTGAAATTTTTAGGTGAAAATTGACACGTTATTCGAAGGATTCCAGGTCTTCATTACCCCTTCTCAGCTTTCCATCGTTAAAAAGTGTGTTTTCTATTTTCAAATTGTCCTAATTTGAAGAAAATTAAGGTTTGTTGAACTGGCGGCGTTTTCTGAACAAGAAAAGCTACAAGAAAATGAAGAAATCGTGATTCGAAATGATGGAAATGCAGCTGGATCTTCTGAAGGTTAAATTTGAGAAACTTAGGATTTTAAGAGCTCAGAATTGGGAGTAGGGATTTGGGAACAGAAAAAAATTTAAAAATTGCGAGAAATTAGCCTAGAAGTGTTGAAGAATCGAGTTAAAATTGATCTGGAAAAAAAAATGTTAGGCCCTCGGTTTTTCACAAGTTTGCCGTTTCATGAATGAAATAAGATGAATTTTGCAAAATTTGGGATTATGTTGAATGTAGAGGTTCTGTAAAAAGCGGCTAGTCAATTTTTTTCAATATTTGAAAAAGGTTTTCGGGGCTTTAAAATACTTGTTTTTTTCATTGTATGACGAGTTTCGAAGCCATTAAAAAATCTCGTCATTAAATTGAAAAAAAGTTCACTTTTTTTCAATTTAATGACAGATTTTTCTGAATTTTCTTTATTTTCGCTAAAAAAATGATCTCAAATGTTTATGAACACTATTTCGCACAATATATATTTTAATTTCAGGTAAATTTTAAAAATATTGATATGAAATTTATTGGAAAAAAATAGAAATTTCCCTATTTTCGGCTTCCAGTTTATGGTTTTCCGAAACTTTTCAAACCAACCAAAATTGAGATTTCTACTCTTTTTCGAAAAAAAGAAGTTTCAAAAATATTGAAAAATTATTAAAAAAATAGGCCGAACCGACCGACTTTTTCCAGCATGCAAAACATTTTCCGATCGAGTCTTTTTTTAAGATATTGAGGACAGTTTTGTTGAAAAGCGCAAATAAAAATAATTATTCCATTTAAAAAAATAATTGTAAATTTTTGAAAGGAGTAATTTTTTTTGTTCAATTTTTTTCTCAATTTTTTTCAGATTTTCATCGTGTTTTTTTCTTCCCTTTTTGCGCTAATTTTTTTAATTAAAAAAACCTCAAAAAAAGTTCAAAAAAATCGAAAAATTTATGCTTCAAAAAAATTAAAAAAACATCTTTTTTTAATGATATTTCAATAAAATCGCCATGAAGTTTGATTTTCTCATTTTTCGCAATTTTAGGAGGGTAGTTAAGAAGAGTTCAGCGGAATATTGAGCGAAAAAAGAGGTTTAGACATTTTTTGAAGCATTTTTTAACGCTAAAGATGTATAGAATTTAGGCTCACTTTACACTTAATAAATTCAGAATTTTTCTTAATTTTCTCACACCTTTTCCGTTTCAGGAAATCTCCAAAAAGAGGAGAATTTCAAGACAATCGACCTCAACGACTTTGGGCCGCCCGAAAACGACGCCGACAGTTTTTTTTTTCGCTCCAATTTATAATTTTTTGCATTTTTCAGAGAGTTTTTCGCTTTGTATGAGCGAAAATTTCAAGCTGAAATTGACTTTTGCAACTTTTCTGGCTTATATTCCCCATCACGATTTTCTCTCATTGGAAAACGTCTCAAAAGAGAGAAATTACCATCTCGCTATTTCAGAATTCGAAAAAGAGGCCGAAAAGTTGTTTTCTGCACTTTTTCGCAATGTTTATTGATCATTCCTCAGATTTTTCGCTCTTTCGGAGGTTTTCGAATTTTCCCCGGACGTTTCTTTGGATTCAGTTCGTGCCGAGGCTGATAAGTTGTACTTGAAGGACCACTTGAGGTACTTGGGACGAAAATGGACTTATTTTTAGGGGGGAGGATTTTTTTTTTCATTGAGAAAAGTCTGATTTTTAGGGATGTTAGCTGATAAAGTTCCAAGAAAGCGACGTATTTTGAGCTTGTAAAGTTCAAAAATACCATTTTAAAAATCGAAAACCGATTTTTGGCTTTCTCGGAACATTTCTGATCATTTTTGGACATTAAGAGCCTTTAAAGGATTTTTTTCAGAGAAAGAATTTTTTTTCATCGAAAAAACGGCTGATTTTTGAGATTTTAGGCGTATAAATTTGAAAAAAAAAAACGGTTTTCAGGCCTGAATTGTTTTAAAGTTAATAGAGAAGTTGAAGACAGATTTTTGAGCCCTTTTCAATCAATCAATTAATATTTATTGGTTGTTTTAGTCAGATGGACTTTTCCAAAAACTTTCAAAACAGTTCGATAATATATGGGATAAGTGCAGTTTTTCAAAGAGATTATTTTTTTGTTATTTTTGTCTCCCAACCAGTCAAAAAATACTTGGGGCTAAAAAGGGCCTTTTAAGAGTAAAAAATAATTTATTCATTGAAAAAAAAGTGGATTTTTTTGAAGCCAAGGACTGTTTGGCTGATGAAAACTGAACAAAAATAGTTTTCTAGCCTAAATTGTTCAAAAAAGTCATTAGAAAAGTAGCTGACCACTTTTTAGGCATTTTTAAACGCATTTTCGATCATTTTTGATTGATGAGAGCCTAAAAAGGGTTATTTTTTGAAGGAATAGTTATTTTTCCATCGAAAAAAAGGGATTATTTGGAAACCTAGCAATATTTAGCTGATAGATTTTGAAAAAAAGTTTATAATTTTTTTGGGCCATTTTTGTACCTTTTTTTCGATATTTAAAGCCGAAAAAAATGGTAATTTTCAAATATTTTCGATCTCAAAATCAGTAAAAAAACTTGACAAAATATTTATTTTTTTTACTATGAGTTTGGAATTTTTTTCCCAAAAACTTATCTTTGTTTCATACTCTATTTAAGATCCATAAAAAATCAGCAATAAATGATACTTTGATTATAAACAACTGATAATGAAAAATATGCCGTTCCGTGTAAGTTCTCTGAAAATTTACTTTTTTTTTTTAGGATTTTTGCATCTTCTGCTCATTTCTCATACTCTTTGTACGGTGCCTACAGCTCGGAATGTTGGAATATTTGGACGGAAATTTGTCTCACCAAATGTGACTTCTTGGAGTATCTCACTGAGGCCAGCGTTCCGGTTAATAATTTTTCCTTTTTCAAAAAAAAAGGAATTTTTTAGACGTCTAATGGACCAACCCATGTTCCTTTACTGAATTTCTCGGATCCTGGAAATAATCCAAACTTGAAAATTATCGCCTCCACGTCTGCAGAGGCCGAAGGAAAGGTATGGGATCATGGGGGGAAGAAAAAATCTCGTTCGAAGCAAATTACTTACTTTAGAATAGTTGAAAGGCTCCGCTGAAAAAAATGCAAAAGTTATCGGGAAAAAGTCTTTTAAGCTTCCCCCAGAGTCTTACATTCCTTGGCTTTTTCACAGTTTTTCGAATCTTTATCTGATCCCGAGCTTCCCTGTACAATATTTACGTATAAAAAGTATAAGTTTCAATCGAAAAACCGAATTTGATCATTTTTCAGACACCTAGTTGGAGTCGTCCAAAAAGTCATTTATGAAAAACTTGAAAAACTTTATTTTAAAGCAGTTCAAGCAGTTTATTGTTCAGAAATTTTCAATTTTTTCAAAAGTATTATCATCCTCAGGAAACTCGCCTTGAAAACAAACTCATACTAAGTTCAAGACCGAAAAAAACTCGTCCGAAGAGTCATTTTTTAAAATTTTCGGAAATACCCAGCCCTTTTTGGGGCTTTTAAAGCGTACGGAGAGCGTTTTGACACGTTTGGAGGACATTTTAAGAAGACGTACATTCTAGAAGCTTGGAGGTCTATTTTTTAGGGAAAGAGAAGTTTCCAGAAGCACTTGGAAGGTTCTAGCACGGCGTTTTTTTTGACGACGCCCCGCCCACTTTTCATCCGTAAAGTGTCGTGTGTCGTGTGCATGCACTGCGCCGCTTTCGCGCAGAAAATTGCGTTTATCTAGAGAAATTTAGATTCCTCTTAAAGACCTCTGGCAATACGGCGGCCTGCGCCTTTAATAAGCCCTGTTATTTACGTTCTTAGAGCCGAAATCTCTGTTGTTCCCATGACGTCACGTGGGAACGGCGGATTTTTGGTTTCGCATTTTCTTCCACTGATAAAAACGCCGTTCTAGAAGGATTTGGAACGTTATGAAATAATGTGGAATTTTTTAAAAGCGGAAGAGTTAGCAAGGAAAAAAACTTGTTGGAAGGTTCTAGAAGGAGCTTGAAGGATTTATCTAAATATGATGGAAACAACTGAGATTACTGTAAATTGCACAAGCTATCGATTGATTTACATCATACCTAGTAAAAAAAAATCAATATTTAGACACTCAGGCTAGCTAATTACTGTAAACCGCAGGGAATGTCCCATAAAAATCATGTGTACGATTAAAAATATTCAAAAAGGGGTTTTTTTCGCTGTTCTTTTCGGATAATTTGATATAATTTTGATCAAAATTGGAGAAAAGCTTCTTCAACTCGATCCAAAACTTTCAGTTCACAATCGAGGCTCTTATCAGTTCCTGCGAAACGGAGCTGGATCTATCAATTCTCGACCGAATCTCCGATTTTATTGTCCCTCGACCTTTCTTCGATAAAAAGTGTATTGGAAGGTCAGCTCAAAAAACATTTGAAGCAAAAAAAGATTGAAATTTTTCCAGATCACATCCCCAAAGCAGTATTCTGACCACGGCGGACATTGATATCGTTTGTCCCGATTGGAAATTGAACTTGAGGCATTTTTCCTACAAAAATAGGCTTTTACCAAGATTTTTCAGGGTCCCAAAGGCTAATGATCATCATCACCAACGGCTAGTCCATCCAGAATCTCTCAAGTTCAATTTGAAAGGAGTGAAGGCCAGATTTTCGAAAAATGACTCAATTTCCTTGGATTTTTCCTGTAATGAAGTGAAGGGTTAGTCATTGAAAACTGACTTTTTGATTTTTGAGAGAATTAGGAAAAATTGAAGGAATTTATAAGCTTTTAGGTGGTCCTACAGAATCGAAAAAAGAAAAGAAACAGAAAAAAAAACTTTGAAATGCTCCTTTATTCAAGAATTTCTGACAAATTGTAAATCCAACTTTTTTTCCATCCAATTTTTGTCTTTTTCATCACAAAAAAATTTTTTTTCATTAATTTTTTTAAAAAGTCCATTTTTTTATTCAATAGATATATAGAGAAAGAATGACGGAACCTTCTTTCAAAAAGGTTGAGCTTTCAAGTTTTTTTGTGAAAAGTTGTCATAATTCTGAAAAACTATTTTTCTTACAAAGATGATATTTTACTTCGAATTTTGGAATTTTTCTGATAATTGGCCAAAAAAATCACAATGTTGCAATTGGAGGTTCTGGAAGTTTACATTTTTGGGGAAAAAGAGCCGATTTCGGCGGATTTTTATGGTTTTCTACAATTTTGAGGCCTTTTTATGATGGGAACTAGGAAATTTCGCAGTTCCAGGAACTTTTTCTAGTGGTTTTCTAGCAATTTTTAAAGTCTAGGAGCTTTTTCTAGCAGTCTTCTGGCAGTTTTGCAGTTTTAAGATCTTTTACTAGCATTTTTCTAGCAGTTTTTCAGTTCTAGGAGATTTTTTTTTAGCAATTTTGGCGTCCTAGGAGATTTTTCTAGCAATGTTCGAGCAATTTTTAAGTCCTAAAAACTTTTTAGCAGTTTTCAAGTAGATTTGCAGTCCTAGGAGCTTTTTCTAGCAATTTTGCAGCCCTAGGAACTTTTTCTAGCAGTTTGAAGAGTTATCTGGCCAACTTATATAAAATTTAACGAAAAAAATGCATTTTTCTTACACGAATTTCAATACAATTTTGAATGTAAAGTCAAAAAAAAGTTGGTAAAAAGGAGCTTTTTCAATATTTTCAACAATAATTTAGGTGATTTCATCAGCCCGGAAATGACCGAAACTGAAGAATCTCACTTATTTTATGCCACTAGCTCGAAATTGAGAAAAATCGGGTGAGAAATCTTTAAAAAAAGCAAATTCAAAAATTGGTTCAGTATCAAAGTGGAATACGATCCAAGGAATAAATGTTTGGGAAATGAAACGTCGGAAATAAATCTGCCGACTTGTGAAATGTCGCTCTCTGCGCCGGTTTTGGCGGCTCGGAAAAAGCGCGAAGGACCCTTTTCTCAGATTTCGAGGGTTTTCAACGATGAAGAGGTTTTTCAGGACCCTGTAGTTCAATTATAGTGTTATAGAATGTTTGAAAAGGTTATTTGAAGCATAAAAAAAAAGTCGCGGAAAAATTCATCTTTCAAAAGTTTTCTTGCAATTTTAGCGGTATACCGTATAACTGAAATTCGATAAATGAAGACTCTTTTAGAGGAACTTTTTATTTTAATTTGCACCCAAAAAAATAAGGAAATTGTGTTTAAATTATTCAGTACGACTTAGTAAAACGAAAGAGTTTCAATTTTTGTTCGAATTTTTTTTTAATTAGAAGTTTCTATGATGGTTCTACACATGGAAATTTTTTTTGGCCATTCTCCGAATATTCTTGAGAAATCTACAGTCATCATAAAAGTGGATTATCAGAAAACGAACAAAAATCGAAAAAATTATGATGTTCACATTGCATTTTTTAACGAATTTGGTTTTCTGAGCTGGGTCAGGATTTTATTTTCAGGGTCTCTATTTTCAAATTCAGATTATCGAAGCCGGAGATCGAAAAGAGATGCTCGAATTCCAAGCAAACTGCATCAAAATGTCGACTTTTACTGTTCGATTTGACGTGCCACTCCTCCGGATCCGCCTTCCTGAGAAGAAAAACCTGGAACTTATTTATAATCGGCTCCTGAACGACCTGGCCTTGTGGAAACCTGCGGCTCCAGCCCTTCGGATCCCGGAAAATGACGTCAAAATCAACGCCTTGAACTCGATCCAAGCGTCGTCGAGTCGTGAAAGTAGTCTTTTTATGAGTTTCATGAAAAAACGACTTTTTTGTCTCATTTTTCTCTTTTTTGTTTGGGATTTTGTTATTTTTTAAGTTGTTTAAGGATCAGTTTCTTGAAAAAACGACTTTTTTTCTCATTTTTTTGGGTATTTCGTTATTTTTTTAAGTTGCTTAAGGTATTTAGAAGCAGAAAAAGTTCGTCGTAGAGCCGGAAATTGATATTTTGCAAAAAAATTGTTACAAAAATATTTTTTTGAATTTTTTTTACTGTGTGTCTTTTTGATAGAAAAAAAGATTCTCATCTAAGAAAAAAATATTAATTTTTCCAAGCCAGGATCTTTTTGAATATGAAATTGAGAATTGGACCTCTTCATACTTCAAAAAAATGATCGAAAAAAATATAACTTTTTCATTTTTACATGCTCATTTGGTTCAGGAGAAGCTCAAAAAAATTCATTTTTTCATTTTCCAAGACTTCTAGCTATTTTTTTGAAGAGAAAAAGTTTGTTTTCGATTTTTTTGAAAAAGGTTGAGAATCCAATGAAATTTTGGTGAAAGATAATGTCGAAAATCAGTGGAGAAATGACATTTTTTGCTTATTAGCCGAGTTATAAACCCTTGAGTAGGTACTTCAGTGGAAAAAGAGGGTTTCTAGAATTTTTGATGATTCAGGGTTTCACTGAAAAAAATTTTTTTTTGGACTGATTTTTTTTTTCTTTTTTCACGGCTGTCTTGAGCCATCGAAAAAGGGTCCTGACACGATAATGGACGAGATAGCGCCTGGCTCGTGGAGAGCGCAGACAAGACACGCCCCCTTAGCGTCCCAAGCTGGCCATGAATCAGCTATAGCATTTGAAAATTTCAAAACCAGATTTTTACGATTTTTTTTTTGCTTTTTTTCTGCTTTTTTCAGTTCCCTTCTCAGAATTTGAGCTTTTCCTATCCATTTTATCCCCTAAAATCCTCGTCTTCCAGACGACATCGACGTCTCTGAAGATGTGGAAGATGAAGAAGAAGAAAAGGAGGACTTTGACCGAAACCGTAATCACAACTTCTGCCTCACTTTGAACATCCACAAAGGCACTGTCCTATGTGAAACCGTGGTCCGAGAGGTCTTAAAATCCCAAATTTCAACCCAAATCCGACTTTTGAGAACACCCAGCAAGTTGGAAACGGACAGGTGGCCCTGGATTTCCAAGGCGCTCATTTGGGAACGACCTTTGGGTATCACGGCGCTGAGAATCACACTTTCTTCCACTTCACGACCAGGAAAACGTCCATTGGAAGTTCTAGTGAGTTTAAATAATGACCAGGCTTGGGAAAAATCTTGGAAAATGGTTTTTGAAAGGGTTTTTGTGAAAATTTGTTAGGGTTAGTTGAGAAATTGACGAAATACTAGAGAAATTTCATTTTAAGGCGCCTCAATCCTAGATTAAAAACCAATTTTTCCCACTTAGCGTCCTTTTTTCACATATTAACTACTCTGAGGGGACCCTAGAGGGGCGAGAAAACCACTTAAGGGATCACTAAATGACTCTAATTTTTCGCGAAGCTTCAAGGCTTCAAAAATCGCCTGAAACGGCAAATAAGAGTCATTTTTTTCATGTAATATGAAACCTGGAGGCTTTAAAGTTTGAAATTTTGAAATTTTGTCGAATTTTGATATTTTTGAGATTTTTTTTGAAGAGTCGGAGATCGGGATTTGATTCTAATCAAAGAAAAATATAAGGCGAAAAAATTAATTTTATTCAAAGTTATGTTTAATTTTATTTCTATTCTTTTTTTGGTTTTTTTTTTACTCTTGTTCGACTACTTTTGACTATAGTTAACCTTTTTTTACAATAGATCGACCCGATGCGATGAAAAGGACACTGGAAGCGAAGGATTTCGGAAAATGGACCCGGGAAGAAACCCAAGCGGAGTTTGTTGAAGCAAACGATGAACTCAGTGTCGGGTCAACGAAAGATTCACTTGGGATAGCTCTTCACTCCCATTTTAAGCCTGATTCCAATGTTAAGGTAATCTTTCAAGGGCTCGGCATCAATATTAAGGAAATCATTTTGAGCCCGAATTCTTTGTTAAGTAAAAAGTGTGCTTTTAGGAAGAAAAAAGGTCAGTTTAGGCCCGATTTCGACGTTAAGATAAATATTCTAGGTCTATTATAACTTTTGAGGCATCGTTTTGAGCCCGAAATCAATTTTGAAGCGAAAAATAAGACTTTAGAAAGAGAAAATGGTCGTTTTAGGCCCGATTTCAATGTTAAGGTGATCATTTTAGGTCCGAAATCAATTTTAAGGCATAATCCTTTTGAGCCTCAAAACAATTTCAAGCAAAAAGTGCGCCTTCAGCAAGAGAAAAAGATCATTTTCATTTAAAGAACAATTTCGATGTTTGGCTGATAGTTTCAGGTCCGTTATAAATTTGAAGGCAATTTTATTGAGCTTGAAAACATTGTTAAGCAAAAAGTGTGCATTTAGGAAAAAAATAATTTTAGGGCTCGGTATCTATGTTAAGGCGATCATTTTGAGTCTGAAAGCAATGTTAAGAAAAAGTGAGACTTTAGCAACAAAAAAAAATCGTTTTAGGCCCGATTTGGATGTTGAGACAGATATTTTGGGCCTGTTATAACTTTTGAAGCAATCGTTTAAGGTCTGATATAAATTTTCAGCAAAAAGTGTGCTTTTAGGAAGAGAAAAATGGTCCTTTTTGGGCTTTTTATCATTGTTGAGGTGATCATTTCAGGTGTTATATAAATTTTAAAGCAATTATTTTAAGCTTTATATCAATTTCGAATGAATAATGATTTTAGAACTATGCTTTCAGCAAAACAAAATGTTCAAAAAGGTCTTGATTTTCATTTTTGACCAGTTTTGAAAACGCTGCATGGCCCATTTTTTTCACTATATCCCAGAAAAAATGTTCAAAATCTAAGTTTAAAAAAAATGGGAAAATTCTTAAAAATGACGAATTAAAATAAATTCACGCTCACGGATGTTCGCTTTGTAGGAGTTTTTGGTTAAAAATTTAGAGCTACGTTAAAAATTTCTAAGCGCTCCCAGTAGACTGTTGAAAACTCAAGGAAAAGCTCGTTTTTTGATTTTCCAAAATCGATTTCTCTAGGTTTCATTTTAGTAGATTGCTAGAATCACCAGGAAAATCTTATTCGAAATCGAATTTTTCCAGGATGTCCTCCTTGCCGTCGCTCTCAGAAACACCCTGTTCCATGCTCGTCATTTTGAAGACGTCGGCCAGTTTTGGGCGGCCCAACTCGTCGAATTCTTCACCTTGGAGCATCATCCAGTTCCTGAGACTCCCTTGATCACAGTACTTGCAATTTTTAGCTCTAAGGAGTTAGGCATTTTCAGCCGGACTTGCGTTTCGATTTGGAAAATGTTGTGCTTGGATACGACCACGTTTGGGTGAATCCGGATAGCGATGCTAGGCTTCGGTAAAAAAGATTTCTTGATAATCTGCCATTCTTGTATTCTTTATTTATCATACGTCGACTGGATGATCGCCCCAGAGAAGTGCGGCTTGCCTCAGTACATTTTCAAATTTATTTTTTGCCCGCAAAAGGCAGGGGTGGAATCAAGCCGATGTATGGTATTCATTAACTTCTTTGTGCGCTCATTTTTTTTATGATTTTTTGAGTTTTCTACAAATTTATCCTACAAGGCAGGTCATTGTAGGTCATACTCTGGAACTTTCTGAAAATTGGCCAGATGGTTTCTTGATGTACCGGATGAAATTCTTGAGAGTTTCAGGCTTCAAAACTTCCTATTTTTCTAGAAATACGGGCTCTCTGTGTTCATTTACTCCTTTGTGGGCTCATTTTTGATGATTTTTTGAGTTTTATGGACAAAGTTTTCCTACATGCGTTTTTCGAATCAAATTTAAAGCCCCCTGTAGGGCCCACTTGAGCTTTAGGGGCTAAGGGGTCAGACCCCTATCACCTCAGTTTTGCCCCTATAGGGACCGCTTTTTCGGCTCCTAGAGGGATTTTTTTCCCCCCTAACCCCTATAGAGGCCACTCTGAAATCATTAAGGTTGTACCGAAGAAGGCCTTGAAAGTTTCAGTCTTCAAAACGTTTTAGTTTTGTGGAAAAACTGGCTTAAAGCTTGATACCAGCTCATTTTGACGGATTTTAATATTTTGCTCCGACTTGTAACCGTATTTTATTGGAAGCTAGGAAATCGTGGAGGTTTATAAGTCTCGAATCTTCTTTAGTTCATTAGGCGTAGACTTGTTCTGCGCCATTTGGGTTTAGGTTATCAGTTGCTTTTTTGGCTTATTTTCAGAGAATTTCAGAGCTTACATGGAAATTATTCCTCTTCTTGGGTGTGAAATGTGAAAAATGAAAAATCTCATCAATTTATCGAGAAAGGATAATTTTCAGACTCGTTTTGGGCGACTGTAACTTCAGCAGCTCGTTGGTTCGGGAAAAGAGTGTTTCCAAGGTACTTGATCTGAAACGTTTTGACACGCTTTGAAATTGCGCGAAATGGCTTGAAATTTTGCGGTTGGCTATTTTTTTAGTCAGTAAATAGGAAGAGGGATTAGTACAGGGATGTTTTCAATCATTAATCCAAGTTTTAGAGTTCAAATCGAAAAAATAATTAAAATGTTCAAGCTCCCCTTGCTACAGGATAAAATAGTAAGAACGTACGGTTTTTTTCCAAGAGTTGGAAACCATTCTACCACAGCTTATAGGAAAGAAATTCCTCAGAACCTTCCTTTTTCGAAAAGAAGAAAAGAGCGAATCGATAGATCATCACTAAGGTTTGAGCCGATACCTGGAATTTTAAATTCTGAAAGGTATTCATACTTTATTCGAAGCATTTGAACTATCTTTTGACGGTAATACCCTATTTTATATTTGTAGCTCATACTTCAGCCTCACTAGACATTTAGAGCCAATTACGACGTTTCAAATCATGAAATATTGACTAGGAGTACATTTAAAAAAAATTGAATGTTCAGACCCTCTGCGTTTTTGAAAACTCGAGTCTTTTGCTCAGCAACGAGTCTCCAAGAAAACTTGCCCGTCTGGATGATTTCAAAAATAAAAAAGATTTTTTGAAAGTTCTGGACGTTGGCCTGATGCAACTGGAGGTTTATATAGCTTATAGAAAAATTTTAAAACACAAAAATTAAGGTCATGATCTCAATGACGAAAGACGAAAAAATCCCACTTTTTGAGATCAAGTGCAGTAACGACATTGTACAGGTTATAGATTTTTTGATTTTTCTGAAAATCAAGAAAATTCATTCAGATGTGGGCCTGTGCCGATTCCCTTGCCTTGCTTGTCAATGTTTTGTCGGAAATGTCCGAGGTTTACAAGTTCCGGACGACTCCTCCGAAAAAAGAAAACGAGCAGATTACCAGGGAATCCTCATGTGAACCTCAAGTCGAGGTACTTGGTTCAAAAATACGAATTTTGAAAAAATTGGGAATTTGAAAGTGAACTTATTCATGAAGTTACAACAGAAAAATCGTGACCATAACCCTGGAGAGACCACTTGAATTTCACCCCTATAAGGATCACTTTTTTTCTGCCCTTGGTTGACTTGGCTTTGAAAAAAATAGACCTTTTTCAAAGCCAAGTCCTTCTCCCCCTAGTTTTTTTCATATAGGGACTTTTTTTCTCCTAACCCCTATAGGGACCACTATAGCCAGTTTATCAAGTTTATTTGGATTTGAAGTATAAAAAGTATGTTAGAACATTTATAGTTTATTAAAGTTGGAAAAAAATGGGCCTTTTTTTCATCTAGATCATAGGCGACAGCCAAGCCCCCTCCTTCCTAATTAGATTATTTATACATCGACTTTTGACTTTTTTTAAAAGATCGGACTAGCACCGTCCAGCCTGAAAACACTTTTTTCACGATTTTTGCGAACCTCCCCCCTCCGTTTTCTATTTTTTTATTGCTAAGCCCCCTTTTCAGATCCCACCGAGACTATCCCATGTATGCTTTAAATAGAGCTTCATACAAAAAAAGTGTTAAATGATATTTTTTTGCTCAAAAAAATATTTAAAAAGTTCCTAGAGAAAAAATTGATCTACAAAAGCAAGTTCTATGTAGAGCACAACTTGATAAAGTTTCGAACTTCCAAAAAAAATATTTCGATCTAAAGTCGAAAAGTCAAAATTTGTGCTGACGAAACTGCATATCTAGAAATTTCCTTTTTATTTTTATTAAAAATCCTACTGTAAGTCTAGAATATTTCCTTGTCTGGGAGGTGCCAAATTTCTTGGCAAGAATTTCCTGGTTTGAAAATGGTCATTTTTTTCTTTAAAAAAATAAATTTTCAAAATTTCAAACCAGTGTGCATTGAAGCTAAGAAAAAAATCCAGTCAAAAAAATGAATATTTTTTTGATTTTTTTCAGGAACAAGAAGAATTGCCACCCCTCGTTTTTTTCGACCTCCGAGCGGAAAGTCTCCTTTTCTGACGATGATGAATTTTGCATGGTGGATGAAAAAAAGTGTTCTCAGTCCTGAAAAAGGTGAACCTTTTTTTGGAATGTATTTTAATCATTACAAGGAAAAAAATAAGATTATAAGGTCTTTTTGTTATTTTGATATCAAAAAAAGGGAAATATGTTCTTAAGAAAGGGTTAGAAACAGAATGTGGAATTGGCAGCTCAACCTTTTTACATTTTTTTACAGAGACATGGTTAAATTCAAACGATGATTTAGATCTTCTTACGAATTTCAATCATTATAATTCTGTTTACATATGTCGTCCCAATCATAAAAAAGGTGGTGGTCTACTCATTCTTTATCCAAAAAACTATATACATTTCGAAGTCCGTCAGAACATTTCCGAAGCATTCGAATCCATTACCATCAAAATTACAAACATCAATAGCAAAAATTCATGGTATTTGTCAGTTTTATACAGGCCTCCCGGTTGGAATCCGCATTTCATATCAGAATTTTCATCATATATGTTTCATATTTACGAATCAATTGGAGACGGACGCCACATAATTGCCGGAGATTTCAATTTTCCGAACATAAACTGGAACAATTTGAGTGCAACCGACTCAATCTCAAAAAGTTTTCTTAGAATAGTTTCTGATTATGGTCTTACACAGAAGGTTAGAGAATGTACAAGAGGTGACAATATTTTGGACTTGGTTTTCGTATCGGACAAAAGCCTTATCAGTCCTGTTGATATAGGAAAGCCCCTGTCAGACCATAACACGGTTGAATGCACTTTGAACATCGAAAAATCCAGTTTTAACAAAAATTCTTCAAAATTGGTTTATGACTATGCAAAAGCAAATTTCGAAGCTCTTGAACTAAAGTTGTCATACATAGATTGGAATTATCGGTTTAGTACTTGTTGTTCTCCGGAGGCTATGTACCAACTTTTTTTAGACATACTCAACCCACTTATAGCGGAATTTGTTCCACAAAAAATCATAAAACCTTTTAAATTCCCTCCGTACCTCATTAGGCTCAAAAAGAAAAAAACTGAGAAGAATTATATAAAAATATAAAAAAAGTCTTGTACCGAGAAAAAAATTTAAAAAAATTTACAAAGCCAGCATGAGATCTTATCGGAATTCCATAAAAAGAATATAAAAATAAATCAAGAAAAAAACATTCTTGAAAAAAATCGAATTCGAGTAAACAATTCTGGAATTACGTCAAATCAAAAAAACACGTGTAATCAAAGAGTCTCCTGCATTACTTTTTGAACGATGAACTGATCACAAAATGACAGGGCCAAAGCAAATGTATTTAATGATTACTTCAGCAGCGTATATACAGTTGATGATGAAAAAAATCTTTCGATCCAGTTTTTCAAACCTCAATTCACTATAGACAACGTGAGCGTAGAACCTCATGTTGTATATGAAGCATTGAAAAAAATTAAAAACCTCTTTACTCATCCGGACCAGATAACTTATCATCAATTTTATGTAAAAAACTTGCCCTTCCCCTAGCGTTGCCTTTATCATTAATATTCCAGAAGTCATTGGATACCTCAATATTGCCTTCTCTTTGGAAGAAATCAATAGTTAGACCAATTTTCAAAAAAAATAGCCCTCAAAAAGCGGAAAACTACAGACCTGTGAGCCTAACATGCGTTCCATGTCGTGTTTTCGAATCTATTACTGTCCGAGCTTTAAGAAATCACTTATGGAGCAACAATATACTCTCTGATTCACAGTACGGCTTTCTCAACAATAGAAATACAACGACGCAACTTCTTCAAAAACAGAAGTTTTTAATCGAGTGCGCCAGTAGAAATCAGAATGTGGACGTTGTATATTTAGATATTAGTAAAGCTTTCGATTCAGTCACACATAGAAGGCTCATTAAAATGTTAAAAGCTTATGCGTGTGTAGGTCGCTTACACAAATGGTTTTCACAGTACTTAACAAATAGAACTCAATTTGTCCGCCTTAATGATGAGGTATCCAACGAAACCGAGGTGTTGTCTGGGGTTCCACAAGGAAGCTGCTTAGGACCGTTGTTTTTCTTGATATACATAAATGATATAACTAGTGTCGTAAAACATAGCAAAATGCTCATTTATGCAGATGACGTAAAATTATTCATAAGCTCAGAAACTGATAATTATAACCTCAAGCTGCAATCAGATATTAACTCAATAAGATACTGGCTTTTAGAAAGGCAACTATCTATTTCTAGCTCTAAAAGCGTCTATGTGCGGTATGGTAAAAGAAGGGGAATCTGGAACGACTATAGAATAGGAGAGGAATCCATCCCCAAACAAGAGGTGATTAGAGATTTAGGAGTTAATTTCAGTTCCGATCTGAAAAATGCATCATCATATCGACATAATAGTCAAAAAAAGCATTCGTATAATCAATAATCTTTTTCCGTTACTTCACTTTTTTTTCCGTTAAAAAAACTTTATGAACTGTTATAAAGCCAAAAATTCTACCAATTTTTAGAGTATGGATCGGAGCTATTCTCTCCACTAACCCAATCTGACATAAACAGGCTAGAATCGGTTCAAAGAAAAATTCACCAAACGGCTTCTCCCAAAAAGAAACCTATGCTGTAAGACTAAAAATCCCTTTCTCTAGACACTCTATGGACAAGGCGTCTGCGAAAAAGATATCATAATTACACATCAGTTCATATATGGCTATTATTGGTGTCCATCTCCATTCAAATTACAAACGATATCAAATAGACGGAACCAACTGAGAGGCAACGGCCTTAAACTCGAACCACCACCAATCCATCATGTCCACTATAACTTTATTACGCAACGCGTGTATAAATACTGGAACGGCTTAAACAGAGTTATGGTTTTTTTGAGGATGACCAAAGAAGATTTAAAAAGTTGTTTGAAAAAAATTGGTTTTTTTGATAAGGAAGCTGCAAATTTCACAAAAATGATTCAACTCGTTTATAGATTACTTTTTCTTTTTTTGATTCTCTTCGATTTCGACCTAAAATATTTTTTTAGATTAAAGTGGAACTTTATCGAAGTGGAGGCAAATATAACTTTCATGGTTCTCTTCCTCCACGCCACAGATCTGTCTGTGAGCGAAATAAACATTCATTCATTCAATCAAAAAATCGATAAAATGTAGCTTTTTCTTCTTTTTTTTCTGGCATCAGGTCTTTTCAGGATTTTCCTTTATCTGAAAAACCGCTTGGGAGTTTTTTTCAAGCCTATTTTATCTCCTTGAAAAAGATATTTCAATTTCTAAGGCGTTTAGAAAATGTTTTGAACCAAAAAAAGATTGGTTTGACTTTTTTTGGCCCTTTTTAGGTAGTTTTTTTGATTTTCAACCTTTTTGGACCTACCTTATAAATTAGTTTATTTATTGACGAAGCTTTTGAAGCTCCTTTTTGGAGTTTTCCAAGAGAAAAAAGATAATTTTGAACTCTAATTTCTGCCAGGTTTATACCGGAGAGGCGACAGTCCGTCATGTCGGTCCAAAAGCGGGAATCCACGGATCCGGAATCGTGATCAATTTGGAACATTTCAAGCCGGATTCCCATCCGGACGACCTACTCAAACCGGTTATTCGGTATGGATCTTCGCTTTGAGACTATTTTTAAAAATGAGTCTATGCGCCTTTAAAAGCTCAGGGGCAGTCAAATAAGATTTTTGAAACTTCAATACCGAATTTCAGAGTCACTAATTATCTGGGAAAATTTTTAGTGGCCACTATAGAGTTTTGACGTTTTAGTGGCCACAATAGTAGTCAAATTAGTAACCACTTAAGGGGTTAAAAGTTAGTGGTCAATATAGAGGTCTAAGTGCTACTACTAGACCACTAAAAGTTTGAGTGGGCACTTTAGGGGTCAATGGATCAACATAACTGGTCAAATCTGTTTGTTTTAAAATTATCAGAGTTACTGGAAGGAATACTGGATGAAAAACTACTGAAGTGGCCACTAAAACGGAAAATAGTGGCCACTATAGAGGTGCGTTTGGTGGCCACTTTAGTGTCCTCTCCAAGTAGCGAGCTTCTATAGTGGCCACTAAAAATTTTCCAATAATAAACCAAATTTTAGAGTTACTAATTATGTGTAGTTTGGTCTAGTTTAAGTTTTGCAGGAAATTTCATTTTTTGCAAAAAAAAAAATGTTATTCAGCACCCTGCAGCAAAGTTGCTCTATGGACTAAACATGTCGTGATTTTTCCTCGATTGGAATTTTCTGTTCTCAGGAATTTTGGAGGGGTCCTTATAGGGTTTTGTTGTTTCAGAAGCCTCTTATACACCCCTATAGGGACCCTTCTAAATTTTTTTCTAGGATGGAATTTTGAAGCATTGGTCAGAAACAGGTTGATCAAAATAAAGCTGATTCGTGGCTGGCTTGAGCCATCGAAAAAAGGGTCCTGACACGATTATGCACGAGATAGCGCCTGGCTCGTAGAGAGCACAGAGACAGGCCACGCCCACTAAGGGTCCCAAGCTACCAGTGAACCGACTACAAGATTGCATTTGTAAAAATGACCATTTTTTAATGCCTAAATGTATTTGAAACCTTCAGCAAGTCATTTTGAGATTTTCCAATCGGAATTTGTCCATTTTCAGATATTCACTGAACGATCTCACCCTGAAGATCAATCTGTACGGCGGAAGTGACTTGTCACAATATCCCGTCAAAATCAAGTCCTACAGTACGGAAGGATACCGACAAGGTTACGGTAAAACCGATCCTGAGACTCCCGGCGGAAAATATCGAGACCATTCGGTCGCCGTCTGTTTGGAGCTCTCCAAGGTGAATTCAAGTGGAAAATTATAAGTGGGGGACGATTTTTGTGAGATTTTTGGTTTTAGAAAGTAAAACTGAAAAATTTTGGGTAGTTTCTAAGCTTAAGTGGTCCCTATAGGGGTGAATTATAGATAGTCTCTAAGTTTCCTATGCTTAAGTGGTCCCTATAGGGTTGAATTTTAGGTCCACCCCTATAGGGGTATGTTTTAGGTAGTCCCTAGGTTTTCTTAGCTTAAGTGGTCCCTTTAGAGGTGAATTTTTGGTAGTCCCTAAGCCCCCTAAGCTTGAGTGGTCCCTTTAGGGGTGGATTTCAGGCCGTCTCGAAGTCCCCTACGCTTAAGTGGTCCCTATAGGGGTGAATTTTAGTTAGTCCCTAAGTCCCCTAAGCTTAAGTGGTCCCTATAAAGGTGAATTTTAGGAAGTCACTACGAGAGTTAAGTCTGATTTCTGGGCCATTAAGATTGACGTTAAGTAGTCTCTTCAGGGGTTTAATAAAAACCTCTCAGTCTCTTAAGTGGTCCCTACAGAGGTCTTTTATTTTTTTTTTACGATTTGAAACTTAAAAAGTCGTATAAAAAAAAATATTGATTAGAAATTCCGGATCAAATTAACTTCCTTTTCGCGAAAACTTCTTTTTATTCGAAAATCTGGAAAAATCTTTCTGTAGTTCATTCACAATACTCTTGAGACAATATCCATTGAGGAAAACTAAATGATGAGTGAGATAGTGTGCGAAAGAAGAGGTTTAGACGGTTATGAAGTGATTTTTTCCCTTCCTAAGCTCGTATTGAATGTAGTACTTTACTCGGTTAAGAATTCCTAGAAAGTTCCTCAAGATTTTCATTTAGATTTCATTCGTGCACCAAATCTTCGAACATCCCTTCCATTTCATGACCACAACGATGTTCTCGATTCGCGATTTCGTTGTACGGGACCGTGTCCACGCCAGCAACATCAAGGACATGCTCTACCAAGTTGGAAACTCGTCCCATTGTTTACAGTTTCAAAAAATTCCAGTACTCCACGCCGTCCATGCCGAGAAGAACTTCGGCCCCCATGCTGGCCGTCCGAATCGCGAAAACCGAGAAAAACGAGGGAAAGATGAGGGTTCACTTAAGGGATCGCCTTCCTAAAGTCCTCCTGGATATTGCAGATCTCTCTCCTGCCCGTCAAGATCAACATCGACCAGCACGCTTTGGAATTCGTCACGGATTTTGTTGAGGAGATTGGAGCGTTGGTGAAGTTACCTGGGAAAGGTAGAGATGAGGAAATGAACACTTAAGAAGAAATTTAACTAAGGGTTTGAGAAAAAAAGTGAACAAGGTTCTTGAATAATGATTGCTTAGACACACCTGTAATTCGATGATTTACCAAAAAAATCTTTTTTTCTTTAAGCATGGAGGGGGGCTTGGCATTAGGGGGAGGGACTTGGCTGTCACGAGTCATGCTCATCTTATGTATGTTAGACAGTTAATAATTTTTGAATTTATTGTGACCGCATTGAGAATGGCTCAACGCGTCGCGGTCGCGTTGCGGCTTGCTTGACGTAAAAAAATGAGAATATTGAAAAAAAAAACAATAAAACTGATTGAAAATTTGAAAAAATTAATACGCAGTGAAAAAAATTTAACGAAAAAAATTTGAAAAAGCTGATAAGAAATCTCAAAAAAAGTTATGACATAGTTTTACGGATTTTTTTATAAATTTTGGGAGCGTTGAGTATGGCTCAAAGCGTTGCGGTCGCGGTGCGGCTCAATTAAAAGGTTAGAAATGCAGGTTCTTGTGAAAATAGGACTATTTGAAAGATGAATTTCACCGAAGTAACGTTTATTTGGCTTCTAATGTTTAGAAACTGCACAAAAATCCGTTTTTTCTGTCTTCAGTGTGCTTTTTTGAACATTAGAAGGTTGAAGCCTCATTTTAAAAAAATTGAATTTTTTTCAATATGTTGAAAAAGTAGTTCAATCTCATTTTCCTCGACTATTTTGATCTATAACTCATTATAGTTAACTAGGCGCGCGCAAGTCGTTTTATAGTCGGTCGCACCTTTAGGATCTCTAATTTCCTAGGATTTTTACTCAACATTTTCAAAATTTAAAATTTTTGTTGAAAAGGCGTGAAATAGAAGTTCACAGTCTTCTTTTTTAATTTTCAAAAAATCAAATTTTAAAAAGTTCAGTGGGAAAAAAAGTCGTGAGATTTAATAATTCGTAGTCTCAGGATCATCATCCGATGTCGCCAAGTTCCTTCAGACCTCGAGGTCCAGAACTGTATCCGAAGATTACGAATTCGTTCAGGATCCGGATGGAAACTGGGCGAATCGGTTTTGAGAGAAAAATGTGTGAAGTTGTTCATTTTGCTGTTTCAGCCCCTCGCCGAGGCGTGTCCGTACGCCAAACGTCGACGACCTCCTTTCCAACTCTACGATGTCTGAAACGATTCATCCCTCTCTTGCCAAAAATCTGATTTCTCCTGAAGAGTGTGAAGAGCACGAGGTAGGGCTCAGAGTTAGGAGTAGGGATTTTGAAAAGAAAGATAAGAGAAGTCTAAAAAAGTTTCAGGAATTGAGAATTTGAAAAAAGTTACTACAAAAAGGTCACAAGAGAACCTATATAAAAGTTGAATAATAAATTAAGGTTCTGTGGTAAGGTTGGAGGGGCCACTTGAGGGCTGAGAAATGCTCAGGAAAGTTTTAAGAAGTCTCTAGAGGGATGAGGGATCAAAAAATGGAAAAAACTGTTATTCGTGAGGCTTCAGAAGATCATGGGAGTACTTACCATGGTTAGAAGCTAACAAATAGATGAGTAGTTCAGTGGAAAGGTTGGAGGGGGCACTTAAGAACTGAGGAATCAAAAAGTTAGATGAAAGCGTAGGAAATGTTCGAGAAGTTACTAGAGGGTTTAGGATTCAAAAAATGGAAAAAACTGTTATTCGTGAGGCTTCAGAAGATCATGGGAGTACTTACCATGGTTAGAAGCTAACAAATAGATGAGTAGTTCAGTGGAAAGGTTGGAGGGGGCACTTAAGAACTGAGGAATCAAAAAATTAGATGAAAGCGTAGGAAATGTTCGAGAAGTTACTAGAGGGTTTAGGATTCAAAAAATGGAAAAAACGTTCATCGTGAGGCTTCAGAAGACCATAAGACTGCTTTAGAAGGTAACAAATAGATGAGTAGTTCAGGGGAAAGGTTGGAGGGGCCACTTAAGAACTGAGGAATCAAAAAATAAGATGAAAGCGTAGGAAATGTTCGAGAAGTTACTAGAGGGTTTAGGATTCAAAAAATGGAAAAAACGTTCATCGTGAGGCTTCAGAAGACCATAAGACTGCTTTTAGAAGCTAACAAATAGATGAGTAGTTCAGGGGAAAAGGTTGGAGGGGCCACTTAAGAACTGAGGAATCAAAAATTAGATGAAAGCGTAGGAAATGTTCGAGAAGTTACTAGAGGGTTTAGGATTCAAAAAAATGGAAAAAAACGTTCATCGTGAGGCTTCAGAAGACCATAAGACTGCTTTAGAAGCTAACAAATAGATGAGTAGTTCAGGGGAAAAGGTTGGAGGGGCCACTTAAGAACTGAGGAATCAAAAAAATTAGATGAAAGCGTAGGAAATGTTCGAGAAGTTACTAGAGGGTTTAGGATTCAAAAAAATGGAAAAAAACGTTCATCGTGAGGCTTCAGAAGACCATAAGACTGCTTTTAGAAGCTAACAAATAGATGAGTAGTTCAGTGGAAAGGTTGGAGGGACCACTTAAGAACTGAGGAATCAAAAAAAGTTAGATGAAAGCGTAGGAAATGTTCGAGAAGTTACTAGAGGGTTTAGGATTCAAAAAAATGGAAAAAAACGTTCATCGTGAGGCTTCAGAAGACCATAAGACTGCTTTAGAAGCTAACAAATAGATGAGTAGTTCAGGGGAAAAGGTTGGAGGGACCACTTAAGAACTGAGGAATCAAAAAAGTTAGATGAAAGCGTAGGAAATGTTCGAGAAGTTACTAGAGGGTTTAGGATTCAAAAATGGAAAAATACGTTCATCGTGAGGCTTCAGAAGACCATAAGACTGCTTTAGAAGCTAACAAATAGATGAGTAGTTCAGGGGAAAAGGTTGGAGGGGCCACTTAAGAACTGAGGAATCAAAAAATTAGATGAAAGCGTAGGAAATGTTCGAGAAGTTACTAGAGGGTTTAGGATTCAAAAAAATGGAAAAAAACGTTCATCGTGAGGCTTCAGAAGACCATAAGACTGCTTTTTAGAAGCTAACAAATAGATGAGTAGTTCAGTGGAAAGGTTGGAGGGGCCACTTAAGAACTGAGGAATCAAAAAATTAGATGAAAGCGTAGGAAATGTTCGAGAAGTTACTAGAGGGTTTAGGATTCAAAAAATGGAAAAAACGTTCATCGTGAGGCTTCAGAAGACCATAAGACTGCTTTAGAAGCTAACAAATAGATGAGTAGTTCAGGGGAAAGGTTGGAGGGGCCACTTAAGAACTGAGGAATCAAAAAATTAGATGAAAGCGTAGGAAATGTTCGAGAAGTTACTAGAGGGTTTAGGATTCAAAAAATGGAAAAAACGTTCATCGTGAGGCTTCAGAAGACCATAAGACTGCTTTAGAAGCTAACAAATAGATGAGTAGTTCAGGGGAAAGGTTGGAGGGGCCACTTAAGAACTGAGGAATCAAAAAATTAGATGAAAGCGTAGGAAATGTTCGAGAAGTTACTAGAGGGTTTAGGATTCAAAAAATGGAAAAAACGTTCATCGTGAGGCTTCAGAAGACCATAAGACTGCTTTAGAAGCTAACAAATAGATGAGTAGTTCAGGGGAAAGGTTGGAGGGACCACTTAAGAACTGAGGAATCAAAAAGTTAGATGAAAGCGTAGGAAATGTTCGAGAAGTTACTAGAGGGTTTAGGATTCAAAAAATGGAAAAAACGTTCATCGTGAGGCTTCAGAAGACCATAAGACTGCTTTAGAAGCTAACAAATAGATGAGTAGTTCAGGGGAAAAGGTTGGAGGGGCCACTTAAGAACTGAGGAATCAAAAAATTAGATGAAAGCGTAGGAAATGTTCGAGAAGTTACTAGAGGGTTTAGGATTCAAAAAATGGAAAAAACGTTCATCGTGAGGCTTCAGAAGACCATAAGACTGCTTTAGAAGCTAACAAATAGATGAGTAGTTCAGGGGAAAAGGTTGGAGGGGCCACTTAAGAACTGAGGAATCAAAAAATTAGATGAAAGCGTAGGAAATGTTCGAGAAGTTACTAGAGGGTTTAGGATTCAAAAAATGGAAAAAACGTTCATCGTGAGGCTTCAGAAGACCATAAGACTGCTTTAGAAGCTAACAAATAGATGAGTAGTTCAGGGGAAAAGGTTGGAGGGGCCACTTAAGAACTGAGGAATCAAAAAATTAGATGAAAGCGTAGGAAATGTTCGAGAAGTTACTAGAGGGTTTAGGATTCAAAAAATGGAAAAAACGTTCATCGTGAGGCTTCAGAAGACCATAAGACTGCTTTTAGAAGCTAACAAATAGATGAGTAGTTCAGTGGAAAGGTTGGAGGGACCACTTAAGAACTGAGGAATCAAAAAAGTTAGATGAAAGCGTAGGAAATGTTCGAGAAGTTACTAGAGGGTTTAGGATTCAAAAAAATGGAAAAAAACGTTCATCGTGAGGCTTCAGAAGACCATAAGACTGCTTTTAGAAGCTAACAAATAGATGAGTAGTTCAGGGGAAAAGGTTGGAGGGACCACTTAAGAACTGAGGAATCAAAAAGTTAGATGAAAGCGTAGGAAATGTTCGAGAAGTTACTAGAGGGTTTAGGATTCAAAAAAATGGAAAAAAACGTTCATCGTGAGGCTTCAGAAGACCATAAGACTGCTTTTAGAAGTTAACAAATAGATGAGTAGTTCAGGGGAAAGGTTGGAGGGACCACTTAAGAACTGAGGAATCAAAAAAGTTAGATGAAAGCGTAGGAAATGTTCGAGAAGTTACTAGAGGGTTTAGGATTCAAAAAAATGGAAAAAAACGTTCATCGTGAGGCTTCAGAAGACCATAAGACTGCTTTTAGAAGCTAACAAATAGATGAGTAGTTCAGGGAAAGGTTGGAGGGGCCACTTAAGAACTGAGGAATCAAAAAGTTAGATGAAAGCGTAGGAAATGTTCGAGAAGTTACTAGAGGGTTTAGGATTCAAAAAATGGAAAAAACGTTCATCGTGAGGCTTCAGAAGACCATAAGACTGCTTTAGAAGCTAACAAATAGATGAGTAGTTCAGTGGAAAGGTTGGAGGGGCCACTTAAGAACTGAGGAATCAAAAAATTAGATGAAAGCGTAGGAAATGTTCGAGAAGTTACTAGAGGGTTTAGGATTCAAAAAATGGAAAAAACGTTCATCGTGAGGCTTCAGAAGACCATAAGACTGCTTTTAGAAGCTAACAAATAGATGAGTAGTTCAGGGGAAAAGGTTGGAGGGGCCACTTAAGAACTGAGGAATCAAAAAGTTAGATGAAAGCGTAGGAAATGTTCGAGAAGTTACTAGAGGGTTTAGGATTCAAAAAATGGAAAAAACGTTCATCGTGAGGCTTCAGAAGACCATAAGACTGCTTTAGAAGCTAACAAATAGATGAGTAGTTCAGGGGAAAGGTTGGAGGGGACCACTTAAGAACTGAGGAATCAAAAAGTTAGATGAAAGCGTAGGAAATGTTCGAGAAGTTACTAGAGGGTTTAGGATTCAAAAAATGGAAAAAACGTTCATCGTGAGGCTTCAGAAGACCATAAGACTGCTTTAGAAGCTAACAAATAGATGAGTAGTTCAGGGGAAAGGTTGGAGGGACCACTTAAGAACTGAGGAATCAAAAAGTTAGATGAAAGCGTAGGAAATGTTCGAGAAGTTACTAGAGGGTTTAGGATTCAAAAAATGGAAAAAACGTTCATCGTGAGGCTTCAGAAGACCATAAGACTGCTTTAGAAGCTAACAAATAGATGAGTAGTTCAGGGAAAGGTTGGAGGGGACCACTTAAGAACTGAGGAATCAAAAAAGTTAGATGAAAGCGTAGGAAATGTTCGAGAAGTTACTAGAGGGTTTAGGATTCAAAAAAATGGAAAAAAACGTTCATCGTGAGGCTTCAGAAGACCATAAGACTGCTTTTAGAAGCTAACAAATAGATGAGTAGTTCAGGGGAAAAGGTTGGAGGGACCACTTAAGAACTGAGGAATCAAAAAAAGTTAGATGAAAGCGTAGGAAATGTTCGAGAAGTTACTAGAGGGTTTAGGATTCAAAAAAATGGAAAAAAACGTTCATCGTGAGGCTTCAGAAGACCATAAGACTGCTTTTAGAAGCTAACAAATAGATGAGTAGTTCAGGGAAAGGTTGGAGGGGACCACTTAAGAACTGAGGAATCAAAAAAAGTTAGATGAAAGCGTAGGAAATGTTCGAGAAGTTACTAGAGGGTTTAGGATTCAAAAAAATGGAAAAAAACGTTCATCGTGAGGCTTCAGAAGACCATAAGACTGCTTTAGAAGCTAACAAATAGATGAGTAGTTCAGTGGAAAGGTTGGAGGGACCACTTAAGAACTGAGGAATCAAAAAGTTAGATGAAAGCGTAGGAAATGTTCGAGAAGTTACTAGAGGGTTTAGGATTCAAAAAATGGAAAAAACGTTCATCGTGAGGCTTCAGAAGACCATAAGACTGCTTTAGAAGCTAACAAATAGATGAGTAGTTCAGGGGAAAGGTTGGAGGGACCACTTAAGAACTGAGGAATCAAAAAGTTAGATGAAAGCGTAGGAAATGTTCGAGAAGTTACTAGAGGGTTTAGGATTCAAAAAATGGAAAAAACGTTCATCGTGAGGCTTCAGAAGACCATAAGACTGCTTTAGAAGCTAACAAATAGATGAGTAGTTCAGGGGAAAGGTTGGAGGGACCACTTAAGAACTGAGGAATCAAAAAAAGTTAGATGAAAGCGTAGGAAATGTTCGAGAAGTTACTAGAGGGTTTAGGATTCAAAAAATGGAAAAAACGTTCATCGTGAGGCTTCAGAAGACCATAAGACTGCTTTAGAAGCTAACAAATAGATGAGTAGTTCAGGGGAAAGGTTGGAGGGACCACTTAAGAACTGAGGAATCAAAAAAAGTTAGATGAAAGCGTAGGAAATGTTCGAGAAGTTACTAGAGGGTTTAGGATTCAAAAAAATGGAAAAAAACGTTCATCGTGAGGCTTCAGAAGACCATAAGACTGCTTTTAGAAGCTAACAAATAGATGAGTAGTTCAGGGGAAAGGTTGGAGGGACCACTTAAGAACTGAGGAATCAAAAAGTTAGATGAAAGCGTAGGAAATGTTCGAGAAGTTACTAGAGGGTTTAGGATTCAAAAAATGGAAAAAACGTTCATCGTGAGGCTTCAGAAGACCATAAGACTGCTTTAGAAGCTAACAAATAGATGAGTAGTTCAGGGGAAAGGTTGGAGGGGCCACTTAAGAACTGAGGAATCAAAAAATTAGATGAAAGCGTAGGAAATGTTCGAGAAGTTACTAGAGGGTTTAGGATTCAAAAAATGGAAAAAACGTTCATCGTGAGGCTTCAGAAGACCATAAGACTGCTTTAGAAGCTAACAAATAGATGAGTAGTTCAGTGGAAAGGTTGGAGGGACCACTTAAGAACTGAGGAATCAAAAAAGTTAGATGAAAGCGTAGGAAATGTTCGAGAAGTTACTAGAGGGTTTAGGATTCAAAAAATGGAAAAAACGTTCATCGTGAGGCTTCAGAAGACCATAAGACTGCTTTAGAAGCTAACAAATAGATGAGTAGTTCAGGGGAAAGGTTGGAGGGACCACTTAAGAACTGAGGAATCAAAAAGTTAGATGAAAGCGTAGGAAATGTTCGAGAAGTTACTAGAGGGTTTAGGATTCAAAAAATGGAAAAAACGTTCATCGTGAGGCTTCAGAAGACCATAAGACTGCTTTAGAAGCTAACAAATAGATGAGTAGTTCAGGGGAAAGGTTGGAGGGGCCACTTAAGAACTGAGGAATCAAAAAATTAGATGAAAGCGTAGGAAATGTTCGAGAAGTTACTAGAGGGTTTAGGATTCAAAAAATGGAAAAAACGTTCATCGTGAGGCTTCAGAAGACCATAAGACTGCTTTAGAAGCTAACAAATAGATGAGTAGTTCAGTGGAAAGGTTGGAGGGACCACTTAAGAACCGAGGAATCAAAAAGTTAGATGAAAGCGTAGGAAATGTTCGAGAAGTTACTAGAGGGTTTAGGATTCAAAAAATGGAAAAAACGTTCATCGTGAGGCTTCAGAAGACCATAAGACTGCTTTTAGAAGCTAACAAATAGATGAGTAGTTCAGGGGAAAGGTTGGAGGGACCACTTAAGAACTGAGGAATCAAAAAAAGTTAGATGAAAGCGTAGGAAATGTTCGAGAAGTTACTAGAGGGTTTAGGATTCAAAAAAATGGAAAAAAACGTTCATCGTGAGGCTTCAGAAGACCATAAGACTGCTTTTAGAAGCTAACAAATAGATGAGTAGTTCAGGGGAAAAGGTTGGAGGGGCCACTTAAGAACTGAGGAATCAAAAAAATTAGATGAAAGCGTAGGAAATGTTCGAGAAGTTACTAGAGGGTTTAGGATTCAAAAAATGGAAAAAACGTTCATCGTGAGGCTTCAGAAGACCATAAGACTGCTTTAGAAGCTAACAAATAGATTAGTAGTTCAGTGGAAAGGTTGGAGGGGCCACTTAAGAACTGAGGAATCAAAAAATTAGATGAAAGCGTAGGAAATGTTCGAGAAGTTACTAGAGGGTTTAGGATTCAAAAAATGGAAAAAACGTTCATCGTGAGGCTTCAGAAGACCATAAGACTGCTTTAGAAGCTAACAAATAGATTAGTAGTTCAGTGAAAAGGTTGGAGGGGCCACTTAAGAACTGAGGAATCAAAAAATTAGATGAAAGCGTAGGAAATGTTCGAGAAGTTACTAGTGGGTTTAGGATTCAAAAAATGTAAAAAACGTTCATCGTGAGGCTTCAGAAGACCATAAGACTGCTTTAGAAGCTAACAAATAGATGAGTAGTTCAGTGGAAAGGTTGGAGGGGCCACTTAAGAACTGAGGAATCAAAAAATTAGATGAAAGCGTAGGAAATGTTCGAGAAGTTACTAGAGGGTTTAGGATTCAAAAAATGGAAAAAACGTTCATCGTGAGGCTTCAGAAGACCATAAGACTGCTTTAGAAGCTAACAAATAGATGAGTAGTTCAGTGGAAAGGTTGGAGGGGCCACTTAAGAACTGAGGAATCAAAAAGTTAGATGAAAGCGTAGGAAATGTTCGAGAAGTTACTAGAGGGTTTAGGATTCAAAAAATGGAAAAAACGTTCATCGTGAGGCTTCAGAAGACCATAAGACTGCTTTAGAAGCTAACAAATAGATGAGTAGTTCAGTGGAAAGGTTGGAGGGGCCACTTAAGAACTGAGGAATCAAAAAATTAGATGAAAGCGTAGGAAATGTTCGAGAAGTTACTAGAGGGTTTAGGATTCAAAAAATGGAAAAAACGTTCATCGTGAGGCTTCAGAAGACCATAAGACTGCTTTAGAAGCTGAAAAATAGATGAGTAGTTCAGTGGAAAGGTTGGAGGGACCACTTAAGAGCCGGGAAATCCAAAATTAAGAAAAAAGAAGCTCAGGAAAGTTTGAAGAAGTCCCTAGAGGGTTTAGGATTCAAAAAATGGAGAAAATGTTCATCGTGAGGCTTCAGAAGACCATAAGAGTGCGTAGAAGCTGATAAATAGATGAGAAATCCTTAGAAAAATTAATGGGACCACTTAACAGCTGAGAAATCAAAAAAAGCAGAAAAAAAATTCCAGAATGTTAGAGGGTCCACTGAAGGGTTTTTACAGAACTTCCTTGACTCCTCTGGAACAACGGAAGGCGATCAAGAAGGAAAACGAAATATGGAAGCTTCTCAGACCGATTTTCCGGCTCCGGAACCGACCTTCTACAGGTCTTTCAAGAGTTTTTGAGCGAATATTTAAAATCAGCTTCAAAAACTGCACCTAGTGAATTTATTTTCTTTCTACGGAAAACTGCGGAAATTTCAAGGAACTTTAGATTAAACTCGAAAAAAATTATATGCTTGATTTTGTTCCAGAGAATTCGTCTTTTCCCCGCCCATTTCGATTTACGTCGATTACCATGGAAAAAGAAAAGTGAACATGGATAAAAGTGGGCCTTTAGTTGGTCAGTTTGGATACGAGATATCTTGAAAAAATTGTGTCTTGACAGCTTTTCTGATGGCTTTCGGTCAGCTGAACAAGATGCCGATTGAACTCAAAGAATTGGTCAACCGGGATGGAATGCTCGGCGCTCGGAGATGCATTGAGGTATCCTGAAACTCCACAAAAAAGCTCACTGGAATGGCTGGAAGCGTCGCGGTCGCGTTGCGTTTCGCGAAAATCTTTGAATATTTCTTTGCAAGTTAGAGAGCGTTCGGAAGTTGAGAGGCCAGACAATATTTATCTCAGATGGAAATTCAGATACTTAGGAACTCCAGAGTGGCCCCAACAGGGGCATCCTTAAGGGCCCTTGTTTGTTTCCCTATAGGGACCACTTTACCGACTATAGGGTCCACTAAGACTTGAAAAATTGGTCCCTATAGGGGCAACTCTAGGGGCTCTTGCAGGTTCTTCTCTAGAGACCACTTTACCAACCCCTATAGGGGCAACTAAAGCTTGCAAAAGTGACCCCTATAGGGACATGCTAGTCGATAATTGTTATGGAATCTTAACGAAGAAGCATTTCCATGGGAAAAACTGAATAAATAAGCTTTTTTTGAAATTGAGAGACCCCTATAGGGTCCACTTGAGCTTTAGGGGCTAAGTGGTTAGACCCTGAACCCCTATAAGGACCACCTTAATTTCACCCCTATAAGCACCATTTTTTTCGGCCCTTTCCCTCCCTAACCTCTATAGGGACCACTTTGGAATTTCTAAGCAGGGAAATATTTCGAATTATACTTTCGAATTCTCTTGAAGCTATAAGAACAGAAAATAGAGGTTTCAGTAGAGTTTTCTATTTTGGAAAATGAAATGACACGAAAAATCGGAAAAACGGGTCCTGCCACGATAAATAAAAGAGGCAGTGTATGGTTGGTGGAGAGCGCAGACAGGCCACGCCTTTTGGTGTCTCAGGCTAGCCGTGAATCGACTATATTAGTTTTTTTCTTCAAGAGGGCGGATTTCTCGAATTTCGTCAGTTTTTTAGACTGAAGTCAGGTAAATTTTCCATCAACAGTATCCCACAACGGGAAATACTGGGCCGCTACGCGACCGCGACGCGTCGAGTCATTTTTTGGACATCTGAATACGAAATGAGACTTTCAGTACGCTATCAATGAGTGGAGTGCTGATCTAATGAAAAATATGCCAAAGGCCTTTGCCAGCTGCGGACCAATCAGTCCACTCGTTCAAATCGGTTTGAACCTATTTCCAAAAAAAGTTAGTTGTTCTGTCTCAGGAAAAGGTATCGCTGATCTCTTCCTGATGCCCATGGAAGAGATGCGAAAGGAAAACGGCCGGGTCGTGAAAGGTATCCAGAGAGGCGTCGGCTCTTTCGGAGTCTCCTCGGCGGTTGGAATCGTCGGCGTGGCTCAGACTGTAGCTGGACTCGTTCAGGTACAATCAAAACATTTTCCGACTTGAAGGAAGATTGTTGAAACCGTACGTAGGCTGGATTTCACTCCGGGGATCATTTTCCACCGCAAAAGGCGCCCTACCCCCGAAAAAGTGCGCCCTGACCACTCGTAAAAAGCACTGACCCCCTGAAAAGCGCCTTACCCCTGAAAAGTGCACTCTCCCCTTTTAAAAGAGCACTCTACCCTTTTGAAACGTGCACCCTACCCCCTAAGAAGCGCGCCCTACTCATGAAAAGTGGGCCCTTCCCCTTGAAAAGTTCGCCCTTTCCCCTGAAAAGTGCACCCTCTTTTGAAAAGTGCGCCCTACCCCTCAAAAATGCGCCTACCCCCTGTAAAGAGTACCTTGCCCCTCTAAAAATGCGCCTCACCCTTTTGAAAAGTTCGCCCTGCCCCCTGAGAAACGCGCCTTACCCCTGAAAAGCGCGCCCTACCCCTCAAAAACGCGCCCTACCCCTAAAAAGTGCGCCTTATCCCCTAAGAAGCGCGCCTTACCAGTAAAAAGTGCGCGCTGCCCCTTGAAAGTGCGCACTGCTCTTCGAAAAGTGCGCCCTACCCCTTAAAAATGCGCCCTACCCCATGGAAAGTGCGCACTGCTCTTTGAAAAAGTGCGCCCTGCCCCTTGAAATAATTGACTTAGCTGCTGAAAACTCGCCTACCCCTCTAAAAATGCGCCCTACCCCCTGGAAAGTGCACCCTACCCTCCTAAAAATGCGCCTCACCACTTTGAAAAGTTGGCTCTATCCCCCTGAAGAGTGCGCCCTGCCTCCTGAAAAAGCGCACCCTGGAATACGACTCTATGAAAAATCGTTAAGACGGTTGCGGAAATGACGATGCCTGGGCGAGCTCACTCGAACCGTAGAAATCGACGGATCAGTACGAACCAGGCCGTGATTCCTTCGGATTTTCGTCACAGCCTTCAACTGGCCTACACAACCTTCTTCGAGGTATCATTTCAGTTTTAAAGGGCATTTAGGTAGTAAAAGCTCAAAATAATTATATGTTAATGGTTCCGTTATGGGCAATGACAAAAGATGCGAGTATATTGTAAAGTTTTGTTACCTATGATTTTCTTTACAGTACGGACTGTGATCTTATCAGCATTATCATCGGAATCTGTAGAAAATTTTTCAGGGTTATCGCCAAACTCGCAATGACCTTGAAAATCCGGAAAATGGAGCCTCTGGCCTTTCTGTAATCCGCTACGCCGTGCCGACTTTCCTTGGCCCGATCGTCTTGGCTTCTCAAGTCACCTACCAACTTCTTGGAGGTTTTGTGCTTTTGGTCGTGGGCTGATTGGCTTTGAGCCAGCGAAAAATGGGTCCTGACACGGTAAAAGAAAAGATAGTACTTGGTTAGTGGAGAGCGCAGACAGTGTCTGAAGAGTCTGTTCGAAGAATAGTTGATTCACTGTTGGTTTGACCCGTTGAAAAAGGGTCTTGACACGGTAAAAGATGAGATAGTACTTGGTTAGTGGAGAGCGCAGACAGTGCCTAGAGAGGTAAAAGAAGAGATACTGCCTGATTAGTGGAGAGCGCAGACAGTGCCTGAAGAGTTTGTTCGAAGAATAGTTGATTTGCGGCTAGATTGACTGTTTGAAAAATGAGTCCTGACACGGTAAAAGAAGAGATACTGCCTGATTAGTGGAGAGCGCAGACAGTGCCTGAAGAGTTTGTTCGAAGAATAGTTGATTCACGTCTAGCTTGAGCCATTAAAAAGGGTCTTGACACAATAAAAGAAGAGACAGTGCCTGATTAGTGGAGAGCGCAGACAGTGCCTGAAGAGTTTTTTCGAAGAATAGTTAATTCACGGCTAGCTTGAGCCAGCGAAAAATGGGTCCTGACACGGTAAAACATGAGATAGTAACTGATTAGTGGAGAGCGCAGACAGTGCCACGCCCTTCAACGTCCTGAGCCAGCCGTTGATTGGCTATATGTAAGAAAATGAGACGAGTTCAAAGTCCGTTTTCCGGGACTTGAAAGGGCGGGACTTCCCTCTCATCTTGACGTGCTATTTTTATGTTTTCTGACCTCCCCGGTGAGGGAACAGAGAGACGCAGACACTAGGAATTTTCCAAGTCACGGTGAACATACTGTGCTCTCTAAGTGCCCTTTGACTTTTAAAAATCATTCAGAAAAGCTGATAATTTGATTTATGGTTTACAGGGCTCCGCAGTCAGCTGCGACCTGATATCTACCAAGATGAGCGACGAAAATGGGGCGAGGAAGACGCTTCTGAAGGCCCCCAAAATTAGAATTTGTTTGTGTAAGTTTAGAACATTTGAAATATTATAAAGATTGTTTCGATTATTCAAGCAGTTTTTCAACAGAAAAAAACAATAAAAAAATACCATTAGTATTAAAGGCGCAGACTTTTTCATTTGCGCAAAAACACCCTGCGCCTTTAATAGGCCTTTTTTTCACGCTTTTTGAAACACAGTTTTCTCTTAAAAAAATTAATTATACTGAGAGCCTAAACTTAAATTTCATAGATCATTTTTTTCTTTCAGAAAAATGAGACATTCACGATCTCTATTTATTGAATCAGGAGCGATTTCGCCAATCTACTTGCCGCATAGCGGAATCGACGTTAATCACTTGAAATTTTTTGTCGACATAATCTATTATTTTGTTTATTATGTATATTTCTGGCCCAATTTGAACATCCCCTCACCCAATTAATTGTAAAAACAATTGCCTTATTTTTATTTTCACTTTCAATCGATTATTGTCACTTTTTCTTGTTATTGCAGCACTTTCTTGTGAAGAATGAATTGTTATGATTGCCTTCCTGTTCTTCGAGTTCGTTTTTTTCATGAAATGAAGATGAAAATTCTGATTCTGTTTTACAGCCCTGCTAACTGTATCTTTTGGTGATGAAAAACTGATATTCTGGAGAAGAATTTCAGAGCAAAAAGTTTTTTGGGTTACTGTGTCCATAGCGCCCGCAGACACCGTGAGTCGCGGAAAATGTGCGTCAATTCACGCCTGTTTAAGGTGGCCGGTCGTATTACGATAGTTTGGATAGGTTTTTCAATAATAAAATGAAATCTTGTGTACTTTTCGTGACGTAACTTACCTTGTAACCTCGAGAAACAGGTCCTTCACAAATTGCAAAAATGAAAAAAAGTTAAAAAAATTTCCTGGCTCCGAAACTGACTGCGCAATATTGACCGGCCGCCGTAGTACTGTCTTAAACATGCGTGAATTGACGAGTTTTTAGAATTTTGAATGTTCTTCGAAGTTGGTAACGCGAAACGGACGTTTCTGGGCATTTGTGATCACTTCAGTAGCTTCAATACCTTAAGTGATCCCTACAATCGCCCAGAAACGTCCGAAACATTTCGCGTTACCATTGTCAGAGTTATGCTGTTTCTGTGAAAAAAATAAAATTTGCTCTACATGCGCCTTTAAATCGCAATCCATTATTGTCGTTTCTGTGAAAGAAATAAAATTTGCTCTACATGCGCCTTTAAATCGCAATCCAATAAACAAATATTTTAGATTCAGTTTCTTTCTATTTTTTTTTAATCTCTCGCATGGCGGGGAGAGGCGACAATTGTTATCGTCCGGTTCCGGTCAGTTTTTTTTTAAATCGTAAATTTATTCTTATTTAGATGTCGTAAATACATTTGAATCAATTATTTATTTATGAAAAGGCCACGTTAGGTCTATTTTAAGTTCACATCGAAATAAAGTTGACTCGAATAAAAAAAAACAGGCCTGAAGTTCATTGAAAAACCCAAATTTTTCAGTTCGAATCGGATACGGAGGCAATTTTGAAAAAGACTCTGGAAAAGGAAGTTTTGCCGATTTCCGTGATGAATCTCATCAGACGCGCTGAGTTTGTGAGCAGGTTAATTTCTGAAAAAAAAAATTATAATCGTTTTTTTCAATTTATTCTGTTTTTCAGAGTTTCATTGGGGATTCCATATGGCCGGGAGTCGAAATTTATCCGTGATTTACTGGAATTCCGACTCGTAGACTACGAAATCATCGAACTCCGGACTTCTACCTTGACTTTGGTTAGTAGCCTGAAAGACAAATTAAATTAAAAATGAGGTTTCAGGAATATGTGGCCGAAAAAGGCATGGAAGGCCTTCCGAAGGCACTAAACTTGGCCCGGGATCACGACCTTAATGAATGGGTTGTTGAAAAGGTTGCTTTTTTAAGCATTTATCGAATTATCTTGCTGTTTTTTTCATTATTACAAATCTCTTTTTGTTCTTTTCTAAATTCTTACGAGTATATCACGGCATTCCTAATGGGGGTGAGGGAAGGTGAGCGAGGCGTCAAACTTTCTGAATTTACAGAAAAAATTTAGTGCGCGCTACGGATAAAATGCACTGAGTATCAAACGTTAATAACTTGTTTTTTTCGATCGCCTTGGGCTGTGTACTGTAGATTTCAAATTTCGCGCCAAATTTTTTTTGACGTCTCCCCACCCCGTTTGGGAACACCGTGTATATATCATGAATATTTTTTTTATGAATGTTATAAATAAAATCCTTATTTTCGGTTTTTTTTGTAAAAGAATATTTTTTTTGCGTGAAGGATTTTTTTGTGTAGCAAAAATAATGCTTACCTAAAAAGGTTTTTCAAAAAAAGTTTTTGGCCCACTTTCAATTGTTTCAAAAAGAAAAAAAGCTATTTTTTCCTTCTGAAATTTAACTTTTCAGCTTGAAAGATTGGTCACCTCTACTTCCTACAAAACGGGCCCGACATTTGAAACGATCTGGTCCCAAATTCCGCTGGGAAGCCTGGTTGACGGGGTTTTTCGGCCCGTTTTGATCGCAAACTGTGTGATCAACGACCCCAAGAAGCGTTTCAGCATCGCCTCGAACCCCCGTAGTGTGTTACTTTCTGGATTTGTAGGAAGGAAAATGATAATTATCATTTTTTGCTTAAAAAAAGATTTTTCGTGTTGCAAGACATTTACTGATATTTCCTGAAAATAAGCTTGATCCATATATTTTTTTTCTGAAAGGTCATTGAAATATACGTATCATAAGTTATTGAAAACTAAGGGTTCAATATAATTGAATGAAAAATACATTGGTTTGAAGTTAAATTTTTTTTTTTATGGATTTGCGTGGAAAAAAATGGAAAAATTCATATCGAAAAATTTCCATTTCTGAACATTTTTTTTCTTCAATTATTGAAATTTTGGTGGTATGAAAAAAACAGCGAAAAATTCAAACGGCGACTTTTTCCGATTTTTTCATATCGCTAGGGAACTTTACGACGGCCACCTTTCCGCCGATTTTTTTTTCCGACGTTATTTCTCCATGAACTCTTCGTAAACTCAGTCGCCTTTTGAAATTTCGCTGGCTTTTTTTTCATACCATCGAAATTTTTGCTAATTTTTCATGAATTATTGAAAAAAGCTCACTTTCAGATGAGTTCAAATACGACAAGAACAATGTAAATCCCATCAATGTCGATATGGTCAACGCGTTGATTCGCCGTGAGTTTATAATTGAATTTAAAGAAGAAAAAAGCTTTGAAAATGCGAAAAAAAACCAAGTCCAAACGACCTCAAAAAGGCCTCGAAAGTAAGGACCTGAAGCTCTTTTTCGAGTTCCAAAAAAGAGAATCTTCTTTTTCACCTTTTTCCACCTGATTTTTTGAGATTCCTTAAAAGGTCCTTTTCAGAAAAAAGTCTAGAAAAAAGGCGCCTTTAAGACCTTTTTCCCGAAAGTTCTTTTAAAGGCCTTAAAGGCGCGTTTTTTCTAGGGTCCTTTTTAGAGTTTTTAGACTTAAAAAAAGTTCTTTTTGAGACAATTTGAACTTTGCCCGTAGATCTACTTTTTTCTACACGAACGAAGTCCGAAATGTCTCGAAAAGGACTTGGAAAAAAGGTCTCAAAGACGCCTTTTTTCTAAACCGAAAGACCTTTTAAAAGAGTTTAAAAAAAAAGGCGGAAAAAAAAGTGGAAAAAGGAGATTCCGAAAAACTTATGACGCCTTTTTAGGATCTCAAATATGAGCTTTAGGCTCTATTTTTTGAGGTCGTTTGGCCTTTTCTGACTGAAAACATGTATATTTGAACTTTTACAAACTTTTGCAGAGGGTGCGGTGATTTGGAGGAACAAGGCCCCGGAAAACGGGAGGATTCCGGCCTCTGCTGACCGCCCTCGCAGAGGTTTGAACATCTCGTTTAATTTTTTTAAAAAAATGTTTAAGCTTATTGATGACTTTTTGAGTGTTTCTATACCCGAAAAATTTACAACTTTTTAGGCTTTTTTTAACGATTTGAAAATGCTTTTTTTACTCAAAGTCAATATTTTTTTCGGTTGAATCCGAATGATTCAGGTAGCGATAAAAAAATAGACTTAAGAATTAAGAATTATTTAGTGACAAAAATATGTAAAGTTATTTTTCGAGGCAAACTGAGAAAACCAGAAAAAAATTTGAACTCCTGTACAATTTTTTTGCAATGGAAAGATCTTTCTTTGAAAAAAATTCAAAAAAATAAATAATAGAAAAATCGAAATTCGGTTTCTTTCCTCTCAATTTTTTTATTCATTTTATAATAGTTTTTTTCACAGAAGTTTCCTGGACCGACTCGGGATTTGAAAGCGCTTGGGCCGGCTCAGGTTCCGAACGGGCCGGCCCAAGGTCCGCTCGGGCCAGCCCAAGCAGCTCCCACAGCGGCCGCCGCCAGAATGGCCAGTAAGTGAGAAAAAAATGCAGATTAAAAAAATAATTCGAGATCCATTTTCTCTAAAGTCACATAATGGAAAAATTAGTGAGGTCATTGAGAAATTAAAATAAACTTTGTTAAATTAAAATAAACTTTATTTTTTGAACTAGTGAGAAAAAATATTTGGCTTATCAGAACAAAGGAATTTTTTTAAAAAAATATAGAAAAAAATTATACAATATCTTCCAGAATAGACAAATAGAAAATTTCTGCACGGTAAATAAAAAAATCTAAAATGTTTTGACCTTTAATTTGAAGCTGCATGATATTTTTGTGAACCTGGCTTGTCTGGATGAGAATTATTGAATTTTTCGTCGATTTACTATAATATTTGAGAGCCTAAACTGATGGTAGAAAGGAATTTTGGGTCCACGAATATTCGGGAGCGCTAATTGTGCATAAACCAATCTAGGGGGCTTGAATCTTTGCAAAGGATTATTGGGAATATTCACCTCTTTTTCGAACTTCCATCTTTTAAACAAAATTGGAAAAACTATAAAAAATCAGAAAAGAGGTGAATGTTCCCAAAAATCGTTTGTAAAGATTCGAGCTCCCAAGATTGGTGTATGCACAATTAACGCTCCCGAATATTCGTGGACCCAAAATTCCTTCCTACTATCCCTAGATTTCGAGAAATCTCCATAAATAATAATTGACATGATCAGTTCAGGGTTCGGCCGCTCTCACTGATCGAGAAGGATCAGTTGGGTGGGAGCTTCTCGGGCAGGTCAGTTGAATAAATTTTTTTTCTTAGGTATTTTACGGCGTTTTCTTAACCACGACCCGCCCATAATTTTTCCGTAAAGTTTAGTGTGTCGTGTGCATACACTGCGGCGCTCTGGCACACGCCACGTTCAAAGTAATTTTCGCGAAATTCAAAATCATTCCTGAATTTCTGAAATTCCGTTTATTTTTCAATCTCTGGTAGCTATTTTGAATTTCGCGGAATTACTTTCAACACGGCATGTGTTTAAAACAAAAAAAGAAAAAAATCGCTTTTTTTAAAAAGAAGAAATGAAATCGTCTCATGACCCATTGAACATGCGTAAACAACAGAAAATATCAAAGGCGCGTTTTTCCGATGACGTCACATGGGAACGGCGGAGGTTTTGATCAGGCCTCCTTAATTTTTGGTTTAAATTAAAACGCTGTGATTCTAAAACGAGCTTTTTGAAACATTTTCGAGTTGCCAGCTTGATGTTTCAACATCTTCTTCTGCTTTTCTAAGTAAAAGAAAAACTGTATTTTTCTTTCCAACGTAATAATTGATTAAATAAGAGATGAAGCCCGTTTATATTCATTGAGTTGAAAAAAAAAATTCAAATTTCGCTTTCTAGTCTATTCACAGAGCCTAACTGGGGCATGGTCGACAACGAGTTGAGAATTGAGACTTTGTGGGTCTAGGTGAGAGTACCCGAAATCCTAAAAAAAAAAAAACTCTGCTAAACCCCACAGACAACCGAGGAAAAGTTTTTTCGAGATTTTTCCAGCGCTTCTACTATTCCCTCATGCAAAGTTTTCTTCTCTCTCGTTATGAGGAGGATCTTCTCAAATCTTTTTGTTGAAAGACAGGATATTCATTAAAATTTAGCTCATTTTGCGCAAAATTTTGTTGAAAATCTTGAAAACTGTCATATCTTCTGACACGCGAAATCGCAAAAAAATTTATTTTTTTCTCGTTGTATTGTTTTTCCGCTAGTACACACGTGTCCGAAAGACAGGTAATTGCTTCCCGAAAAAAATTGAAGTAATTTTCCCGTAAAGTGTAGTGTGTCGTGTGCATACACTGCGGCGCTCTCGCAACCTTCAAAGTAATTTTTGCGAAATTCAAAATCGTGTCTGAATTTCCGAAACACAGTTATATTTTTCACTTTCTGGTGGCTATTTTGAATTTCGCGGATCTTCTCTCAACGCGGCATGTGTTTTAAAACGAAAAAAAAAAAAAACGGAAAAATCGCGTCTTTTTAAAGGAGAAATAGACTTGTCTCATGACCCATTGAACATGCGCCTTTAATATTCCCTGTTATTCACGCTTGTTTCCCATGACGTCACATGGGAGCGGCGGAGGTTTTGACCACGCCCTCCTAAATTTTGAATTTGCGTTTACTTCCACTAACAAAAACGCCGTGCTTCTTTTAATCAATATTCTGTTTTTTAATGTGATTTTAGTAAATTTTCTAGAGAAAATCCCATTATGATAAAGCAAAAACCCTGGCAAAACTAATTTCAGCCAAAAGGATCCGAACCCTGGTCCCAATATTGACAGTGCACAAGACCACTACCCACTACACCACGCCGCCAGTTGCTAGCCGTAGGCTCCGAGCGCGGCCCTGGAAAACGAGCTTTTCTTCGCTGGTTTAGCAGAACTTTATTTTTGAGTCCCAGAACTCTTCCTTAGACCTACCCACCCACAAAGTCTCAATTCTCAGCTCGTTTTCGAGCGGAGACCATGTCCTGGTAAGACTTTGAGCGCTAGAGAAGAAAATGAGGTTTTTTAATGGCTAGAATTTAACTTAGCTCTAGAGTCGGAATCTGTCCGTGATAAAAAAATAGGAAACCTTAAACTTTTTCGAAAATTTAATCCTTTCCCCAAAATACTATTTTTTCTGTTCGACAGCTTCTATCTGTGAGAAACAAAAATGGATAAACTTTTTTAGGAACGTTAACACGGAGAGCTGGCCAGCGGAGAGCCGGCCTAAAGCCCGCGGGCGCCGCCGAGGCCGTGGCCGACGCCGGGATCGACGTCGGCGCCGGTACAGACTTTGGCAAGGCCCGCCGCCGCCCTATTCTGCTTCTGAAAACCCGTCCCCGAGTGGGGCGCACCCCAAGTTTGCGCCCAAGCCTAGGCCCTCCGGTGTCCCGTCTTCCCGTTTCCAGCCCTGAGTCTGTTCCCCCATCCCTTTTGTTTTTAAAAAAGCCACTCATTTATTTGTTCTCGTCCCAACTTTTTCTCTGACCCAAGTCTCAACGGGTCCATACTCAAGTGCCCCCTATAGTGCTTTCACCTCTGACTTTCGGGTTAACTTGTTATTTTTTTTTTCTAACACCTGTGGCGTTCTTTCAAAAACTACCAATCTGATATCTCAGGTATTTCGAAACGGCTATCAAAAATTTTTTTACCGGTATTACCCTTTTTTTTGAAACATTCCATATTTTTTTAATACTATTTTTTTGAATGAACATGTTATCTAGTAAAAATTTATCCAACTGATGTTTATCAGAACTTCATATACAGGAACATGAACTGAAAGTGATCGATTTCGAGGAAATGAGACAATAGATAAAGCTTGGTAATGTCATAAAATGATATTAAGAGCATGAAATTTTGATTTCCGGAATGAAAAATAATTATTTTCTGTGCTTAAAGGATGGATGAGGATGTAGAAGTGATAACGAGCTGTTCAGAAAAACAGAGTGTACAAGTTTTTTGGGTCCTAGTTACGATAAAAAGCCTGGCCAGAGTTTGGAACTCAATTATCTATGGAGCGAATTTTCCGCGGCTTTTATTTCCCAATTAAATTGTCCATGAAGCGGTTATTTTTACCATTCAAAAATTGCAAATTTCTACTGACAAACGATATATTCACATAATAATCGAGTCTTCTGCCGAAACGAATTCTTCGGATTCGCTCGTAGAATTCGTCGTTTGCCAGGGGAGAAGCTGCTCTTCCTCCTGAGGTTCGACTCGTTGCTCTTCTTCTTGTTGTTGCTGAACAGGCGATGGCGCTCTTGGTCTCTCTGTGGGCCGGTAGTTGACGCTGTAATGGACAAATTTCGAAAAATCGATCATTTATTGATTTTCCTCTTTCTCTGCTGCCTCTCAAAGATAAACGCACTCTAATTTTCATGATTTTTTTTTTGAGAAGAATTCCTTCCTTTCACTTTTTGACTGGAATCATTGAAAGATAGAGAGCGTGAGAACTCGAGAGACACTAGAAATCTCTGCTTCTCTACCGTCTCCTCAAACCCAACGCTATTTTTTTCATCTCTGTTCAGAAAGAGAACGGGAGAAAAAATCTGCTTCTCTACTCTCTCTCGAAACCAAACGATCTTTAATTTTTCAATCAACGCGCTCTTCTTCTTACTGATGAGCTAGACGACAGAAAATCATATTTCTCTGCTCTCTCTCGAAACCGAACGATCTCTAATTTTTGAATCAACGCCCTCTTTTTCTAACTGATGAGCTAGACGACAGAAAATCATATTTCTCTGCTTCTCTGTTGTCTCCCAAAATTCAACGCTCTTTAGCGTCTGTTTCATAATGGAAGCTAGAGAGCATGACAACAAGAGAGAGGCTAGATATTTCCTTTTCTCTGCCGTCTCCTGAAACTCAACGCTCCCTAACTCTTCACTCACCTTCTCTGCTCCTCGTAGAGACCGACGAGTGCGAGGAACCAACGTGGGAATTGGAAATCAATATCTCGTAAATACTAAAATGAACTTTTGACTTTTCAGCTTTAAAAATTGATATAACCAAGTAGAACTTGTAACAGCTGCTGAAGTCGCGCGGGGTCGGGTGCACGATGAAATAGGAGCATTTTCCGGCTTTGCCGGCCCTTCCCGTTCGGCCGATTCTGATAAGAAAAGAAATATCAAGGCGATTTGGCTGGCAAGCTGTTTTTGGCGCCAATATGGACTGAAAAAGTGGTCCCTGTAGGGAGTTAAGGTCTGACCCCTTGGTCTCTAAAGCTTGAGTGGTCCCTATAGGGGTCGTTCAATTTTATTCAAAAAAAAAAAAGTTATTTTTTTCAGTTATTTTTTTCTACTTTTTGCAGGCTCTAGGGGCCCCTATAAGGCGGGGACCCTCCAAGAGCCGCTCAGGTTGCCCCTATAGGGGCCACTCGAGATTTTCTGTTTAAAAAAATCTATCAGTTGTCAAAAAAGAAAAGTGGAAGGCGACTCGCGTTTTGGATTCGAATTTCCCGCCAAAAATCGCTCTGGGAACTGTTGCAAAGACATTTGGAATGCCTCAATTTGCAACCGACTCAAAACGACTTGCGCTCAGGAGTATCAGAAAACAAACTACTTGGACAACGGAAACCGAACGCGGCTCGGACCTTTCTGAGCTCTTCTAGGGATCACTTTAGCGGCGTCAACACTCTTAAGTGATCCCTTGGAGCATTCAGGAACGTCCGGTTTGCGTTACAGAGGTCCGAGTAAAGAAATTTCAAGTCATTTATGAATAAAACTCGGATCGCGACGCATTGAGCCATTCTACGTGCGACCACGAAGTTTCATTTTGAATCGATCGCCAATTTGCAACCGACTCAAAACGGCTTGCGCTCTTGATAGGTATTTTCGGTACCAAAAAATAGGGAATTTCGCTGTTTGGTCCAAAAAATCAATAAAGGGGCGTGGCTTAAGTAACCGCACTGTTTGCAGGTCGTGAATGACTCCTTCAAGGTCAGGATTTTTTTATTTAACTTTTTTGATTCTTCTATCACCTCTAGTTGAACACTATGAACTATTGGATGGGTACAAAATTTTTCTCAACTCAAAAAAAAATTCCTCAAAAATTGACCCATTTTCCCTACCAACCTGTGCAACGTCCAGTCGATATCCGGCGAAAAATCAAAGTTTATGATCTGAAAATTGATTTTTTTTTTTCTTTAATGAGACAATTTCAAACATGAGCCAAGGAGGAGACATCCGTTCCGCGGGCCATTTTATTCGTACTGACGACTCCGTGGATTTTCCGCTTTTTCAAGGCATCCAGGGTGTTGTCCTGATCGGCGCCCGTCATCTCACTAGAAACTTTTTTTACCTTAGGGGTTTAGGGTTGACGCCTTCGCCCCTAAAGCTTAAGTGGTTCCTATAGGGGTTAGAGGAAAAGACAGTTCCTATAGGGTCGAAAAAGTGGTCCCTATAGGGTCTCAAGATCTGACCCCTCAGCTCCTGAAGCTTGAGTGACCCCTATAGAAGTTAGTTAGAAGACATTTCCTCTAGAAACGAAAAAGTGGTCCCTAAAGGGTCTCAAGATCTGACCCCTTAGCCGCTGATGCTCAAGTGGTCCCTATAGGGTTTAGGAAAAAGAAATTTCCTCTTGGGACGAAAAAGTGGTCCCATGGTTATGCTTCTTCGCATAGAACTCGTAAAAATTATCGACTAGCCTTATCCCTATAGGGACCACTTTTTCAAGCTTTAGTGACGCCTATAAAGGTTGGTAAAGTGGTCCCTAGAGGGGACCCTCCAAAGGCCCCAAAATTGCCCCTGTAGGGACCACTCAGGAGTTCCTAAGCTGGCCAGTAAAAATATACTCCGAGATGATAACGCCCATTTGTACTTGAAAAGACACAAAAGCACGTACTTTCAGAAAAAATTGCAATGAAAAAAAATTAAATCGGTGAAAAAATCACGAAAAAATTACGAAAAATTATGAAAATTATCCGTGGAGCAACTTTTCTGCAAAATGCGTTTTTCCAACTTTTCCTGGTAAACTTTAAAAAAAATTCTCTTCCAAACTGGGAATTTTTGAAAAAAAACCATTGAACGTGCAATGGTAACTACAGCATGGCAATAAAATTCAAAATCTCATTTTTTCTGGATGTTTCCCTCACCTGCTGTAGCAATCAAAGTTGTAGCCGTACATGATGAGCATGGCGGTCAAAGCGACCGCCCGTTTTTTAGTCTCTACGAAAACGGCGACGCTGTGTTCATATGGGCCTGAAAAAGGGAAAATTCGGAAAAAACTGGATTTTTTGAAAAATTCATCGTTCAAATCGAAAAAAATATGTTTTTCAAGCAGAAAAAACCAAAAAAATGAGTTTTTTTCAATTTTTAAAGGTTTGGGATCAATTCAACCTACAGCCGGATTAAAAATCAGTAATATTTTCTAGCGCTATATTATGCCTCAGCGCGCAAGCCGTTTTTAGTCGGGTGCACTTTTAATCAGCTTTTAAGCCACCGAACATGCGACCTTGAAGAAGCAGTTTTTTACAGAAGTTTCTAAAAGGAGCAATACTTCAACCTTGTCCGCATTTGGAATGGCTCAACGCGTCGCGGTCGCGTTGCGGCTAGTCAAGTTTTCTTAGAGCCGGTCAAAAACCAGCAGATTTCGAAAAGGTTTGGCTAAGCCTCAGCGCGCAAGCCGTTTTTGGTCGGGTGCACTTTTAATCAGCTCTTAAGCCATCCTACATGCGACTTTGAAGTAGCAGTTTTTACGAATTTTCAACCTTCGCCGCATTTGGAATGACTCGACGGTCGTTAGAAAAAAAAAGTTACAGAAATCAGCACCCTTTTCAATGTCTCAGCGCAAGTCATTTTTGGTCGGGCGCTCTTTTTAATGGTTCTTACGGTGGAGCCATTCCACATGCGGCCTGTTAGAACTACGAACAGTTTAGTCTATTTTTTTTATTGATATAGGAGCATTTTTCTCCTAACAAAGAACATTTGTCTGACTTCTGTGCGCCCTCTCCTCTCTCTATACTACCTCACCGACGAGAGAAAAGAGAGCGCAGACAGGTCAGAGAGTCGTGAAGAATGTCTCATAACTCGAAATTAATAAAATTTCCCCATTTTCACTCAATCAAACTCTATTCGCCAGGACATTGAACATTTGTCTGCCTTCTCTGCACTCTCCCCTCTCTCTATACTATCTCACCGATTAGAGAAAAGAGAGCGCAGACAGGTCAGAGAGTTGTGAAAATGTCTTATAACTCGAAATTAATAAAACTTTTATCCCATTTTCACTTAACCAAACTCTATTCGGAAGAATTTTTCACAGATGTCTGACTTTTCTGCGCCCTCTCCTCTCTCTATACTACCTCACCGACGAGAGAAAAGAGAGCGCAGACAGGTCAGGTCGTGAAGAATGTGTTATAACTCGGAACTAATATATCTTTTTCCCATTTTCACTTAATCAAACTCTATTCGGAAGGATTTTTCACAGATGTCTGACTTTTCTGCGCCCTCTTCTCTCTCTATACTACCTCACCGACGAGAGAAAAGAGAGCGCAGACAGGTCAGGTCGTGAAGAATGTGTTATAACTCGGAACTAATATAACTTTTTCCCATTTTCACTTAATCAAACTCTATTCGGAAGAATTTTTCACAGATGTCTGACTTTTCTGCGCCCTCTCCTCTCTCTATACTACCTCACCGACGAGAGAAAAGAGAGCGCAGACAGGTCAGAGAGTCGTGAATAATGTCTTATAACTCGGAACTAATATAACTTTTTCCCATTTTCACTTAATCAAACTCTATTCAGGAGGAATTTTTCACAGATCTCTGACTTCTCTGCACCCTCTCCTTTCTCTACACTATCTCACCGATTAGAGAAAAGAGAGCGCAGACAAGTCAGGTCGTAAAGAATGTGTTATAACTCGGAACTAGTATAATTTTTTGCGTTTTCCCACAAAATGAACCAAATCTAGTCCAAACTTCACAGTGAAACTCAAAATAATCATTTTTTCACTTTTTTTTTTCCCAATGAATTCACCTCCCTTCCCGGCCCCATACTCGGCCAAATCCTCATTGAGCATCTTTTTGAGCCTCTCGAACTTGATGACCAACTCCGTGTCTTGGATACCAACAACTTTTGGGAGTTTTATCTGGAAAATGCGGACGTTTCCAGGCTTTTTTCTTATTTTAAACTTCGATCAGTTCATGATCGATGAGTCCCGAAATGTTGCGGACGACGACCGACGCGTAGGATTCGTCACTGGAAAATTTTAATTTTTGAACAATTTTCGCTTAAAATCAGTTTTCTAGTTTCAAATGGTTACTCAAGACATTTTTCTGAATTTTTTTCCAGTCAAGAAGAAAAATTTATTGGAAATATTAGGCATAATAAATTGAATAAAAATTCTTCAAAAATTTAGTCCGATTTTTCTCAAAAAAACGGTCATTTTTCGTAGTCAATACGTTTCGAACAAAAGAAGCGATTCAAAAAAACTTATCGAAAAAAAGAAAATTTCGAAAAAAATGACGAAAAAAATCAACAAGAAAAAAACAGAAAAAAAGCTATAGGCTATTTTTTTGACGTCAAACGCGCTCTAATGATAAACATCAATTTTTCTTACTTTCACTAGGTCCAAATCTTTCAAAAATCCACATTAATTGATGAAAGTTAATTTAAAAATGTGTTTCAAATGTTTCCTCAAGGACTTCACTACACTACAAATTATCATTTTCAACATTTTTCAATCCATTTTTTCAACTTCATAATCTCGTTTCGAAACAAACCGTGTCAATTTCATCTGCAGGTCGTTGAAAATAACTGAACCATGTTCATTTGAATCAAAAGTCGCTGAGAAGAACATGACCCTCAGGGAATCCTTCAAATTGACCGAAATGTGCATTTCGAAACATATTTTTCGATTTACTTTGACAAAGAGCGGAAATTCGTCGTAGATTTCTTCAACATACGGACCAAAAGTGTCGAATTTGACCATCAAGTCCGCCTCGTCGATGATCAACCATTTGAGCTTGTCAAAGGAGATCTGGAAACTTTCTTAGGGGCGCTAGAGTGGTCCCTAGAGGGGTCAGGGATAAAGCTCTTAGGGTGGACTAAACGATTCTCCTTAGGGATAAAATCTAAGTACTAAGTAGTCCCTATAGGAGTTTAGGGTCCTTGAAGCTCAAGTGGTCCCTTGAGGGGTTAGGGAGAAGAACAACCAGTACAAGGACCAAAAAAGTGATCCCTATAGGGGAAAAATAGAGATGGCCCCTAAAGGGGTTTAGGGCTTGACCCCTTACCCTTTGAGGCTCAAGTGGTCCCTTAGGAATCCCAGAGTGATCTCTATAGGGTTTAGAGCGGAAAACAAACTCTACAAGGGCTGAAAAAACGGTTTCTATAAGATTAAAATTAAAGTGATCCCTAAAGGGGTTTCACGTTTGACCCCTTACTCCCTAAAGCTCAAGTGGTCCCTATAGGAGTTAGAGCGGAAAAAAACCTCTACAAGAGCCGAAAAAGTGGTCTCTATAGTGGTAACATGGAAATGCTTCTTCGCTCAGGGTTCATAACAATTATCAAATAGCATGTCCCCTAGAGTGGCCACTTTTTCAAGCTGCAGCGCCCCCTGTAGGAGGGGATAAGTGGCCCCTGGAGGGGAGACTACAAGAGACCCTGAAGTGACCCCTCTAGGGACCTTTCTGGTGTTCCTGATGGAAAATCGTCAATGGAGCACATTTTCACTATAAAAAGGCTATTTTTTCAGCCTTTTGAGAAGTAAATTATCAACCTCAAACGCGCGCCACGGCTAAAACTTTTTGAGAAAAAAGCCGAAGCAATTATTTTCGAAAAAATTGGCCAAAGAAGGCCCGAAACTGTTTCAAAAGAATTTTCCACAACCATAACCCTCATTTTAATCTCCTAAATTCGGATTTTCTCAACCCGGACTCACTTTTTTGCTCTCGCAGGCAGCTTTGAGCTTTCCCATCGTCGCCACGATAATATTACTTTTAACGACTTCTGAGATCGAAATATTTGCGTCGCCGGTCAGGGCGCCGATATGGACCTCATCGACTGAAATTTGAAGATTTTTCGATTGAACTGGGAAAATTTTTAGTGGCCACTATAGAGGCTCGCCAAGAACACTAAAGTGGCCACTAAACCCAACTCTATAGTGGCCACTATTTTCCGTTGTAGTGGCCACTATAGAGTTCTCTATTTAGTGGCCACTTCAGTAGTTTTTCATCCAGTATTCCTTCCAGTAACACTGATAATTTTAAAACAAACCGATTGGACCAGTTATGTTGATCCATTGACCCCTAAAGTGGCCACTAAGTGGTCTAGTAGTAGCACTGGGACCTCTATAGTGGCCACTAATTTTTAACCCCTTAAGTGGCCACTAAGTTGACTATTATAGTGGCCACTAAAACGTCGAAACCCTATAGGGGCCACTGAAAATTTTCCCAGAAATTGTCTCTTCCCGGTAAACAGAAATGAATTTTAGATGGTAAAAGCTGAATTTTACAGTTTTTAACTAATTAATTTTTTAAAAATCTCTTTTGTCATTCACCTAAGACTGTTTTTTCAAAAACATTTCCACTTTTTCTTAAAAATCCGAAAAAAATCAAAAGTCTTCCTGTGAAAAATTATCTCGTGTAGGTAAACAAAACTGAACTAGAAAAATAACAAATTTGAGGATTTTCTGGTCGAAAAAAATCTGAATTTTATAGTTTTTTTGACTAACTATTTTTGAAATTCTTGCTTGAAAAAGCTTGTCTTGTACAAGAATAAGATGATCATATCCAACCGAATTTTTCACTTTTTTTAGATCAAAAAAACCGGAAAAACAAATCTGACAGTTTTTTTCTGTTAAAACCATCTTTTTCCCGGTCGAAAAAAAGATGAATTTTTACAGTTCTAAACTACTTTTTCAAACTACTCAAAAAAACAGTTTTACAGAGTTACATGATCATTTTCGACCGAAATTTTTCTATTTTTTTCGTTTCAGAGTTCAAAAAAATCTTGAACTCTTTCGTATTGAAATTATCTCTTCCAGGTCGAAAGAAATCAAAAAGTTATATTTTCTATGATTTTTTTGCAAAATTCTTAATGATTTCCTTGATAAGGCCCATTTTTTTGAAAAACTCGGATTTTTTTCGGAAATTAAATTATTAGCGAAAAAAATTCGAGCTTTTGATGGGAATTTTTTTCGAAATAAAGTCTACCAACTTCGATCGCCATTAAAAAATGAGCATTTAGGGCAAATTTGACCCTTTTCTCAAGCGGAAATTATCAAAAAATGGCTTTTTTCAGGTAAATTTTTGAAAAAAGTCCTATTTTTCTGTGAAATCTCACTATTCTCAAGAAGATCCAATCCGAAACGATACGTCTGCATGGCGAGATTCCCCGTGTTGTTCAAAATCAGCACTTGGGGCGATTCGACTCGAGGTTTCCTTGTCCTGAGGAATTATTTTCAATCAAATCCTTTCGATTTTCTCAACCTTTTCTGTTCTTCCAGGATCATTTGAATGGACGGGAGGAGAAAAGAGGCCGTTTTTCCGACTCCAGTCGGGGCGCTTGTTAATAAGTGCTCCTTGGCTGGAAAAATCAGTCGTTTATCGGAAAAAATTGGAATTTTCCAATGTTTTATATTCAAATTTTGTGAGCAAAGCGGTCGCGACGCGTTTTTGGGCGGCGATTTGAAAATTATTAGGTCACAGGGATCCCTATAGGGGCCCTCAAGGTTCCCTCCAGGGACCACTTTGAACTTCCCTATAGGGTCCACTAAAGCATCTCTATGCGAAAAATCAATAAAATAGCTTTTTTGAATGAAAAATATCTACACAGAATGAATCAATCAAGTTTTATCACAACTCAACAAAAAATGAAAAAAATTCCCTATAGGGACCACTCAATTTTTGGAACTTGCGGGTCAGATCCTGAGCCCCTTATGGACCCCTTTTTCGTCCCTAAAGGAACTGTCTTTTTCCCTAAACCCTATAATGATCCCTTGATCTTTTTAAACATAGGGGTCAGACCTTGAACCCCTATAGGGACCCCTTGATCTTTTGAAACATAGGGGTCAGATCTCGAACCTCTATAGGAACCACTTTCCCCTCCCTAGAGGAGCTCAACTTTCCCTAACCCCTACAGAGACCACTTGATCTCTTGAAAATTAGGGGTCAGATCCCGAACCCCTATAGGGACCACTTAACCTTTTGGAACTCAGGGGCCAGATCCCGAGACCCTATAGGGACCACTTTTTCGTCTCTAGAGGAACTGTTCTCTTTTCCTAACCCCTGTAGGGGCCACTCTGACGTCCCTCAGACTTGTTTTTCCAAAAGAGCAATAATTTTTCAAATTGGCGCCAAAAACGCATCGCGACCGCTTTGCAAGCCAAAAAATGATTAAAAATGATCATTTTTTCAAGTTTCGAACTGCGAAAAACCGACTCTTGAGCATTATGGGGATGGTCCTCGTCTGGATTGGCGTCAATTTTTGGAATTTCAGCCGATTTCGGCAATTATCGATGAGCCTTGGGTCGAGAATCCCGCGGATTTCGTCAAAGTTTGGACTGGAAAAAAATTCTTTCGAAAAATAGCTGAAAAAAAGAAATTTTTTTCAAAGTGAAAAAAATTTGAAATTATTCAAAAAAATTCATATGAAGTTTGATCATAGGAAAGTCGAAAAAAACCGGAAACTTTTCAGATTTTTTCGCGGCTTAGTTCTAAAGTTAAAAAAACTAAACGATGGGAAAAGTTCACAATTTTTTTAATCATTTAATCTCACAGAAAAAAGGATGGAATCTGAAAAATTGGACAAAACTCCATTATTTCGTAAAAAAAAACCAAAATAATCCACTTCTTAGAAACTTCAAAGTGGTCCCTTTAGTGGCTCCTTGAATAGTCCCCTCTAGGGACCCCTGTAACAACCCCTAGAGGGGCCACTAAAGCTTGCAAAAAGTGATCCCTAAAGGGAAAAATGTTGTTCGATAATTTTTTTATGAACTCTAAGCGAAGAAGCATTTCCATGGGAAAAAAATAAATAAATAATTGTTTTTTTAATATAAAATTGAGAGACCCCTATAGGGTCCCCTTTAGCTTTAGGGGCTATGGAGTCAGATCCTGAACCCCTATAGGGACCGCATTAATTTTAGCCCTATAGGGACCACTTTTTTGGGTCGTGTACGAGCTGTTTGCTCCCTAAACCCCTATAGGGACCACTTAAGCTTTAGGAGCTAGAAAGTCAGACCCTACACCCCTATAGGGGCCACTTTATCCGTGCCCTATAAGGGCTATTCGTTCCTCTAACCCCTATAGTGACCACCTTAATTTTAGCCCTATAGGGACCACTTTTTCGGCCCTTCTAGGGGTTGCTTTTCTCCCTAACCCCTATAGGGGCCACTCAGGGATTCATAAGCGACAACTTGAGCTTTAGGGGGTAAGGAGTCAGACCGTGAACCCCTGAAGGGACCACTTTAATTTTAGCCCTATAGGGACCACTTTTCCGGCCCCTCTATGTGCTGTTTTTCCCCCTACCCCTTTAGGGACCACTCTGGAATTCCTAAGATTTTCGTAAAGATCAAGATTCAGCTACCTTTCGTCTTAAGAATCCAATTTTTTCATTTTTTCGAGAAAACCGACCTGATCTCTTCGAAACTATCAACAGCCACGTCCACTTCGATTATTCTTTCAATGACGTCACATAAAGTATCGAAATGAGCCCCTTGTTCTTCTCTTTCTTCTCTTTTGTCCACTTCGATACCTAAAAATCCGTTTTTTTCTCAATTTTCTGTACAAAAAAAGCTCAAATTTCCCTTTTAATATTCAAATTTCACTAACCAAAATGTAAAAACTCCAAAATTTTCAATAATTCCCAATTTTTTAGCTCTCTATTTTACAGCTTCTGAAAAAGCCATTTTTTTGAAAAAAATTCCCTGAATTTTTTTCCTTGAAACCTCTCAAAAACCGCCAAAAAAAGACATCATTTTCTCAATTTTTTTCTCATTTTTTTCTGTACAAAAAAAGCTCAAATTTCCCTCTGAAGCTTCAATTTTCACTAACAAAAATGTAAAAACTCCAAAAAAATCAAGGAAATTTCAATAATTTCCAATTTTTTTGGCTTCTCTATATTACAGCTTCTGAAAAAAACGCCATTTTAAAAAAATTTTTAATTCCGAATTATTCTCTCGAAACCTCTCAAAACCGATAAAAAAATCACATTGTTTTCTCAAACTTTATCCTTTTTTTGAACCCCGAAAAATCCCAAATTCACTTCTAAATCTTTAAAAATTAGCGCAGAAAAAAATCTTAAAACCCAAATTCGAAGCTTAATTCACAATTTTTTTCCTAAGAAAAAAACCGTCAAAAAAATTTTTTTCCCCCAATTTTATTCATTTTCGATGAGAACTACGTTAAAAAAATCATATGAAAAAAATTATTTATTTTTTTGCAAAATGAAAAACGAACGACAAGAATCGTAACGACTCCTCCGTGGCCCTCTCGATAGATCCGAATCGCTCGTTTCATTTCTCTCAAAAATTCCATTTTTTTCACATTTTATTGATTTATTTTTTTAAGAAATATCCTTCAAAGAAAAAAAGTAAGTTTAAAAAAATCCAATTCATTCTCCAAAAAAAGAACCGGGTAATTTTTTTAGAAATGTCAAATTTTTTTAAGAGGCCAGGTATTTTTTTAAAAAATCAGGTAATTCTTTGAAAAAGAGAAATATAGAAAAAAACGAAGTATACTATTTTAACAAACTAGGAACTTTTCAGAAAAACAGGAAATTCTTTTGAAAAAAAGAAGAGCCCAGGTAAAAGGAGAACTTGAAACCGTAAACAAGTTTAATTCCCTTTTTTTCAATTAAAAAAATCGATTAATCTACAACTTCTGGGTACACACTAAACGCATTTGAAAAAAATCTTCTTCGAAGGTCAAAATTTCCAAATTCATAGAAAAATCACTTACCGAATCCATGTTTCGAACAAAAATCAAACCAAAAAAATCGATTATAGAAGAAAAAAATAAGAAAAAAATCCTGAAACTGAAAAAAATATTTTTTTAAAAAAATTGAAACCAAAAAAATACGTTCACGTTCTCGTAGGAAACATGCTGAAAAAAAGGACTTTAAAAATTGGAAAAATAAAAAAATTTTTTTATTAAATTTATGAAATTTTGGCTCATAATTCAATACAATCATCATCATGCAGGAAACGAAACGAACCCGACTAGGGACAGAAAAAAAATTATCTAGACGAAAAAAAAACCGGATTGTGACAGAAAAGGCAGAGGAAAAGCATCCTAGGGGGGGACCTGATTTTAAAAATTGTAAAAAAAATTCAATTTCAAGTGAAGAAAAGGATAAAAATGGCAATGATGTAATAGAAAGGGGGTCATGGAAAAGGTGTGTTTATTTGTATTCCTCCATGAATTTCGTGTGGAACGAGCGGAATCGGTCCAGCATGTCCTTGAAGAGGTCCGACTGGGGCAGGATTGTCGTTCTGCAACATTTTTCATTTGTAAAAAGTGACGAAAAAGGTGAGAAAACAGTGGAAAAACCTTTGAAAGCCACTAAAGGCGCCATTTTTCTCAAAATACATTTTTTATTCTCGCGAAAAATGTTAGTTACTGTAGAAACCGTCTATTATAAGATTCAAGGTGTTGAACATTTTTGAGACATAGACAAAGGTTGAAAAAAAGAAGGACAAAATGGAATTTGAAGTTCTGGAACATTTTTTTCATCAGGAAAAAGCTGATGAAAAAAAGAGAAAAATAAAATTAAAAAAACGCTTCGAAATATGATTTCAAGCGCCTAAAATTGATTTTTAAGGCTCCATTTTTTTCTCAACAAAAATTTATTCACCCCCATTTTTCGCATAAAAAAACGGTTACTGTAGAAACCGTCTATCATAAAAATTCAAAAAAACGTCGTAAAACTTTTTTTAGACATTTTTTTCTAGAAAAAAACATAAAAAGGCCGAAAGGTGGTTTTTAGAACATTTTTTTCATCAGGAAAAAGCTGAAGAAAAAAAGAAAAATATAATGAAAAAAACGCTTCAAAAATATATTTCAAAGGGCCTAAAATTGACTTTACGGCTCCATTTTTTTCTCCAAAAAAATATTTTATTCACTGAAATTTCCGAAAGAGAGTAGCTACTGTAGAAACCGTTCATTATAAAAAAATCGAGAAGGTTGTGAGTTTTTTTAAAAAAATACTTTCGTTAGAAAAAAAGGTGAAAAAAAGGATAAAATTTAATTTTTTTGGAACATTTTTTTCATCAGGAAAAAGCTGAAGAAAAAAAGAAAAAAATATAATGAAAAAAACGCTTCAAAATATGATTTCAAGCGCCTAAAATTGATTTTAAGGCTCCATTTTTTTCTCGAAAAAAATATTTTATGCAGCGAAAAAAAGGTTATCTCCTGTAGAAACCTTCTATTATAAAAATTCAAAAAAACGTCGTAAAATTTTTTTAGACATTTTTTTTCTAAAAAAAGATGAAAAAAAGGACAAAATGTGGTTTTCTGGAACATTAAAATCACTAAAAATCAGTAAAATCCGAAGAAAAAGTCCTTTATAGATTTTTTTCAAATGCCGACAATCAATTTTAAGGCACCATATTCCTCAAAAAAATATATTTTTCGCACCGAAACTTCCAAAAAAAGGCAGCTACTGTGGAAACTCTCTACTACAAAAAAATCAAGAAGGTGTTAAATTTTTTTGAGACGTTTCTTTAGAAAAAAAGGTGAAAGAAGAAGGAGAAAATAAACATTTTTTCATCAGGAAAAGCTGAAGAAAAAAAGAAAATATCATGAAAAACGCTTAAAAATATCTTTTCAAGGGCCAAAAATTGATTTTGAGGCTCCATTTTTCTCAAAAAAAATGTTAATATACCGAAATTGAAAAGAAAAAGGTGTAGAAACGGTCTATTATAAAATTCAAAACGTTAAAATTTTTTTTAGACATTTTTGTTTAAAAAAAGGTGGAAAAAGAAGGACAGAATTTTATTCAAAAAAACCTTTTCAAGGGCCAAAATTAATTTTAAGGCTCCATTTTTTTCTTAAAAATACATATTTTACTCTCGCAAAAAAATTACTGTAATTATTGTAGATGTTGTAACTGTTAATTCTTGTAGAAAGCTTCTATATGAAAATCCAGAATGCCTCAACTTTTTTTTCATAAAGTTGAGGTGAGAAAAGAAGGCCAAGATGAGGTTTTCTGAGAAGTTTAGGTCATTTTTGATACAATTTTGAAAATTTCAACTTTTCCAGGCCTTTTTGAAAAAGCTACAGATCCTCCCTACAGAGCTAAAAAAAATGGGTTTTCTGAAAAGTCGGTAAAATTAGGTGCATTTTCAAAATTTCGAACTTTATCCAGGTTTTTTGAAAAAGCTACAGATCATCCCTACATAGTTTGAAAAAAAGCAATTAACCCTAGGAAATATAGCGAACATTTTCCTAGGTGCAAGGTTTCAAATCAACTCTTCTCCTACCTGAAATGATAGGTTCCATCCTTTTGTCCGAATCCGCTGCCGGGGACGATGCAAACGCCGGTCGCCTCCAGAAGCTGCATCGCGTAGAAGAAGTCGGGCTCTTGGTTCAGCGACTGGAAGAAAAAAAAAACTCCTTATTTCTGACGTTGAAAAAGCTTCATGAACATTTTTCATCGTAAGAAAGGTGAAGAGAAATACGGCTAAATTTCCTCCCCCACGGCGTTTTTGTTATTGGAAGAAAATGCGAATTCAAAAATCAAGGGGGCGTGGTCAAAACCTCCGCCGTTCCCATGTGACGTCATGGGAAAAACGCGTAAACCACAGGGAATATTAAAGGCGCATGTCCAATGGGTCCTGAGACGAACCGATTTCACATTAAAAAAACGCGATTTTTTTGTTTTTGTTTTAAAACACATGCCGTGTTGAGAGTAGTTCCGCCAAATTCAAAAATAGCCACCAAAAAGTGCAAAACATAACTGAATATCAAAAATTTAGATACGATTCTGAATTTCGCAAAAATTAATTTGAACACGGTATGCGCGAGAGCGTCGCGGTGCATGCACACGACACACTACACTTTACGGAAAAATGTGCCAAAAAACCCAAAAGCTTGGGAAAAGTTCTCAAAACCGTACTCGGGCCTTCTCGACGGCCCTGGCGGGAAGATGGATCTGCGGGAAGGCGTACATGGCGCCTTGGACCGGGTTGCAGGAGATTCCTTCGATGCTGCCGTAGGCCTTTTCGACGAGAGTGGCGCGTTCTTTCAGGGAGGCGAGCACCGAGTCGCGTTCCTGAAAATCGATTTCTTTGAAAATATGAAAGTAAGATAAATCTCCTATCAGTGCATACGCCTCTTTTCATTAGTGACGTCATGGCGGAAGTTTAATTAAGTAGGTTCTAAAGAACTTCTATAGTGGTCTAAACATTTTCCAAGGAATAGTCACTAAATAGAAAAAAATTAATTTTGAAGAGAGTTTGGAACAGGAAACACGTTTAAGTCGCTTTTTTTTTTCCAAGCCGACTGAAAATTGTACTGCAAATTCCGAATTTACACCGAAAAAACTTCAATTTAGAGCAAATTTTTTTTTAGAATTCACTCCAATCTCGTCCATAATCCATGTCCTCTATTTAGAACAAAATTAAACGAAAAAAAGACCAATATAAGAGAAAAAAATAGGGAGAAAAATTATGCTTAAACCGAAAAAAAATATTTAAAAAAACCGTAACCAAAAATACGTTTTCAAAAACTATTTTTTATTGAAATCTTTGTGAGAAAAAGTGGAATCAAGAATTATTTCATCGTAAAAAAAAATGGAACAAAAACGCGAGAAAGTAGGTTAAAAAAACAAAAATGTACTTCTTTTGCGTTTTGAGAAACTTTTTTTCAACTTTTTGTTTGAAAAAAAAGTAAAAGTTTGAACTGAAATTTTTTTTTCCTTTTTTATGTAGGCTTTTCAAAAGTTTTCTCACCTTTTTCCACTGTTCATAGGAGGGTTCTCCAGGCTTGGGCGGGTTGACGACGGCGTCGATGACGGCCTGGAAACTACTCCTTTCATCACAGACAAGGACTGAAGAAGAAATTTATTCGATGGGTGTTCAAAAAATCCACAATTCGTACAGGATTCTCAAGTTTCTTGCCCTAATTTCTTCGAAGATCCCTATTTTCCGTATAAAAACCGAAAAATTGAACAAAAAAATCGTAGCAAATAAAGATTAAATGAAGAAATGAAGCTTTTCGTTTTAAAAAGTGTTCTCTGTTCAATTCTCGAGCCCATATTGCCCTGACACCAAAAATTTACGTCTATTTCTCAATTTTGTTCCACTTTTCGAGATAGAACTTGTCCTAATTATAAATTTTACCTTTTATCAAACAATTTATCTAAAAAAACTCAAATTCCTCCAAATTGCCTTAAAATCATCTACACACTTTTTAAACTTCTGGAAAAACATTCAAGGTTTTTAAATTTCTTTATTATCTCAAAAAAACACATAGACCTATCCCTGGACGGCGCATTTATAAACTTCAAAAAAATCATTTCAGTTTCTAAAAAAATCTGTATAAACTTCCCCTTTTTAGAGAAACATTAAGAAAATAGTCTTTCAAGAGTTTCTTTACTCAGATTGACCTCAAAAATCTGTAGATCAATTCTCAAGCAAAAAACGTTGATAAACATGGATTCCTATCATTTTTCCGCATTTCCAACCCGTTTTTTCTCCTTGGAGCAAATTTACCTGTCCCAAAACGGTCGAGCAAAGCTTGGCGGAGCACATTTTCTTGTACAAGACGTAGACTTCGGGGTCGAGGTTCAGGAATTCGACATAGCCGCCGCGGAGGCCGCACTCGCCCATGTAGCCTTTGGAGACCGAGTGGAACGAGGCGAGTTCCAATCTGATTTTTGAACAAAATGGCTATTTTTCATTCGAGAGACTATTTTTTGAAAATTCTCAAGAAGAAAAAGACGAAAAATCACATTTTGAAGTCATTTTTTTGATGAATCAACTGTCAAAAAAGTCACAAAAGATGAAGGCCAAAAATCAACGGTTTTCGAACAAATTCAGTCATTTTCTCCTAAATGATCACCAAAAGCTCATTTTTCTGAGCTTCTGGAGCTGAAATTCCTCTTCTAACATCGAAAATTCTCTCAAATTCAACCAAAAAAATCTTTTTTTCGGAGCTATTTGAGTTCGAAATCTTGCGAAATCCACGTTGTTTGAAAACAAAAAAAAAACAAAAAAATTTAAGCATTTTCTAGTGAAAAATTCGAGCAAAAAAATCAACCAAAAACTACTTTTTCTGAGCTTTTGGGGCTGTAATCCCTTCACTAAAATCAAAAAATCCCTCAATTTTCACCAAAAACTCTTTTTTTCAAGCTTCTTGAGCTCGAAATCCTTGCACAAACCCCATTTTTCTCTAAATATTCACCAAATATTCACAAAATTCCGTTTTCTGAGCTTCTGGGGCTGTGATCCTTTCATTAAAAACTTAATATTTTTCTCAATTTTCGCCAAAAATTCACAAAATTCCGTTTTCTAAGCTTCTGAAGCTGAAATCCCTTCACTAACATCAAAAATTCCCTCAATTTTCACCAAAAATCCACAAAATTCCGTTTTCTGAGCTTCTGGGGCTGTGATCCCTCCATTAAAAACTTGATATTTTTCTCAATTTCACCAAAAAATCTTTTTTTAAGCTTCTGGAGCTGAAATTTCTTTACTAACATCAAAATTTCCCTCAATTTTCACCAAAAATCCACAAAAACTGCCTTTTTTGAGCTTCTGGAGCTGAAATCCCTTCACTAACATCAAAAATTCCCTCAATTTTCATCAAAAATCCACAAAAACTTCTTTTTTTTGAGCTTCTGGGGCTGTATTCCTTCCATTAAAAAAACTTGATATTTTTTTCTCAATTTACTCAAAAAAACTCCTTTTTCTCAAGCTTCTGGAGCTGAAAAATCCGTTACTAAACACCAAATCTTCATCGCAATTTTTCTCAAAAATTCTCAAAAATTTCTTTTTTTCTGAGTTTCTAGAGCTCAAAAGTCCTTGCACCAAAACCAAATTTTCCCCAAAAATTCACAAAAAATATTTTTTTATGCTTCTGGAGCTCAAAATCTTGACTAAAAAACCCATTTTCCCTCAAAAAATGCCAATTATTTTCCTCCCGCCCAACTCCCCACTTGTTGTAAGGGTCGCCCAGCTCGCTGACGACCTTCTTGAACGAATGGAATTCGGATCCTTGGGCGTAGACGTTGTCCTGGTAGACTTCGTCAGCCAGCAGGAAAAGCTTGTGTTTGTGGGCGAATTTGATGATCGTCTCGATGTTTTTTCGCGACAGGACCTGAGAACAAAAATGACATAAAATATGGAGAAAAATCCTCAATTTTTATGACAATGGGGAACAAAAAAAAGAAGTATTTTTCGCAAAAAAATGGGCTTGAAAAAGGGAAAAAAAATTTTTTTTTTTCAGAGAATCGAAGAATTCTTCAGTTAATTTTGTTAGAAATGAAGAAAGTTATTTCAAAAAATTCTTTTTTTTTTCGTGAAAAATCCCTTTTTTCAACGGAGCGAAAGACGAAAAATCTTAATAATTCCGTCATAAATGGCAAAAAAAAAGAGTTTCGAATTTCCAGGAAAAACCTTGAGTCTTCAAAAAAAAACCTGTCCCGTGGGATTCCCAGGGTTGATAACGCACAAGACACGGGTATCGTAGGTCTTGAGACTTTCGCTCAGAGACCTTTCCAGCTCCTTCTCGTCCAACGACCAGTTGCTCTCCTCGTTCAGGAAGTAGCCAATCTTGAGAAAAACAGCTTCTTTTTTTTTTTAATATTTCATCCAGTCAAATTAACTAAGCTCTTCCATTCCATCACAGGTCACATCGAAAAAAAAATGATACCCCTATTTTTTTCATCAAAAATTGCCTTTAATGAATCCCAAGTCAGTTCCGATTCACTCAAAAAAAGCCGAAAAATTCTGGAAAAAAATCGAATTTTCAGTATAAATCCCTTTAATTTTTTTCTTTAAAAATCTTTCTTTTATCCTTTTTAAATTTTTTTGTCTCCTTCTGTACCTCTCCCGAGTCATATTCAAAAGAGGATATTCTGAATTTTTTTCCATGAAAAAAACGCCAAAAACCAGATGAAAAATTTCAACTCTGAAATACTCAAAAAAATCAAAAAAATACTGGAAAAAAAGGCAAATTTTTTTAGAAAGAACCCCTCAACTTTTCCGTGTAATTTTCCTCTGCCCCCCTCAAAAAAACCTGGAGAATCCCTAATTTTTTTCTGTCAAAACTTTCAACCATCCATTCTTTGTTTTTTTGGTCTTTTCTTTGCCCCCCAAAACCAAAAAAATTCTGGAGAAAAACCCGTTTTGCCCCTGAATTCCTTTTATTTTTTTTCGTGGATCATTTATTTTTTTTCTCTGTATTTTTATTGCACCGCCCCCCTTCCCCACCTGTCCCAAGTCACAATCCAAAAATAATGTTTATCTGATTTCTTTTTTTCCCATCAAAAAAATGGATGCAAGTTTCGATCCTAAAACGCTCAAAAAGCCCGAAATTCTGAAAAAAAGTGAGTTTTCAGTATTAATCCCTGAATTTTTTTCCGTCAAATATTTCATATTCTTTTCACCCCCCTCCACAAACCTGTCCCAGGCCATACTCCGCCAATGTGGCCGAATAGAGGGGATACTGCGGGATGGGGATCATGACGCCGATGGGCTTCGGCGAGCTGTGGTTGATGAACAGCTTCAAGACGTTCCGGATGGATTCGGAAGCGCCGCCGGAGAGGCAAATGTTGTCAAAGTTGGATTTGACGCCGCCGTCGCGTTTCTGGAACAGAGAAATGCTCAGTTTTGGGTTGATTTGAAGCAGGAAACTTCGATATAGTCGGCCACGTGTTGGCGGATGACGTCAACGCCCGTACTTTGGGAGTAGGCGCCGACGGATTGGCCTCCGCAGCCGCCCAGGATCGTCTGAACATTGAAAATCCAATAGATTCCTCACAAATGAATGGAAAAGCCGAACAATCGGATAAAAAAATTTAGGTAGCACTAATTTTTCCTCGTTTCATTGAAAATCGGCATATTTTTTCGTATAAGGCCTTCAAAAGTACCGTACTTCACCCGTTTTCGCTTCGAGACCTTAGTGCAATCATATTTGAACTTGTTTAAAGCAAAATTGTAGCCCATTTCAGGTCACATTTCGTTTGACGACCAAAAAAAAAATCCGGAACAATTTTTCGAAGACTAGTCTACGTTAGTTGATTTTAAATACTAGGAAATATGACCAAAACCCGAATAATTTATGAAAATTGCCAAAATTGATGCGAATTTCGTTACTGAAACATTGGAAAAAGCCAAAAGAGCCATTGAAAAAAACTTAATTTCATGCAGATCAATACTAAAAAGCCTGTTGAAGAAGTAGAAAAAGTTAAAATCTTCTGAAAAAAATTTCTCCAAAGTTTAAAAGAGAATTTTTGTTTGCTTATTGAAACATTTCTCGAAGGAAATCTTGGCCCTTTGTCTTTAATATTATTTTTTTTGATTTTTGACAGAGAATTTTTTTGGAAAAAAATTCGAAGGTTTCTACTAAAAATAATGTTGGAACAAAAAGTCAAATGCTGATACAATCATTTCGCAGAATTTTGTGTGGATAAACTATTTTTTTCAAACAAAACCTTGGCCCCTGCCACTAAATCCTTAAAAATTATTCTATGGTTAGGTAAATTTCAATAAAAAAACTCGAAGATTAGTTCAAAAGGACGAGAGTTAAAAATTTTTCCGAGAGATTTTTTTCCCATTCAAAAAAATATTCAGACTTTTTTTCCAAGAAGTTTTGCTCGATAAACCATTTTTTTCATACGTAACCTTGGCGCATCAGTAATATTATTTCATTTTATTTATCGATTTAGATAGCTAATTTTCGATTGAAACTTCAATTTTAGTTCAAAAGTATCATTAGAAGAGAAGTAAAAGCTTCAAAATTTTGGAAAAAAAATTTTTTCAACTATTTTTCAGAGGAAACCTTGGCCCTTTCGACGACGTCCGACGGGAAATCGCCCTTTTCCATGAGCGACGGATCCGTGACGCAGGTAAGCACCTTGGAAAACATATCAATACTTTTCAGGTGATTTTCCACTTACCTGTCGGATAAAAGTGATCGGTTTTTGTCCCATCGCATGAGCATCTCCGATGTTCGCCTTGATCACACTTTTGAACGGCTTTTTGGCTCCCTGAACAGAAAATCTATAAAAAACTCCTTTTTCCTTGGGAACTGGGGTCAGTTTGAGAATTTCCCCGTAAAAAAAAGTCAGAACAAGACCAGTATTTTAAGATTAAAATTGGGCTCGTAACAACAAAACCTTTCACAAGGGAGATCATTCAACTTTTAGAATTCTCCAGGAAAATCGCTCAAATATTTTCTGAAGGTCCAGAAATATATTCCCAATAGTCGCTATCTGGTCAAACTTCTAGTTTTTGAGATATGATTTTCCAAAGTTGCGAAATATAAGTTTTAGAACTCCAAAATTAGTTATCTCAAAAACTAGAAGCTGCCGCTGCTTGCAACTTTGATAAGTCTTCATATAAACCTACAGAGATTATTTGAGCAAATTTTAGAAAATCCCAAGTCGCAAATTAAAATGATTTCCCGTGTCAGTGATTTTCTGAAATCCTAAAATACTTCTTTGAAAAACGTTTTAGAAACGATTAGGGTCATATCTTTCGCCTTGAAGTTGCTACAGTTATAAACTACTTGGTTTTTTTCTTGACCTTTTAAGAAAAAAATGCGAAAAAAAAGTAGGGTCAGGGAAACTTTCGATACTTTTCAGGAGCTCAAAAATGAGCTATAGATTTTTATTTTTTGGTTTTTTTCTCAAGAAAAGCCAGGGCCGGCTCGCCCTGACGCAAAAGCCTGACTGAAATGACAAACTTCGGCGAGTTCGTGTTCCAATTGAACGGCTCGGATGACGATCGGGCCACGGACGGCGTACTGCATCGTGATGACGTTGGGGTTGATGTTTTCCACATTCAGAATCTGAATTTCTTCAAATCAATAAGGAAGGATGGAAAAAGGAAGAGTTGTAGCTGCTCAAAGTGTTCATTTTTTGAAAACCATAAAATCCCCCCGCAAGTTGAACTTATGATGAAAAATTTGCTGAAGTGTCAATCAGCAAAGTTTCATCAAAAAGTTCAACAGGGGGTAAAAAAACATTCCCTAGTAAGTGATCCGCAAATTAGAAAAATAATAAGCTTTTTTTCAGTGTATATTCTTGTTGTAGAAAAAAACCGTGAAACGATAAAAAAATTCAAAAACCTGAAATATTGTGAAAACTGTAGAACAAGTAAATCTAAAAAAATCTAAGATAAAACACGGAATTTTTAAAAAAATTCCCATAAATAAATCCATTTTTGAGCAGATATTTAAAAAAAATTCTTCATAAATCACTGATTTTTTTCAGCAGGAAAAAGCGTTAAAACCAAGTTTCAAAGTTACAAAAAAATGAAATAAACATATAAAAAAATCAAATCTGAACTAAAAATAAAAAAATCGAACACTTTCTGAAGTTAAATAACTTTGAAAAAAGGTTCTAAATCTCTTCAAACGTTTGAAAATGCTTAGAAAAAGCAAAAAATTGCATTTCAAATAAACAAATATTGCAGAAAATTCAATTCCATTAAAAAAAAACCTGAAAAATTCAATTCCAAACAAAAAATATCCCAAAAATCTCAATTTTTCCACAAAATACTCGTTGAAAACCTTGTTCGACGCCATATTTCTGGACGTTGTCGTGAAACCAAGCAACTTTTTCGTTGAGTTGATCGCCCCGCGTGTGAATCTCATACTGAAAATGGTGAAAAATGAAAAGAAAATGAGGAAAAAGGCTGGAAAAAAGAAAAAAAGTGGGATATCACGCGCGCCGTTTCTCTGTTTACAGATCAATTATCAACTGGGCTCTTGAAAATCTTATATATTCGTGAAACTAAAGCAAATATCGTTCAAGTTGGAGAATTTAAAACAAAAAAATTGAGTTAAAAAACGATAATTCGCATTTTCTAACAGTCAAATCAGTTTTAAAACGAACAGAAAAAATTCGAATTTCTGAAATTTTAATTTTTTTAAAGATCTCTGCGCACCTTTTCAAAGCTTGAAACCCTTCAGAATGCGATAAAAATTTAAAATCGCTGATTTTCAGAATAGAAAACCTAGAAAAAAACAGCTTGAGAAAAAAAACCCAAGTGACCACTTAAGGGGAAAAAAAAGATAGGAATTTCGAAATTTCTTGTTCTTGCAGAGGAATCAAAGATATTTTTTTGACAAACTTTAAAAAAGCTTTAATGAAACCGAGAAATGATATAAAACCCTATCAAAAGCACTTTGAAAACAAAGAAAGTGCGCCCTATTGAGAAGTTTTTTCAAAAATCGCTTTTTTTCGGGTTTTTGGGAAGCTAAGGGGAAAAAGATCATTAAAACATACTTTCAACTTTTCTGAAGCGAAAAAAAGTGAATTTCGAGCTTTAACTATTAAAATTTGCTCTTAAAAGATGATAAATTAAACCTAAACTTGGCAAAAACATACCAAAAATGGCAAAAAACAAAAAAAAAAAAAGTTTCCCGTTCAAATCAATGCGAAAAAAACCAGAAAACAACGCTTCTTATCAGTATCTCTCCGACGCAATTTTTCTCAACCGAACGCAAAAAAATCGAACCATTTCGCATCAAATTTTATTTCAATGAAAATGAAGACAATTTGCAAACTTACAACTATAAAAAACACAACTTTACACTGAAAATTGTGTTAATTGGAAGCGAAAGACGAGTCGTGGATCGATAAGTCTGCAAAAAACGGCTGGAGGGTGCTGGAAAATTAACGAAAAACTGAAAATTTGGACGGAAAAGGGAGAAAAAGGTCATTTCAGGGTGGAAATGATACATTTATTGATAAGATATCAAGGGGAAATTGAAAAGGAATTTTACTAAAGTGAAGGAAAAAAAAAGAAAAACAGGAATATTTGAAATTTCCGTTTTAAAAATGCTGGGCTGTCAAAATCAGCTGCAAAAACTAAAAAATGGACTAAATGAAATTCTTGAAACTGCTTTATCTTTTATAAAATTGATGAAATAATGATTTTTTTGAGCTGGAAAAATGCAAAAATTTTACTTTGAATAGTTAAAAATTACAAGATCAAGCTTCCAAATGACAAGGATTTTTCGCTTAAAAATTTATTAAAATTTTTTTAAAAACTGAAAAAAATAGTTTTTTTGAACTTTAAAGAACCTGATTAGCCCAATTTTCCATCTCAAAATAGAGTAATTTCATTATTTTCAATGAATTCTAATGCTAAATTTGTCGCAAAAACTAAAAATTTGTCTTAAAAATGGAAAATTGTCTTAAAAAACTTGAAAAAACCCATCCCAGCCAACCAAAATTGACAGAAAAACTGGAAACTTGAATTGAATTTCGCGCACACCAAGAATAAAAATCAACCTTGCCGTGGTTCTCATCGGAACTGAAGATGGAACAAGGCACAAAAACTCGAACGAAATGCACAGGGAAGGGAAGAGAGACGGCGTGTTAGGGAAACGGCCGACGGCCACAACAAACCAATTCTTTTTCCTCTTTCCACGCCCTGCCCACAGGGTATCGATGCCAAAATGTAAATAACACCAAATTTATCGAGTTTTGAAAGGGAAAAATGTTCATTTTTCAGCTTGAAATGAGCATTTTTCAAGCTCAAACATCAACTGGAACATCTTAAAAATGTTTTACAAGCTCCAAAAAAAAGAAGAAAAAAGAGTTCTGAGCAAGAATTTCTAGGCAGAAGCTCCAAAAATTCCGACAAAGACAAAAGAACGCCGAAAAGCCAAAGAGAAGAAAAAAAAACTGGCCTACGTGTTTTTCAAAAGTTGTGCACAACTTTAAACTACGTGATAAAAGGCTCGACTCCCGCTCGTCCAATATTTGCTTGAAAACAAATAAAACACCGTTCGGGCCTTATAAAAGTTACGTGGGGAAAGCAATCAAACCATCGAAAGAAGGGAAAAAAATTCTGGTCAGAAAACACAAACCGGGCATTTCAATGAAATGCGCGTGTCTAAAAATAGAATAGCAACAGATATCAAATTCTGGAAAGAAAACGAGAAGAAAAAGAAAAAGAAGGAAAAAAAAACCTAAAAAAAATAAAAAATACAATTGTCGTGAGGATTCATACACACCAAACAACGTCCCCATTGGCTACAGTAACCCAAAAAAATAGATTATTTTGGCTCAAAGTTTTCAATTTTTACTATTAGAAATCGTAAGACTCACGTTTCGTGATAAGACATCGGCAAAAATCGTGAGCATGAGACGGTAGAAATAAAAAAAGATCCACGCTGATTTTTTTTATTTTTTTATACTTTTAAAAATTCCATAATTTTTTTTCTTATCAAACGCAAACAGTTTAAAGATCGTAAAAAGATCCCAGGAACATGGAAATATTCGTCGTCCCATCTGCCTCGATATAAACTTAATTAGAAGCGCCGAATGCAGCAATAGCTCCGGAAAATTTCAGTTTTCCTCGGATTCTTCCCCATTTATCGACAACTTCCGTACTTTACAGACGTCTAGTTTTATATTCAGATTAAATTTTGAAATATCCAAAATGCTGGAAGAAGACTTCACTCCTGCCGAGACTACGGACAACGGCAAGCACCGATGGAAAAAGGTTGAATTTTTTTGAAGATTTTCTTTAATTATTTCAAGACGGTCAAAATGGCCTTGCCCCACGTGGGTCTTGGAGTTCTGCTATTTCTCTACCTACTCATCGGGGCTTCGATTTTCAACTATTTGGAGTACGAAGCCGATGTCAAAATACAGAAGGCGAAGCTCGATAGGCTAAAGACGGTAAATATAACATCTTGAAAAAAAAAAAACCGTAAAATAACTTGGATCTTTGAAAAAAAATTGAGAGTTGGCCGTTTTGAACAAAGAAACAAGCGCGTAAAATCTGTGGTCAACGCTCTCATTAAGGTTTTTCAATAACCCTTCATCAGAACGGAAAAATATGAAAAATATGAAAAATCAAAAATAAAAACAAAAAATGTAACATTAGGCGTGAGCTGGTGGGTTTTGTGCATACACTCCGTCTAGCACAGGCAAAAAACCTACAGTAATCGAAAATTATCGCAAAAACTTTTTTTTCAGTTTTTTTTTCAGTTCTTTCAATTTTTATTTGTACAGTGATTATTTCAGGATTATAAAAACGTAGTTGAAGCTGTGCGTGACGTTATTGGTGATGAGGAAAACTTTGCCGAATATGAACCACTCCTTTTTAAACAATTGTCAAAGTAACATTTTTTTTTCTTCGAATAAAAAGCAACAATATTTAGGTTATCAACGCTCCATGAAGGACGATATTTTGAGTTGGATCCCGGAATGTTGTCCGAAGACGCTCTATCGGCCCGTTGGACCAAAAGCAGCTCATTTCTCTACGCTTTGAGCATTTTGGTTAGACTTTTTGTCTTGCAATGTTCAAAAATTGGATTTTCAGACCACAACAGGATATGCCTATGCTGTTCCAGTAACAGGCCTTGGCCAATGTTTCGCGATAGCTTATGGACTTGTTGGTATTCCATTGATGGTCCTTGCCGCCGTGGATATCGGCAAATTTTTGTCTCATATCGTCCTGGAAGCTTATGCCAAGGTTGTATAAGGAAAAAATAGAAGACATTCTGAATTTAGTACCTAAAATTCCTGGAGAAAATCGGTCGGAAGAAGCGAGACATGTCCTTGAAGAGGAAGAGGTGAGAAATTTCCGATTCTGAGGCTTCGAAATGAATTTTTCATCGGTCCAAAATGTTTCAAATGCTTGTTTAAACCTTAAATCCAACAGCAAGTTTAAAAAAAACAAAAAAAAATGTCTCGAAAACTAAAATTTCGTTGGAGCGCACTTGACTTATTAAAAATAGCCTTCAGAACTTTTTGAGCATTTTCTGAAGCCCAGATTGTCTATAACTTTTTAAAAAAATGTTTAAAAACTTTCAAAATTATTTCAAAAACATGAAAAAAAGAATTGCCAAGCGGTTGAAAAAAACTCATTTTTTTAAATCGAATTTTCACTTGTTTTTTTGAGAATTTTTTTAATTTAACTACCGTATTTTTTTAAAAAGTTATCAAAGCTAAGGACAAGAAAAAAAGCTTGGATTTGAGTTTCAAATTTAGAAAAAAATAGTAAAGATCAGAAATTTAGGAAATAGAAGCTTAAGACCAACTCTATCTTGTCATTTTTCACTGAAAGTGAAAAATTCGAGGCTTTTTCTCAATTTCAAGACTTTGAATTGCAAAAGTCAGGTCATTTTTTCGATATTGCAACCAATTAAAAATTAATCGAGCTTGAGAATTTGAAAAAAAACTTGGATTTGAGCTTCAAATTGGAAAAAAAAAAGAAAAAAGCTCTGTTTTTTTGATAAATGGAAGCTTAAGATCAACTCAATCTTTTTAATTTTTTCTCTAAAAGGGGAAATTTCGAGCCCCGCCCCTTTTCGCGATGGAAAAAAGGCCATTTTTTTGGTGTTCCGTCTTTGACTGTTTCGTACAACCGATAGAAACAATGAAAAATGATGAAAATTTCAGCATACATGTAGAAAAGGTTCCTCTTTCCGTTGAGCAGGTTTTTAGGTACTTTCCATGTGTTTCAAAGATCACTGTAGGATGGAGTTGTGCACTCACTGTGACAAAAGTGATGGTAATCTGGAATGAAAGCTCGTAAAACCTTCTACGGCTCATGAAACCGTGCCGCCCTTGCAAATAAGCGTGCGCGCAGATTGCATAAGAGCTCGCAAAACCAAATTTTCAATGCAAAAAATTTTGCTTTTCGATCACTTTTAAATATTGTTTTCTCCTCTTATTCTTAATATTTTTCGTTTTTCTTTTCTGTTTTCGTATACTACATGTTGCAATCATTATTTTTATAACAAAAACTAGGAACTAGCTTGAGTTCGAAAAATAGTTTTGTGGTCCCTAGACACTACTCACCTAGTGATCCTTCAGAAGTCGACTCGGGAAGGACGGCGAGACGGCGAAGATGATCGACGACGCGGCTTCCAGCGACGTCGGCGACGCCGACAAGGCCTCGACGCCTCCAGAACGACGTCTTCCCTTGGTCATCAACGCCTCGATTCTGCTCGTCTTCTGCATGCTCGGCGGCATTCTCTACATCGCTGCAGGTTGAAATTATTAGAATTTTCTACAAAGATTAAAAGAAGTTTTCTTGGTAGAAAATTCAATTTTTTTTTCAATTCTAAAATAAGTTTGGTGAGCTCATTGTGCTTCAAAATTTAAAAAAAATGGCTGTAAAAAGTCCCAGTCGCATCTCATGATAAAAACTGATTAAAAAATCATTTTTGATGAATAAATTTGAGATAAATAAGAAAATAAATTAATAAATAATAAGAGTGACCTCTTAAGTGACCACTTTGGGCGTTTCAAGTGCTCCCCAGCGTGATTTCCGGATTTTTTCGTTGTTTTTCAAAGTAGATTCTGCACCGACACTTTAAGAGGCCACTCGGCATTTTTCTAGTGATCCCTAAAGGGAAAATGCGTCTTCATAACTTCCCCAAGTGCTTTATCTCCTCTTCAACTTGCCTTCTTCCTTAAGTGAACCCTTGGCACTTCCCTAATGGTCCATGAAATTGTAATTTCTTCTTTTAATCTCTCTAGAATCCTTTACTCTTTAAGCGATCACTTGGCATTTTTCTAGTGGTCCCTAAAGGGAAAATGCTTCTTCAGAACTTCCCCAAGTGTCGTATCTTCTCTTCAACTTGCGTTTTCCCTTAACTGAGCCCTTGGCGCTCTCCTAGTGTCCTAGAACTGCAATTTCTTCTCCTGATTTCTCTAAGCCATCTCTTAAGTGACCCCTTGGCGCTTCCCTAGTGGTCCTTGAAGTGTAATTTCTAGGTTTCTCCCTAAGTCTTGTTCCTACTCTTTAAGCGATCACTTGAGGCTTTTCTAGTGGTCTCTAAAGGGAAAATGCGTCTTCAGAACTTCCCTAAGTGTTGTATCTCCTCTTCAACTCGGTTTCTCCCTTAAGTGAGCCCTTGGCGCTGTTCTAGTGGTCCTTGAAGTGTAATTTCTTCTCTCACAGTTAAAAGACCACTAGGGAAGTGCCAAGGGGTCACTTAAGGGAGAAAGCAAGTCGAAGAGGAGATACGACACTTGGGGAAGTTCTGAAGAAGCGTCTTCCCTTCAGGAGCCCCTAGAAAAAGTCAAGTGGTCGCTTAAAGAGTTGGAACAAGGCTCCTAGAGGAACCTAGAAATTACAGTTCAAGGACCACTAAAAAAGCGCCAAGAGGTCGCTTTAGGGGTGAATGAGAGAGCCAATTTTCTCCGAAACTCGCTGAGGATTTCCCAGTAGATGATCATTTCAGGAGGCAAGGCGACCTTCATCGAGGCCTTTTTCGTGACTTTCAACTTGGTAGCGAATCTGACAATGAGCGAGATGCCGAACGACCTCAACCACATCCTCACCATCATGTACATCTTCGTCTTTGTCACTTGTGGTACGCGACGCGTCGACCCATCCATGCGTCGCGGTTATTTTCCCAGGCGTCGCGGTCCTCTCGATGAGCGCCGAGTTGGCGGCCCTGGAACTCAAGGAGATCTTCATGAAGATCCACTACTTCGGAAGGAAGATCAACTTCAAGCGGAATAAAAAGAAGGATCAGATGGAGGTCGGACTTCTGAAGCCATTTTAAGAAACATCAAGAGTTTCAGATGGAGGTGAAGGAACTTCTGAAAATCATCGAAGAGATCCGCCGCCGCTACCCGGACAAGGAGAAAATCACGACCAGGGATATTTTGGAGGTTTGAAAAAATGAACAGCTTTTTTGATAGGAGTAAGTGTGCTCTAATGATAACTAGTTTCTGGAGTGAATTTCAGGCTCCTAGGAAGTCAAATAAGTTCCTTTTTTTCCAAAAAAATTGATCAAAAATAAATTTAGATCATTAAAAACTTGTTGGGGGAGTGAAATTCATCAAAAATCAGACTGCGTCATAAATATTGACTCAAGCCTATTTTTTTGGTGGTTTTTTTGAGAAGCCTAATGTACTTTTTAAGAATTTTGTCGATATAATAAACAAGATTCATTTAATTTAAGGTTTTCTGAACATCTCAAGCTATATAAATTTTGATTTCCTGAAAAAAAAAACCATCAATTTTCTTTAAAAATGGTCCATTTTGAAATTTTTAGCTTTTTTTTGGAAAAATAAGGGTCTTTAGTAGGTTGACAGCTTCAGAATTTGTCTCTAGTGGATAAAAAAAAAAATTCTGGCAAGGTTTCAGAAAGTTCTAGAATAAAAAGTGAAATCATCTTTTTTCTAGGAGCTTCGGCAAAGTTGGGAGGAATTTGAAAGAAAATTCAAATTTATCAGTGATCTCTGTTTCAGTACATGCACGAGAACAACGCGGCCAAGGAGAAGCTCCAAGAGCGACGGGACACGATCGCGTTCATGCCACAGACGATGGAGATGCTCAAGTTTGCCGACGAGCAGGACCTGGAAGACCGAAGTGTCAGGGGCATCGACGAGCCCTTCATCGACAAGTTTGTTTTCATTATATAGTCTGTTTACTGCGCCTTATAAGGGGTTTCTCTGCGCCCTCCTCGTCTCTCGGCGCCTCTCTCATGTTGACATGCTATTTCCATATTTCTCTGACCTCCCCGGTGAGGGAGAGAGACGCAGACACGCGAAAAGTGTCAAGTCACGGTAAACGGACTATTTTTAGTCATCATTCAATCTTCCAAAAAAAAAAAAACTCAAAAGCTGTTTTTTTCAATGACAAGTGCGCTCTAAGGATAAAAATGTTTTTTTTGAGTAGATTTTTAGGCTGGAAAAATTCAACAAAATGTGAAAAAAATTCAAAAATAAAATGGAATTTTAAGAAAAATTAGTTTTTTTCTAAGGCAGTACCTTAAACAATAAGCTACAGAAAAGTTATTAAAAACGTTATGGGAAAATTTTCAGTGGCCACTTCAGCAGTTTTTCATCCAGTATTCCTTCCAGATAATTTTTAAAAAAACATATTGGACAAGTTATGTTGATCCATTGACCCCTAAAGTGGCCACTCAAATATTTAGAGGTCTAGTAGTAGCACTCAGACCTCTATAGTGGCCACTAATTTTTAACCCCTTAAGTGGCCACTAAAACGTCAAAACCCTATAGTGGCCACTAAAAATTTTCTTAGTTAGTATATTTTTAATTCCAGTTGAAAAAAAATTGAATTGTAATCAATAGAAAGGATGAATTTCCGGAATTTAGAGAGAATTTTCAAAAATGGCAGAAAAAATGCCTATAGTCCATTCACCACGGCTTGAGATACTATTTTCATGTTTCTGTTTTCTCTGCGCTCTCTTGTGGTCGAACAGCATTTTCATCATTTTATAGTCTTTTCGAGTGTCTGCGTCTCTCTGTTTCCTCACCGGCGAGGTCAGAGAAACGCGAAAATAGCGCTTCAAAACGAGAGAGACGAGTAGGGCGCAGAGAAAAACGGCAGTTATGGTCAAAAACTCATATTTGGACCTGTAGTTGATCAAAATTAGGGTCAGGCACCTTCTAGCCTCGCACAAGAAAAAAAAAAGAAGAAGAACTGTTTGCAGGGCTCTCGGCGACATGATCGGCGAGGTCGCCGCTTGCCATGCCGTCTTGTGCAGCGCTAGAAGGTGCCTGTATATTTATTCATAGTCCTACATACTGAAGTGATTCCGAAGAGAGGAAAAAATATAACGGAATTTCGGAGTTTCAGAGATGATTTTGAACAGGGTATGTGCGAGAGCGCCGCAGTGCATGCACACGACAAACTAAACTTTACGGAAAAAATATGGGCGGGCCGTCCGTGTTTGAAATCGATTTTTCCCGCCAAAAGCCGCGTCACCATAAATCGCGTTTTTCAAGAGTGGGATCGACTATAACTAAATTATAACTGAAAAAAATCTCAGAAACGGCCTTTTTTTATTTCTGAGAAGATATGCTTAATATTACATAAAAAGCTTCTTTTTTAAAAAAAATTTTTTTAAAAAAATTGGTTCGAAATTTAATCAAAAAAATCATTCGACAGCAAAGTTGCTCCATGGATAAATTTATTTTTTTCAAACCGGACGTGTCGCGACATTTCTAGGGACCACGTTAGTAGTGTCTTCTCTTAAGTGATCCCTAGAGTTGCTCAAAAAAATCAGTTTTTATTCACCCCCCTAGGAAAAAAATCAGCAAGCTTCAATGAATGAACTAAGAACTGATTCGCGAAGGAAAAAAATTGAAAAAAACATGGAATTTTTTTCAAAAAAATCGACTTTCGATAAATAATCAATGAATGAGTGAATATGTGCTCTACTGAGAAATCCTCTCGAAAAATCTGACTTCTCTGATCTCTCTTCTCTCTCGGTTTAATATTTTCATGTTTCTGTTTTCTCTGCGCTCTCTCATGTTCGAACAGTGTTTCCATCTTTTTATAGTCGTTTCGCGTGTCTGCGTCTCTCGGTTCCCTCACCGGCGAGGTCAGAAAAACATGGAAATAGCACGTAAACAGGAGAGAGACGCCGAGAGATAAAGACAGCGCAGAGAAACCAAAAATGGACTCATCAGTGAGAGAGAAGAGAGCGCAGACAGGTCAGACGGTTTAAAATTGTGGTGAATGGACTATTTCCAAAAACCAAAAAGCTTTCCAGAACCTTGACGATGGTGGATGTGTTGGAACTTTCGACGGAAATTGATTTGGAGCACCGTTTCCACCACGAACTCCGCAAATACACGGCCGAGATCAAAATGATGCCCAAGCCATCGAGGCCTTCTTTGAGTATCGAACCCATTGATGATGTTTAAACTTTTTTTTCTACAGAAATAAACTTGATTCTAAAAAAAACAGCATTGTCATGTGCGCTCCATGGACAAACTCGATTCCGAAACTTAGCCTTAAGAAAAAATAGCCGCGGCAGAAGTCAAATTCGCTCCATGGATAGGATCTTCAAAAACCGGTTCCGAAAAGAATTTTGCAAAAACCAGCCTTGAGAAAAAATAGCCGCGTCAGAAATCAAACTCGCTCCATGGATAAAAACTTCAGGAGTCAGTTCCGAAAAGAATTTTGCTAAATTCAGCCTTGAGAAAAAAAAGCCGCGGCAGAAATCAAATGCGCTCCATGGACAAAATTTAAGGAATCTAAAAAGTTGAAAAAAAACATTCTGAAAATGAGCCTTGAGAAAAAATAGCCGCGGTAGAAATCAAACGCGCTCTATGGATAAATCTTCAGAAACTGGTTCCGAAAACATAGAACGAAACTAATTTTGCAGAAATCAGCTTCGAGAAAAAAAAGCCGCGGTAGTAATCAAATTCGCTCCATGGATAAAAACTTCAGGAAGCAGTTACGAAAAATATTTTGCAAAAATCAGCCTTGAGAAAAAATAGCCGCGACAGAAATCAAACTCGCTCCATGGACAAAATTTCGAACCTCCTTACAGATGGCTCCAAAAAGGTTGGAGGAGCTCGAAAATCGTGATTATCAATGGAGCGCATTTGATTTGGCTTTTTAAGGTCATTTTATCTAATCACAATTTTTTTTAAACTTTTTTTATCAACCACCAACCAACAAACAAGAAGTCGCTGATTTCAATTTTTAAAAAAAAACGTTTGAAACTGGAAAATGATATAAAAAGATCGAATTTTATGATTCAAATTTTACTCAACTTTTTTTCACGGTGCTCAAAACTTTCTCTGATAATTCTTTATTGTGTTTTCGCTCTCCTCATGTGTTTCCGATTCAAGGGACACAAAAACCATTGGGGAAAAACGTATAAATACTGGTGATGATAAACTGCCAACGTAATCATAAAGGTGAGAACAATGATTAAAATAAAATAAAGGAAGCGAAAAAGCCAAAAACGAACGAGAGAAAGGTTATTAGGTGACGAAAAAGCACAGGGATCGAAAAAAAAAAGAATTTTTTGTGGAAAATGAGACCAGTCATTTGGACGTAAAACTTGTGTGTGCGTAGGATTTTTTTTTTGTTTTGATTCATTTTTTTTTTGTTCTAGTTGAATTTTTGATTGAAGAATTGATAAACTGAGGATTTCAAAAAGGCAAGCATTGAATTTTAATAGCAAAAAAAATAATAATAATGCGAAAATTGTGTCAAATGCGTGGAGAGGTGATGAAAAATGGGAGGAAATTGGGAGGATTTGGAATTTTGTCGTGATTTTGAGATTTCGAATCATTTTTTCTGGAAAATTCTGTTCAAAATGGAATCTTAAGGTCAATATTTTGTTTCTTAATTCCGAAAACTCGAGGAAAAGTCGGTTTTTGATTATCAAGTTACTGGGAAAGTGCTAAGTGGCCACTTTAGGGTTTTGACGTCTAAGTTGCCACTATAGTAGTCGAATTAACGGCCCCTTAAGTGGTCAAACGTAAGTGGCCACTTAAGGGGCCATGTACGAGAAGTCTTGAGAAGTCTAAGCGGTACTACTAGATCACTAAAAGCTACTATAGTGGTCACTATGACGAAAAATAGTGGCTTCTATAGAGCTCCAGTGGCCACTTTAGTGACCTCTCCAAGGAGTCCTTGAGAAGCTCCTACAGTGGCCACTATAGTAGAAAAAATAGTGGCCACTTAAGGGTTCGAAATTAGTGGCCACTTTAGAAGTCTATGTAGTACTACTAGATAACTAAAAACCCCTATAGTGCCCCCTCAAAATAGTCCTTAAGGAGCCTCTTAAGGGGTCACTAGAGTTTTCCCAGGCCCTTTAAAAGTCTGAATAGCACCACTGACCCGCTAAAAGCTACTATAGTGGCCACTGAGACCCAAATCAGTACCTTCTTTGGGGATGGTTCTAGTGGCCGCTTTAGTGCCATCTTCCGTCGCCCCTCAAGTGGCCCCTAAAGAGATTTTTGCAGAATTTTTTCCAGCGTACATATTCTCAAAAAATCTCGTTCAAAACTTCCAAACCCTCCTAAAAATCCTCCAAAAAAGACCATGAGAAACAAGAAAAAAGACAGCTCAGTACAATAAATAATGGAGGAAAAACCAACAAAACGGTATAAATATTCGAGTCTGGCTAGTGGGATCATTTCGAGTATTGAACTTCGTAGACGGTGGCCTTCTTTTCGCCGGAGCCCGTCACGATGATCGAGTCGTCGAACGCGATATCGCAGGAAAGGACCGAGCTCGATTCTTTCAGCTGCATCAGGAGGGCTCCGTAGGGTGTCCGCCAGGCGTTCAACGCGTTGTCCTGCAGAAAAATCGGTCAATTTTGAAAGTTTTTTTTAGCGGGGGGCGTTCAACGCGTTGTCCTGCAGAAAAATTGGTCAATTTTGAAAGTTTTTTTGAGCGGGGGGTTGGCCAGAAGATTCCTAGATTAACGTGGTGTAGATCATGAAAGCCTCAACCGGCTCAACTTGAACTAGTTTTTTTGAAACACCTGAAGCTGAAAAAAAGCCTTCGAAATCCGTAAAAATGGGCCATTTTTGGGCCCGGGGGGAATTTAACTTTTAGCTGGGAATTTTTCAAAAATCGGCCAGAACATCCCTGAAAGTACCAGACTAGTATTCTGAAAATTTCAAACTATAAAACTACCTATTTTTCGAACAATAAGAGCTCAAAGCCACAAAATGGCCTATTTTTACGGATTTTTTCAACTTTGAGGTGATCTTTTTCCAAAAACTAGCAAGTTTCAGAGGTTGAGACTTTCAGAATCTTCAATAGGTATCTCTAGAAGAAATCCGGCCAATTTTCAGAAAAATCCCAACGAAAAAGTGAAATGACTTATTTCTTTCCACATTTTTCTCGAGATTTTCGTTTTTTGTCAAGTTTTAAGCTTAAAGGACAGCATAAAGTAGAAATTTTCGGCAAAAGGTATAAAAGTTTTTAGGTTAGATGCTCAAAAATGCAGAGAAAAATGACTATTTTTAAGAATTAGGTCTAAAAAAATGCATTAAAAAAATCAGCAAAAAAATCTCAAATTTTTCCCGTTTTTTTAAAGGATTTCAGTGAGGTAACATAATCTCAAGGCTTAAAAATAAAATAATTAAAAAAAATTTCATTCAAAAAAGGTCCAAAAATGATTGAAAAATCAGCAAAAATCTCAAATTTTCCCGTTTTCGAGTAATTTTATGTGGTACTACAGTATCAAGATTGAAAATAAGGATATTTTAATAAATTTAAACGAATCTATGTTCCTAAAATACATGAAAAAAGAGCAAAAAACACAAATTTTCCCTGAAATTTTCCATTTTTCTTCTTCAAAACCGACCTTTCCAGTGGAGACGAACCATTTGCCGGAATGCGCGTACTTTAAAGACAACACACAAGATTCGTGCTGATGGAGGGTGTATTTCTCGGGTCGATTCATGGAAAGAACCTGGAAAAAAGACGAAAAATGAGTATATTTTCCATTGGAATGAGGAAAACCTCGACATTATTATTCTCCATTCCAACCGAGACCCAATCCTCCGTCGGGCAGCATCCCAAACTGAAGATTTGGCTCGAGAATTCGTGCTTCTGCAAAAATATCACTTGTACAAAAAATATGTTATAACTCTCAAAAAAATGAACAAAAAGCGGGGAAAATTAAAAAAATTTTTTTTTCAAGTCCCCTATCAATAATTCACTCAGAAAAAAACAGGAAATGAACAAAAAAATTCAAACTTTTCTGAAAAATTTGTTTGATTTTCCAAATTTTTTTGACTCGAAAAAATTAAAATTGATCAAATTTCAACCTTAAAAAAAGCTGAAAAAGTTCAATAAATGTTCGTATTTTTTTTCAAAAATCCAAAAAAATCCCTTTTAACTATAAGGAAAAATTTATCTATGTTTAAAAAAACATACGGAAAAAAACTATCAATTTGTAGAAAAAAAGTGGAAAAAAATCGGCTCCTAAGGATGTTAGGCAAAGAGTGCGCGCCAAAGTTGCAAATGGGGCGCGGTTTATCCAAAAACAGACACTGAAAGGAATCAAAGGCAGCAGTGTAAAGAGAGACCGTAGTCAGAGTGAAATTTTCAGGGAGAGCAAGATTTTTTCAAATCTTCGAAAAAAGCAAAAATTCGGCTCTAATGGATGTTAGGCAAAGAGTGCGCGCAAAATTTGCAAGTGGGGCGCGGTTTATCTCTCAGGCAAGCACTTCAAGGGAACTAAGGGCAGCAGTGTAATCAAAGACCGTAGTTACAGTAAAAATGATTTAGCAAAGAGTGCGCGCAAAAATTTGCAAGTGGGGCGCGGTTTATCTTAAAAGGGGGCACTTAAGGGAAATAAGGGCAGTAGTGTCAAAAGTGACCGTAGTTACAGTAAAAACTTTTGGGAGAGCGAGAACTTTTTTAAACAATCAAAACTACAGTTCCAATCATTTCATAACTCATATATTTCTCCGGAAAAAGCCAAAATTCGGCTCTAATGGATGTTAGGCAAAGAGTGCGCGCCAAATTTGCAAACGAAGGCGCGGTTTATCATAAAGGGGGGCGCTTAAGGGAAGTAGGGCAGCAGTGTCAACAGAGACCGTAGTTACAGTAAAAATGATTTTGATAAAATGAAACCCACCGAGAGCTGAGTTCTCTCCCTCAAGTCCCAGGATCGGACCGAATTATCGAGGCCGCCGGACCAGAGACGAAGGCCGTCGCCGGACAGGTCGATGCAGGAGGCGCCGTCCTGGTGGCCAGGTAACTGGGCTACCTGGAAAAAAAAAATCAATCGATAGGAAACAATTTATTTTGGAAACAGTATGGAGGCCTCATAAAGATCCAGAATGCTTCCAGAACTCGAAAAAATCAAAAAATATGGTTCCTTTCTGAAAAATACCCTCACATGAGGGAGGAGGGGGGAAATTTCGTTCATTTTTCGTCTGGGAATCATTGAGATTTTTTTCTATAACTCTTTCTTTTTTTCCTTTATTCGAAAGGGGGAGGGAGTTCCAAGTTTCACAAAAATCCAAAAAAATTGGTTCATTCTTGAAAAAAATACGAAAAATACCTTCACATGAGGGGGATTTTTCGTGCATTTTTTTCGACTTGAAATAATTATGATTTTTTTCTATAACTCCTTTTTTTCTTTTTATTCGAGGGGCGGGGGAATTTCAAGTTTCCAAAAAAATTCAAAAAAATGGGGGGTGGGTGAAACTAAGATCTGTACCTTTTTTTCAAAGAGAAAGAAAGTTTCCTGAAAAAAATCAGATTTTTTTCTACAATCTACTTAGTTACGCCGCGACGGGGACCGAACCTGAGACCCTTTGAACCATAGGCAGGCACACAACCCGTTGCGCTACGGCCTTTTCTCTCTCGAAACTAACCCTTTCTTTCGACGCCAGATCATAGATGAGGATGTTTCCGTCGGCGCAGCAGGCGAAGAGAAGTTTCTCGTCGGCGGACAAGGCCAACGCGTAGCACGCCTGGGAGGCCGGGTCTAGTTCCAGCTTCACCGATTCCGACTGCAAAAACAAATTTTTATCCCGGATTCTGATAGATTCTTCAGACTTTATGAAGCTCAAAAACCACAGTCGAAAAAATGAAAACTAGCGATTTTTCTAACACTTGTTCAGCTCCAAGGCGTAAGTAGTTTCTAGTCGGGCGCGCCTTGGGAAAACTTCCTCTACTTCAAGATCAAGCTCAAAAGTCTCAGTAAATGTCGAAAATTGAACATTTTCTAATAATTTTCTTGGATCAGGGCGAAAGTAGTTTCTAGTCGGACGCACTTTAAAAAATACTTCCTTCCCTTCAAATTCAAGTTTAAGTCTTAATAAATGTCGAAAATTGAAAATTAGCGATTTTTTAAACACTTTTTCAGCTCCAAAGCGTAAGTAGTTTCTAGTCGGGCGCGCCTTGGAGAAATCCCCCACACGGGGGTGCTTCTATGTGGTGTGATCGTACCTTCAAATCCCAGAGGACGATTTTGCTCGTTTCTCCGCCGACCAGCAGCGTTTCGCCGTCTTCGAACAGTTTGCAGGACCGGATATAGCAGTCCTGAAACTCCAAATTGGGTTAGTCATTTTACTTTTCAGCTCAAAAATCAGAATTTTGCGAGTTTCTCTGAAAAAAGTCACAAAATTTTAAGCTTAAAACCAATTTTCCGTTCAAATCTTCACAGGAAAACCTTGGAAATCCCATTTTTTCGGATTGAAATTAAATTTTATCTCTGAATAATTATCTTCGAAAAAAATTCATAGGATGAAATAAAACCGCCCTGAAACTCAAAACTGAGTTAGTTTTTTTTCTTTCCAGCTCAAAAATTAAAATTTTCTAATCTTCCTCGGAAAAAGTCCCGATTTTTCAGCTTAAGACCAACTTTAGGGTCAAATCTTCACGGAAAACCTTAAAATTCACATTTTCCGGTAAAAATTGAGTATCTCTTAAGGAAAATCTTCATCTTCCAACTCAAAAATCAGAATTTTGTGATCTTTCTTGGAAAAAGTCCCAATTTTTTCGTTCAAAGCCAATTTTCAAGGTCAAATCTTCACAGAAAAAAACCTTAGGAATTACATTTTTTTGGATTGAAATGAAAAATATTTTTTTGTGACACGCGAATAATTATCTTCGAAAAACTTCATAGAATCAAATAAAAGAGTCCTGAAACTCAAAAACTGAGTTAGTTTTTCTTTCCAGCTCAAAAAAATTAAAAATTTCCTGATCTTCCTTGGAATAAGTCCCGATTTTTTTCAGTTCAAAGCCTATTTTCAGGTAAAATATTTTTTTAGAAAAAAACATTAAAATTCACATTTTTTTCAGGTAAAAAAATTGAGTATCTCTTAATGAAAATCTTCATCTTTCCAGCTAAAAAAATCAGAATTTTTGTGATCTTTCTTGGAAAAAAAGTCCCAATTTTTTTCGTTCAAAGCCAATTTTCAAGGTCAAATCTTCACCGAAAAAAACCTTGGGAATCACATTTTTTTGGATTGAAATGAAAATATTTTTTTGTGACACGCGAATAATTATCTTCGAAAAACTTCATAGAATCAGATAAAACCGCCCTGAAACTCAAAACTGAGTTAGTTTTTTTTCTTTCCAGCTTAAAAACAGAATTTTGTGATCTTCCTCGGGAAAAGTCCCAATTTTTCCGTTTAAAACCAACTTTCAAGGTAAAATCTTCACAGAAAAACCTCAAAAATCCTATTTTTCAGGAAAAAATCTCACTAAATTTTGAGAAAATCCTTTTTTTTTCGGCTCAAACACAGAATTTTGTGAACTTTACTGGAAAAAATCCCAATTTTTCCGTTCAAAACCAATTTTCTGGTCAAATCTTTACAGAAAATCCTAAACACCCTAATTTTCCAGGTGAAAATCGACTCTGAAAAATCACCTTCAAGCAGTCTAGAGATTGGATTGCCCTCCTTGGCGACAGGGGAGTCGCACTCAGTCTTCCGTTACTCGTACTTGCCGTTTCAGTGTCGCGGATGTCCCAGACCTGGAAAAAACGGCCGATTGCTTTAAAAAATTGTGGGAATGGATCAAAAAAGCAGAAGTTCATTATTTTTTTTTCCAAATTCACCTTAACGCATCCCTTTCCGCCGGTGTAGACTTTGGAGTTGTCTTTGGATATCGTGACGGCGCAGACGACTTCTCCATGCGGCAACTCGGCCATTTTCCGCATTGATCTGAGAAAATAATTGATTTTATTTATTTTTAGCTTGTCGAATTCGATTTTTTTTTTATTTTCGCAAATAAGTGAGATTCGAGGTTGAAAAAAGAAAACAGTTTAAATAAACTAAATTCAAAATTTGAGAATTATAGTTCATTTACAGTACTACTTAATTTTTTTGTAGGGCCTCGAAAAAAATCGAAAAAAATCGAAAAATTTCGTCTAAAAAGTAATCTTCTAAAAAAATGCATTCAAAATAGGGGCGTGGCCAGCCATTTAAGAGCTCACAACTTCAAAAATCACTCTAAAGAGGAAATAAATATTGAAAATTCGCCGTCATTTATTCAACTGAAAATATAGTCCATTCATTGTGACGTTTTGAAAATTTCATGAAAAATGGGCGTGGCCAGCCAATCAGAAGCTCACAACTTTAAAAAGGAAGAAAGAATGAAAATTCGCAATCATTTATTCAACTTGAAATATAGTTCATTCACTGAAATCTTCTGAAACTTTAATGCAAAAAGGGGCGTGGCTAGCCAATAAAATGCTCTCTTCGCTAGAGCACACTTTCCTTTTTAGAATCAAAAGCTCCATTTTCTGCCGAAACTGTCACAGTTTCAAAAATCAATCCTCTTCCCCTCATACCTAGGAATATTGGGTCCAGTTTGAGCGTCCGGAGGGAAGATCGTCGGTTGCATTTGTCCGTTTTCGCCGGTCCGGAAGGAGTACGACGGTTTCCCGCCTGCTGACAACATTCCGCTGCTCATCGCCGCTGCTAATCTCGCCTGAAAAAATTGAAATAAAAAGCCGAAAGGTCGCATTTGGAATGGCTGAATCCAACAGCCGCCTTGTCAAATTTGCACCCGACCAAATACGACTTACGCGTACCTTTATTTGAAATCTTATAACTGGAGTGAAGAGTACTCAATAATTATTATCGATCAAAGTTGAATTGAAAGTCGAAAAGTCGCATTTGGAATGGATCATTGCAGCTGTCCGACCAAAAACGACTTGCGCATGCTTTTTTTTCGAATCTTCTAACAGGAATGGTGATTATTTCTTATGGAGACCTTAAAGGTCGCGTTCGGAATGGCTAATCTTAACAGACGTCATGCCAAATCCGCACCCGACCCAAAACGACTTGCGCATGTCTTTATTTGACAGCTTACAACTGGAGTGACGAGTACTCAATAATTACTATAGATCGAAATTCAAATGAAAGCTCAACGGTCGCATTTGAAATGGCTCATCTTAACATATATCATGTCAAAACTGCAGCCGACCAAAAACGGCTTCCACTAGCCTTTATTTGACAGCTTACAACTGGAGCGATAAGTACTCAATGAATATTATCGATAAAAAATGAAATAAAAACTCAAAGGTCGCGTTTGGAATGGTTCATTTCAACAGACGCCATGTCAAAGCTGCGCCCGACCAAAAACGACTTCCGCTAGCCTTTATTTGAAACTACATAACATGAACAACGAGTGCTTCATAATAATGATTTAGGATGGAACAGAGAGCTCAAAGGTCGCATTTGGAATGGCTCATCTTAACAGACTTCATGTCAAATCTGCATCCGACCAAAAACGACTTGCGCCTCTTTTCATTCGAAAATCATAACAATTATTTTCACGGCTTAGAATTCAGCGCCGAAACGCTTTAGCCATTCCAAATGCGACCGAAAATTTAAAAAGCTGAATGTTGAAGAAATATTTGAGTATCCAGAATATTTCTTTAGAAAAATAAGATGTATTCTTTCATTTTTTGATTTTTTCAAGACTAGAAAAACGTTCCTATGTGAAAAAATGCACAAGGAAAAAAAAAAGTGTCATTAAATATGGTTTCAATACTTTTGAGCCATAATTAACCTAATGAGGGAATCGAAAAGATGGAGTAAGGTCAATAGAAGAGAAATATGAAGAAAAATTGAAGGGAATGAACCTTTTTTGCTTGAAATTAGCTTCGTTTCACCCAACTAAACCCCCTCAAACACTAGTTTTCTTACTGAAATCAATGAACAATCGAGAATTTATGGAAAAATGTCTTAAGAGAAAACGAAAAAATGCTTTTTCTGTCACTCTAAACCGTTTCAAAAGCTTTCAAATCGCTCAAAATTCGATTTTTTAGGAAAAAGTTTTTCATCTCGTCTTTTTGGTTGAGAAGCTGAAAATTCTGGGAAAATGAAAAAAAAAATCATCGAAAATTCCCTATTCTCAAAATCTCGAGCTTCTCCTACAAGCTTGAAAACTTGAAACAGTAAATAAAACTATTTTTAAAAATAAAGAAGTTTGAATTTTTAATGATTCCACTAATTTGATCAGTATTACGACAATTTTGCGCATTTAAAAAAATGTTTTTTTGAAACTGCAAATACATCTAAAATATTCCACCTGTGATTAAAATTTACCTGTGCATGTGGATCGCCGAACATTGACATTGGGTTGCGTGAGTTGAGTGCCGCTAGAGGATTTCCGCCTGGAAAACGGGAAAAAAATGGTATAAAAAAATTCTTAGAAATCGAAAAAAGGTTCTGACTTACGAAAATTCGACTAAAAATCATTATTAATTTGAGCCTTTTTTTTAAATTTAAAAATAAAAAAGGCCCAAAAATCCGGTAAAATGTGCTCCACGGATAAAAACCCGCGAAAATTAGATTTCGAACTTTTGGGCCAAAATTTTCGCGTATTTTTGAAAATTGATAGCATTCTAATTCAAATTTCCGATTTTGAATTATTATCTCAACATTTTGAAGTCCATAAAAAATGGCTGATTTTTGAAAAATAAAAATTTCGATTCTTTTCGAAATTAAGGTCTTTATTTCAACTTTCGAACCTTAATAGGAAAATCTAGATTGCAAAAAAAAAGCGGACGCTTGTATAGTGCGACCATTTCATTATTCCTCGCCTAATTGAATTTTTTCTTGATTTTTCGGAACAGAAAGCAGTCTAAAAATGCTCGAACTATCCAAACGTCCAACATCTGAACAACAAGATGCAAAATGGCGAGATTTAAACAGGAAAAAAAAACCTGGAAATCGGAAAAATGCTCCAAATGATCGATTTTGGAGCATTTTTCCTAGTTTCGAGACACATTTATAGCGCTAAAAACGACGAGAGCGAGAATTTGAAGACGCCTCGATGGCCAGGACGCCAAAATGATTCATCTCCTACTCATCGGCGTCCGCTCGAGCGCGCCAACTCAAAAAGTCTGCACTTTACGCCCTTGTTTTCAAATTTTCTCATTAGATTTTCCTTTTTGGAAGGTTTTTCTTAATTAAAATATCTCAATGAGACTACTGAGTCACCATTTTTGAAAATACCAATCAAATTTTTCCGCTTGGAAAATTTTTATTTATCAAAACATCCAAAGTGAGTCATATTTTTTTCGAAATTCTGATTATATTTTTTTGGTTTTCCTTCTAAGAAAGTATGAGTAATTGCCAAATGAGAGATTTTTCACTTGATTAAAAATTCTGATTTTTTTGGAGGATAAATCGGATTTTCAAAAAAATTTTTTTGGAACAAATATATGCAGTGAAATCGCTAAAAAAATGAAGCTAATTTTAAAAAAACCAGAAAAAAATAAGTTAAATCATCCAAATTTAAAGTGAAATGTCTTTTTTTGAAGAAACCTAAGACAAAAAAATCGAAAAAAATTCCAAAATTACTAAAAAAATTCGCCAGTGAAACTTTTCGCAATATTTAGGGCTCAAAAATTCAAATTTTTTTGGGAAATTTGTGAATTTTGAAACGTTTTTTTCAAGTGAATATTATGCACGAAATCGGTTTTCGGCGCACGTTTATTTGCATTTTGGTACAAAAAAACCAAAAATTTAGGCGAAAAATTGAATTTTCGCAGCTAGAATTTGAAAAAAGGACAGTTCAATCAAGCTTTCGAACAAATTTTCGGAAAAATTGAAAAAATTTATTGATTTCGTGTCACTGTCTCATTTTAAATGTGAAACATGAAATTTCGCGCAAAAAATCATGAAAATTCCAATTTTTTGTGAATATTATACATGAAAACAGTTTCAGAGCACTTTTATTCGAATTTCGTTCCAAAATTTTTGTTTCCATCACTGTTTCCGAGACCCAAATTTCCCTTCAGTTTTGCAAAAATACTGAATTTCTCCAATTTCAAAGCAAAACGATCAAAAAAAAAGGGACTTGAATCTCGAGTTTTCGAACAAAAATTTGAAAATTTGAAATTTGAAGACCTGGACCGAAATAACTTTCGATTACGTGTATTGACTTCAATGTAAAGTGCTATTTTCGTCTGGAGAAAGAAAGTAATTCGGAAAAATGAGGGGGAAAAAAATCGGACGTTTGGATAGTGCGAAGCTTTCACAGGCCAATGACCAAAATTTCCTAAAATTTCATATTTTTGAGGGAAAATTTGTAAATTTTCGCTTTTTTTCTCAACATTAGCAAGTATTTTCGATCACACAAGTGTTCTAACTTCTAGAAAAGGTAATAAAATGATGGTTTTCGATCAAAAAATGCACAAATTCTGTTTGACCTTTTTGAAATCAATAAAGTTCCAAAAAAGGAATTTTTTTAAAGCAAAAATGGCAAAAAATCAAAAAGTTATTATATCTTTTTGAACAGGTAAATACTCCAAAAAAAGACACTAATATTTAAAAAAATTGAAAAAAATCGTAATTTTTTTGAAGAAAAAAATAATAAAACCACAATGTTACCTATGTTATCGATTTTTGATCAGATAAATACTCCGAAAAAAACCGTAAAAATTCATAAAAAGGTTAAAATTCCAAATCAACAAAATGGCAAAAAAGATCATCTAAAAAATCAAAAATCAACAGGTATTTTGAAATATACCTTTAAAAATCCATGAAGTTCCTAGAAAGGCAATAATGTGAAAACAAATGGGAAGAATCGAAATGTTTGAACAAAAATGGCTGAAATTTTCGAATCAAACTTTTTTGCATCGAGATAAAACTTGAAAAAAAGCGAAATTTACAAGAGAAATGGCAAAAAATAGCTTTGTAAATCGACGTATATTCCGAAAAATGATAATAATTGTTGAGAAAATTTGAAATAAACCAAATTTTCTAGCAAAAATGACAAAAAATACAAGATTACCGTTTTTTTCTATTAAGATAAAAAAACTTAAAAAAATCGTATCAGTTCGAAAAAATAGACAAAATCGCAATTTTCGAGAAAAAAATGACAGAAAATCACGGTATCACACCGTTTTCAATAGGTAAATACTTCGAAAATTCGTATAAAATCCACAAAAAACGAATAAAATTTTGATTTTCAAGCAAAAATGGACAAAAAAATCACGATATCACACCTTTTTTTAATAAATAATTACTCCGTAAAATCGTATCAGTTAGAAAAAATACGAATTTTGATGCAAGACAAAATATTCATCAGAAAAACCGACCCATTCCGGCAAACATCCCGCTCAAGGCCATCTGTTCCAGTGGATTCCGTGGCGCCTTGGCCGCGGCGCCCGGCGTACTCGGCCCACTCGACGCGACACTGTTCGTACTTTCCCGGCCGTCGGCTTTCTTGGAGGCTTGGGCGCTGCCGGGCCCGCCATTGGTCATGTTGCCCGAGGGTTGGGCGCTGCCGCCGACGTCGTCGTTCTGGACGTCGATCTCCAGCTCGCCGTCGTTGTCCTCCTCCAGCTTGAGTCTCTTGTTGGAGGAGGGGTCGCTGGGCGTGTTTGGCTGGGGACACGATCTGCAGAAAAATGGTTCTTGGTTGGAAGATTTCAGAGAAAATCGACTCCTATAGTCTGTTCAGATTTTAAATGTCAAGTCTTCGCTCAAGCTCCGCCCCCTAATGACGCGATTAACCAATCAGAGAGCGTTTTCGAATGACGTCATTCCACTTGAAATTCAAAATTTGAACGGACTATACCAATTTTTTTCTTCTTATAGCTGGTTCACGGACAGCTTGGGACGCTAACGTGTCCTGTCTGCGCTCTCCACGAGCCAGACACTATCTCGTGCATTATCGTTTCAGGACCCTTTTTCAATGACTCAAGCCAGCCGTGAATCAGCTATACAAAAATTCGAAATTTTTCATTTCTAGAAGGATTTCAGTAGCCAATTCTACACTCCCGATAGCTGGTGTCCACATTTTCGGACATTTTCAAAATCAGCCTAAAAATTTAAAACTGGTTACATCGCTAAAGTGTCTCCTCCCAAAGCTTATGCCCATTTATTCAAATTGAATTTTTCTTCAGTTTTTGGCGGAATTCCAAATGCTCCACGTGGACATTTCTCAACATTTGCGAAAGTAATCTAGATTTTCAAGGCCTCTAAGGTCTCTTCCAAAACTTCTGTGTCCCTTCTTCTCAACCCTTTTTAAAGCTCTATGTGAACCGTCTAATGCTGGGGCCTCGAAAAATTCAAATTTACCTGAGATTTTGAAAATTAGGCATTTTTTTTGTCTCATTGTTTCTTGAACTTCAAGCTGCCCCCCTAAAGCTTCTGCTATTTTTTTCTTGATTTTTAACGGAACCTCTAAATTCTTAGGTAGACTCCCGACAACTGGCATTTATATTTTCGACATTTTCATTATGTATTGTCAACTCCAGGGCCTTCCCTGAAGCTTCTTCTTAATTTTTACAGAATCCTGAAGATCCTACGGGGACCCGATCACTGAAGTCACCATTTTTCGACATTTTCATCAACTTCAGGCCGTATTTCCGAGGCTTCTGCCGCTTCTCCCAACTTTTGAAAAAACTCCAGAATCCCTACGTGGACTGTCGACTGCTGGCGTCCCTCTTCATGTCGACGGAGATGTTCTCTGAGGCGCTTCTGGCGGCGGCGGCCTGTTGCTGCGCGGCGGCGGCCATCATCGCGTTCATCTGCGAGAAGTTGGCCATCGCGGGAGGGAGTCCGGCGAGTTGGGCGATCCCCGGGAACATCATCTGCTGCATCCCGCCGCCGGCCATCATCTGGTTGATCTCCTGCGCGCTCACCTGCAATTTTCCCTTTCAAAAATGATTTTTGTGGACTTCCTCCATTTTTAATTTCTTGTATTTGGCTAGAAACGGAATATTTGTGACATGCATGAAAAGATGAGAAAAAATGACCCGTAAAATCGCTTTTTTTGGAAAATTAGCCATGGAGCGCATTTGCTTTCAATTTTTTTTATACCCACTCTTAAAAAGATTTTTCTTCCGTCTAGCATTTTTTCATCTTCATTCCGCTAAAATCTGAAGCTACAAAAAGCCTATGAAAATCTGCACAAAAATCGGAGCAAAAATCAATTTTTTCTATTTTTATCCTTGGAGCGCACATGCTTTTGCAGCTAATTTATTCACTATTTTTTTCTAACAATTATTTCGTTTTTCAACTCTTTAGCTAATATTTGCAACTTTGTAGAGTTAATGAGATGCTGAGAGAAAAATCGGAGCGAAAAATCGAATTTTTTTCGAAATTTTTTTATCCTTGAGCGCGCATGCGTTGGTAGCTAATTTTTTTGAACTATTTTTTTACGAAATTAATTCGTTTTTTCTTGCTTATATCTGAAACTTTGTGGAGTTTATGAGATACTGAGAAAAAATCGGGGCGAAAATCGAATTTTCCAAAATTTTATCCTTGGAGCGCACATGTTTCTCAGCTAATTTTTGAACTATTTTTTAAATTATCTTCCAATTTTTTGCTAATATCTTGAGCTTTATTGCAAAAAATCAGAAAAAACCGAAATTTTCAATTTTTTGTCATTGGAGCGCACATGTATTAGCGACTGGTTTTTGAATAATTTTTCAAAGATTTATTTTTTTTGCATCAACAAGTGTATAAGCTGAAAAAGCGCGAAAATCGAATTTTTCAAATTTTTATCCTTGGAGCGCAAATGCTATTTTTCAAATTATTTTTTGAATCCTTCACTTTTTTGCTAATATCTTAAGCTTCTTCAATCGCAAAAAATCGAATTTTCAACATTTTATCCTTGGAGCGCACATGCTTTTTACAAAAATTCCAAACCTGCTTGGCTCTTTCCAGTGCATTCATCGCATTCGACTGATGCTCTGGCGGTAGATAAGGTAATAACTGGAAAAAAATGGATATTCTGAAACTGAATATTTTTCCTCACTGATTGAATAATACTGGTGTATCGTTTGCACAGTTCCTGCTGTTTTTGCATTTCGGCGGTCATTTGATTCGACATTTCGTAGTACATGTAGTAGGTTCGCTGCATATTCTCCTTCTCGGCGTTCAATTTGTCGAGCTCCGCCTGAAAAAAAATCAAAAAAATCCTGAAAAACAGAATTTTCAACACATTAAGCTGCAACTTATATATATTTTTTTGATTTTCGACTTTATTTTGAGATCATTAAAAGGGTTAAAGATTCTGAGCCCCTTATTCTTAAGTGGTCCCTATCGGGGAGGGGGCTTAAACTGGTCCCTAGGAGAGGGGCGCTTGAAGTGGTTTCTATTAGGGGGGCTTAAATTGGTCCCTATGGAGGGGAGGGGGGGCTTGAATTGGAGTTGTAGTGGTCCTAGAGAAGCAAAATTGAAATGGTCTTTATAAAAGCTCAGAATCCTGATCCTTATGTGGTCCCTATAGTGGCGTTTTAACTATTCCTTCCGCTCAGGAACGCTAGAGTGGTCACTAGAGGGATTGGCCCAACAAAAACCCTGAAGAGGCCTCTAAAAATTCTTTATTCAGCACTAGGAAAGCCAAAGTGATCACTATAGTAGTTTTACTGTCCAAGTAGTACCACTTAGACTTCTAAAGGAGCCACTAAGTTTTATTCACTTAAAGGGTCTCTAATCCGACCACTATAATGGCCACTTAGACGTAAAACCCTAAAAATCCTTCAAAATCACCAAAAACTGCTAATTTCCGCCCTGGTCCCATTAAAATTTTGATTTTCTCCCAAAATTTGCCGGAAAAACCGTGACGACAAAATCCGGGCCAGCCACCTTCTCCTCTTAGGGGCCACTATAGTGTTTTTACTGGGTAATAGTACTACTTAGGCTTCTAAAGGGGCCACTAAGTTTTATTCATTTGGGGGCCTCTAATTCGGCCACTATAATGGCCACTTAGACGTAAAACCCTAAAAATCCTTCAAAAACCCCCAAAACTGTTAATTTCTGCCCTTGTCCCATCAAATTTTGATTTTTTCTCTCTCCCGGAAAATCCGTGACGACCAAATCCGGGCCAGCCTAATTCCATCGTCAGCATGGGGATAAGCCAAAAAAGCTTGACGAAAATCAACATGAATTTTTCGACAAGGCGTCTAAGACGGATCGAAAGTCTAATCAAAAGAATGGGCGGTTTATTCGGGCCTGGATAAGCATTCAAACTACCATTTTCTCCGTCTTTTTTTTCGACGAAATGAATAATTTGAACAATTGAAGCGTTGGCAAATAAAAGCTTTGTTTGAGGAGAGGGAAAAATAATTTTTTTCAAGGCAGCTTTATCCGAAAAATGGGAGGATTTTCGTGTTTTTTTCAATTTTTTTCGGAGCGGAACTTGAGGATAGAAATGAAAAAAATTGGAAAAAAATTGAATATTTTTAAAAAAAGAGCATAAAATGATTGAAAAAAATATATTTTCCGTTAACTTAAATCCAAAAAAATCAAGGCGGAAAGGACGATTTTTTTAACAGAAAAATCTCAAAAAAAGTCCTACATTTTCTTATAAATTTGATCGAAAAAAACCAACAAAAAAATAAGAAAAAAATCGATTTATTACAAAAAAATAGCTCAAAAAAATGACCAGAAAAAAATATTTTTTTGCAAATCACTTTTTTTCATTTTTCTAAAAATTGGTTGAAAAAAAGATTCTCTACTTTAAAAATAACACCTAAAATGGAAATTAAAGAAAAAAACAAGCTGAAAAATCAAAAAGAAGGCCTCAAAAAGGCTTAAAAAAATGACTATGAAAAACACAAAAAAAGTCATTTTCTCTGAAATTTTTTTGGTTTTTTTCCCTGAGTTTTTCCACAAAAAAATATTTATCATTAATCAATAATAAGCTTTTTAAAAAAACATTAAAAAGAAGAAAAAAACCAAGGAATATTTTTCAAAAAAGTCACAAACGAGAAAAAAATCTCGAAAACTCATGAAAAAAATGGTCAATTCTCGCAAAAAAACAATGATCTTATCAAAAAATTGAATATTGAAATATTTCAAACTCTGTTGAAACAGCAAGTCATGATTCAAGTCAAAAAGGCTCAAAAAAATCTGAAAAAAACCACCAAAAAAACGGTTTTCCGACCAAAATCCAACAAAAAAACAGCACAAAAAAACACCTGCACGAATGATCAAAATAAAATTTTTGGAATATTTAAGATTTTGTTGAAACAGGAAGTCATGATTTTTCGAGAAAAAGCTCCAAAAATCGACCAAGAAAAGGATTTTTTTACTTGGTTTTCTTCACGAAAAATCAACAAAAATTTGAAAAAAATAACTCTTGATTTATCGATTAAAAATGAAATATTATAACAAAAAAAGTATACCCTACGTTTGAAAAAAACCTTCAAAACAACTCAAAAATCACCGGAAAAACGATTTTTTAAAAAATTATCACTACAAAATCCAAAAATTACATGAAAACCACCAAAAAAAGCCATTTTTTCCAGTTTTCCTGTCGTTTTTTTGGCCAAAATCCACAAAAAACAAGAAAAATCACTCTTTTTGAAAAATTTACAGGTATGAAAAACATTTATGCTTCTTTTTAATAGTCCTATTCTTCAAAAATAAACCTCCAAATGGACTCAAAAAAACTTCGAAATCGACCAAAAAAATCACTAAAAAAAGTACAAAATCCAATCGAAACATGAGGAATTTTCGAAAACTCCAGAAAAAAGCCATTTTTTTCCGATTTTCCTGTCGTTTTTTCGACCAAAATCAACAAAAAATACGAAAAAAATCACTCTTATTGAAAAAAGTACAGGTATAAAAAGCGAATATCTATTTTTTTAATAGTTCTATTCTTCAAAAATAAACTTTCAAATCGGCTCAAGGAACTGTAAAATCGACCAAAAAAACCCCAAAAAAAGTGAAATTTTACAGTTTTTTTCCGAAAAAAATTTTTAAAAAAACCACAGAAACTACAAAAAAACTGAAAAAAACGACCAAAAAAATCACCGGAAAAAGTAGATTTTTTTCTCAATTATCCCTACAAAAATCCAATCAAAACATGAGGAATTTTCGAAAAACTCCAGAAAAAAAGCCATTTTTTTTCCGATTTTCCTGTCGTTTTTTTCGACCAAAAATCCACCAAAAAACACGAAAAAAATCCTTCTTATTGAAAAAATTACAGGTATAAAAAAAGCATATATCCATTTTTTTCAATAATCATATTTTTTTCAAAAATAAACCTCCAAATCGACCAAAAAAACGCTAAAAAAAGTACAAAATCCAGCCAAAAACATGAGGAATTTCTGAAAACTACCGAAAAAAAGCCATTTTTTTCCAATTTTTCCTGTCGTTTTTTTCGACTGAATTCTACCAAAAAAACACGAAAAAAATCACTTTTTATGGAAAAAAATTACAGGTATAAAAAAACATATATCCATTTTTTTCAATAGTCCTATTTTTCAAAATAAACCACCGAATCGACCAAAAATTCACTAAAAATTGACTTTTTCTCAATTATTTTTTCAAAATCCAACCAAAACATGAGGAATTTTCGAAAACTTCAGAAAAAAAGCGAATTTTTCCGATTTTCCTGTCGTTTTTTCGACCAAAATTCAAAAAAAAACCCCTTGAAACCAAGAAAAATTACCCTTTGTTGGGAGAGTTGATGGTTCATGACGCTGTACTCCTCCTTGAGCCGCTCAAGGTGCTCCATGAATGCCGGCTTCATTGGCTTAATGCCAGTCTGCAAAAAAATGATTAATTAATTATGAAAAAAATGAACTGATTAGAGCCATAATTCAATTTAAAGCTATTTGAAAACTCAATTTCTTGATTAATTGAAAGGAAAATTGATGAAAAAGAACAGAAATAGAAAGAAAATGGACTCAAAAATGCAAAAACAAAAAAATTCTTGATAAAAATTTTCAAATTGGAAATGTAAATAGCTCAAAAAAATGTTGAAAAATATACTTTTAAATGATTTTTTTATTGAATTAAATATATTGAAATATGAAATTGAATGATAATTTGATAATTATAATGATGATATGACCCTGAAACGCACAAAAAAAGATTTATCATGAAAAAAATTTTTGACTAAAAAAATCGAAAAAAATCGAACTTGAAATTTAAAAAAACTTCCATACAAATAAGCCTAATTTGGAATCTTCAAAAAAAGCTAATTTTAATCAAAAAGTCAAGTGTTCCTTGTCTAAAAAAACTCATGAAACTGAAAAAAATTTCAATATAAAATTCAAAAAAATCAAAATTGATATTTACAGACTTTCGAGTGAAAATTCAAAAAATCAGAATTAAAAATAAAATTTTGATGAAAAATAGGCCTATCTGGACTTGGAATCTTCAAAAAATCAGCAAATTTTTGATTTTTTATCCAAAAATCGCAGTTTTCTCGTCAAAAAACCTATTAAAAATCCGAAAAAACGAGAAAATTCCTGATTAATTAGCAATGCTTTCGAGGCGGCGAGGAAGGGAAAAAAGGCTGTTTTTCTGAGAAGACGGCGAAGAAAATGAGGTCGAAATGGCAAATTAGCTCCATGGCGTCGATAAAATTCCCATTTCACAGATGGAAATTGGAGAGAGAATCGAGAAAATTGCCATGAAAAATTGATACGTTCTGAGCTTTTCAAAAGCTGAATTTTTGATTGAAAACGGAAAAATTGAGGAAATTGGATAGGTTTCTTTTTCAAATTTGAGGTCAAAAAATGAAAAAATTTGAGGGTTTCTAGTGAAATTTGTAACAGAAAACCATAAAAAAATCAAAAAAATTTTGGAGCCTAAAAATCACATATATTTATGAAATTCAACGAAAAAGCATCTAATCGAGGTCAAAAAAATGAGAAAAATTAGCACTTTTTGAAGTTTTCCAGTGAAATTTGCGACAGAAAAAGCAGAAAAAAATCAAAAATTTTCGATGATTAAAATCATGCATTTTTTTCAAAAAAATCAGCCAGAAGCTTCCATTTAAGGTCAAAAAAATGACAATTTTTAAAGTTTCCCAGCAAAAAAATTCAGAAAAAAAGAGAAAAATTGGCTTTTTTTGAAGATTTCCAGTGAAATTTACAACAGAAAAACGATGAAATTTGAACATTTCGATGATTAAAATCATGCATTTTTCAAAAATCAGCCAAAAGCTTCCATTTGAGGTCAAAAAATGAGAAAATTGGCGTTTTTTGAAGATTTCCAGTGAAATTTGCAACAGAAAAACAGAAAAATCAAAAAAATTCAGGCGTCTAAAAATCTATTATTTTCAGGAATTTCCATCAAAAGCTTCCATTTGAGTTCAAAAAAATGAGAAAATTGACATTTTTCGAAGTTTTCCAGCAAAATTTGCGACAGAAAAGCATGAAACTCAAAAATTTCAGAGCCTAAAATCATGTTTTTTTTCAAAAATCAACCAAAAGCTTCCATTTGAGGTCAAAAAATGAGAAAATTTGAAGTTTTCCAGCAAAATTTGCGACAGAAAAGCATGAAACTCATAAATTTCAGAGCCTAAAATGATATATTTTTTTCAAAAAAATCAACTATAAAAAAAGCATAAAATCGACTATTAAATAAACTAAAAAAACGTTGATTCTCCCATATTTCCTCCTAAACCGTGGGAGAAAAAGGTTAGAACAAGATTGGATCGTTAAAAAAATTGGGTTTATCGTGAGAAAACGGTGATAAAATCTCATTTCCAACCTTTTTTTTCGAATTCTAGATTCCAAAAAGCTTAAATTTAGACCTAAATAAAGAAAAAAAGCTCTTTTTAATTAAATAATCGAATAAAGAACAGAAATAGTAAGTAGAGGAATTAGGCTCATTTAATTAGCTAATTGAGACATTTAGGAATAAAAAAATACACTAAAAAGAGATTTCCAAGTCAAATTTTGAACAGAGAACTCCGTAAAAGACAATTTTCTAACTAAAAAACATCCAAAGCTTAATTCCAAACAAAAAATGCAGGTCTTCAAAGCTTCAAAGCTGGAAAAGGTTTCCGATCGGACCAAAAACTAAAGAATTTTCCAGATTTGACGCAGAAAAAAACAATTTTTCAGAAAAAGGATGGAAATCCTAACCAAAAAATGAATATAAAGAGTAAATTTGAAGTCAGGGAATGTATTTTTTAGCTTCAGATCTTGCAAAAATGCCTAAAACTGTAGAAATTCGCAGTTATAAAGCAAAAGCGACCAAATTTCAAACAAAAACGTCGGATTTTCATTTTTCAAAAGTATTTCAGATCGAAAAAATGAACTTATCATGTTGTTCTGAGAGCGAAAATCGGATTTATCTGGCTCAAGCCCTAAAAAACCCTGAAATTAGACGAATTCGGACAGAAAAAGGCAGCAATCTAGAAAGAATAACGAGCAAACGGTTGGATTTTCAAATTTAAATTCAAAAACTAAGCATATCATGATATTTTGGAGGCAAAAGTTGTTTTCATCTAGCTCAAGCCTTGAAAAATCACAAAAATCGACGAATCAAGCCAAATTTCGAGCAAAAAAAGTCGGAATCAAGTGGAATTTCCAAGCAGAAATGAGCTAAGAACAAATTTTAAGCATTTTCAAGATATACAGTGAAAATTTTCAACTGAAAACGAGTTCAGTGAAAGCTCCAATCAATATTATTCAATTAGAGCCTCAAAAAAACCCAAAAATGGCGAAAGAGACCAAATCGTCAAATTTCAAGCAGAAAAGTCAGTTTTTCGAGCTCCATAGTCTATATTTCCAGGCAATGAAGAGTTCAGAGGGAGATTTTGAAAGCTCCAATCGAAATTATTCAATTAGAGCCTTAAAAAACCCCAGAAATGACGAAAAAGACCGAAATCAAGCCAAATTTCGAGCAAAAAAGTCGGATTTTCAAGCTCTACAGTGAGGAGATTCAGGCAATAATGAGTTCAGTGTAAGCTCCAACCAAATTCATCAACTTAAGGCCTTAAAATACAACAGAATTAGACAAAAAAGAGCGGCAATCAAGCCGGAAAATTTTCGGAGAAAAGCCAGACTTCTCAAAACAAGACAATGGATGGAGAAAAGGGCTGAGTGAGAAGGAGGCCGAAGGAAGAGAAGAGGATGAGGAGGTAAAATTGCCAATTTGCGCTCCAAGCCACCACCAGTAGTATCGACGCGAATTTGGCGCGTCTTTTTTTTTCCTACTTCAAGGAAAAAGAAAGCAAAGGAGGAGGAGGAGGAGGTACACGCAAAGGAGGTTAGAACACAGAGGAAGGCGCAAAAAAAGGGGGGAGAAAAAAACGCACACCGAGGCCAAGTTGGTGGTGGCTATTGAGAGAGAGAGTGTGGGATGGCGGAGAGGGCGCCAGACGACGAGAGGAAAAACGAGAGATGGATAGTCTATTAGCTGTGGCGTGTGTGTGTGTGTGTGTGTGTATGTATGGGAGGAAAGCGTTCTTGGCTCTTTGCCCCCCTTTTTTTGGGCAATCCGATAATTAGGTGCCAAGTGATCGTCCTACCAACGTTTTGGCACTTTTTTCGCCAATTTTTTGGGTTTTTTGATAGTTTGGAAAGGCAATTTTGATGCTTCTAGGTGTTGCGAAAACGGAAAAAATTATGAAAAAATTGAAAATTTTGAGCTTTCGGTCAAATTTGAGCTTGAAAAAGAGGAAAATTTTAATGAAAATGGTTAAAAATGGGACATTTATTGATAAATATCTGAATATTCAAGTTTTTACGATTTTTTTCGTATTTCATTTCAGGTTCCTAGGTTCTTTTCGAAGTTATGAAGGCTTCAAAAAAAAAAAGCAAAAATAAGTCAAAAAATGACTTTTTCGCCAATTTTTTGGTTTTTTGATTGTTTGGATAGGCAATTTTGATGCTTCTACGTGTTGAAAAAGCATGTGAAACTTAGAAAATTATGAAAAAAATCGAAAATTTTCGATCTTTCTGAACAACTTTGAGCTTGCAAAAGAGGAAAAATTGAATTTTTAACTTTTTTTTCGAACTTCTTCAGGTTCTTAGATACTTTTCGAAGCTATGAACAGTTCAAAAAAACCTAGAAGTCAAAAAAATACCACTTATTGGCGCTTTTTTTCGCCAATTTTTTTCGGTTTTTGATTGTTTGGAAAGGCAATTTTGATGATCCCAGATGTTGAAAAAAAGCATGTGAAATTTAGAAAAAAATTATCAAAATAAATCGAAAAATTCCGCACTTGATGAACAAATTTGAGCTTAAAAAAAGAGGTAAGGTTGAATTTTTGAAAGCTCAAGAGTATCAGAGACTTCGAGAAAAAGAAAAAAAGTGAAAAATGACAACAGAGGGACTTTTTAGTTCTTTTCGAAGTTATAAAGGCTTCAAAAAAAAAAGCTAGAAGTTATGAAAAAAACCGAAAACTTTGAAATTGATGAACAAATTTGAGCTTGAAAACGAGGAAAAAGTGAATTTCTAATTTTTTTTCGTGTTTTTTAGATTTTTAGGTTCTTTTCGAAGCTATGAATAGTTCAAAAAAAAACCTAGAAGTCAAAAAATACCACTTATTGGCGCTTTTTCGTCAATTTTTCGGTTTTTTGAATGTTTGGAAAGCCAATTTTGATGCTTCTAGGTGTTGAAAAAAAGCGAAAAAAAGGTTAGAAAAAGTATAAAAAAATTTTTAAAATTCTGAGTTTTTTTGAACAAATTTGAAAAAAAGGAAAAAAAGTGAATTTTTGAGAGCGGGAGGCCGAAAAAAAGCTTTCGAGAAAAACGAAGAAAGTGGAAATGATAACAATGGGACGATACATTTTGATGTTTTTTTGTGTTTTTTTAGGTTCTTAGGTTCTTTTCAAAATTATAAAAGGTTCAAAAAAAGCTAGACGTCGAAAAAAATAAACCTTAGAAAAATCCATAAATCAAGATTGAAGAGAAATATTATTCTTAAGACAAATATGAAGTTGAAAAATAATGAAATTCGCATTTTTAAAAAGGCTTATTAGAAAGTTTCAAACAATAATAGGCGTTTTTTTCCGTCAAAAAAATATTAAGATAATCCCAAAAATTTGGTTCTTTTTCGATTTTTTTACATGTGTGAAACGTGAAAAAGAAAAATGAAACATATAATTAAAAATAAATAAGTCAAAATGAGTAACTGAAAACAAAAATAAGATAGGAAATGAGAAAAAGAGCAATTTTCGAAGGATCTCCGCCCCTTCTTAGGTTAATGCGATAATTAGGTGCCAAAAAGATCATCATCCCAAGGTTTGGCAGATTTCCCGGTGTTATGGGCGTTTGATTTGAGGTTACAAAGCCTCTGAGAAAATTTAAAAGTAGAAAAAGAAACTTGGAAATTTCGGTACCTTACTTTAAGGCTCAAAAAAAGAATTTTCGAAAAAAATTTCATATTTTAGAACCGCTCAGTTGACCAAACATATTGAAAAATTATTTCATAAAACTTGGACGAAAAATTCAAAAGATCATAGAAAAAAACACGAAAAAACAAAGCTTACGAATTTGTGCTTCCAACCGTTTGCATAGTTCCCGTTCATTTTTCATTCATACACGACGGAAACTCGGTTCAAGCCTTCAAGTTCAACTCAATGCTGAAAAACATTAATTTTAACGAAAAATAAAGAAAATTATAAAAGATTTGAAGAAAAAATGGAAAAGTTGGAAACTATCGTAAGATACAGTGCTTGGGTCGCAATTTGCGCGTGTATGCACTCATTTTAGCTACAGTGCGCATTTATTGAAGATTTTTGAAGTTTTGTTTTCCGTTTTCTTTATAAAAAATAAGCCTCGATCACCAAATGGTTGTTTAGGGTTTATCAAAATGAAAATCCGTGATCACCGAGCGGTTCTTAAAAGCCAAAACTGAAAAAACGGCAGGTTAATCTGAACTCGCGTTCAAACACCAATCAGAAAAGACAAGACAAGGTATTTACACGAGAAAACAAGGCGATTTGTGACACTTGTGGCGAGTAAGTGATCGATCACGGGTCTTTGAGTTCACGACATTTATCTTTATTTTTCGGTTCTCTCCGAGAGGGAAAAAATCCCCCAGCAGCTGGGAATATGAGGCTTAAAATGTGAAACGAACAAGACAAGGATTGAAAAGGCGAAAAAAGAATGAGGAGAATAATGCCGCGAGAGCCGCCGATGCGAAATGGGATCCCATAATCAAAATTATACAGCATTTCTTCGGCACGGCACACACACACACACATTATTTTCTTTTTCTTCTTCTCCGCTGTCTGAAACGAGACCGAAAAAAGAGCTCGAAATGGGTCTCGAGCCTCGAAATGAGCGGAAAAAGTGAATGGCAAACACGCATTCGTTGGGAGGCAGTTAATTCCCAGTTGGAATCTGGGCTGAGTGCTCTCTTGAGGGGTTGCTTAAGTGGTCCGAACGGTTTTGAAAGATTTGAAAGTTTTTCCATAAGGTCTTTGGAACACCAGAGTGATCTCTCGGGGAAAAAACAGCCCATATAAAAGGTAAAAAGTGCTCCCTTAAGGGGAATAACGTAAGTGGTTCCTATAAGAACTTTGGATCTGACCCCTAAGCCTCTGAAGCTCAAGTGGTCCCTTAAGGGAGTGATAGGTCCAACTTTATAGAAAAATTCGATTTTAAGTCTTCTACTAGCGTTTTCCTACTATTTCAGTGATGCGTTTTCGAAAATTTAGGTTATGAATTTTTTTTGATTAGAACCTAGCACCTTTGAGCTCAGAGTTTCATCGGAGCTTTGAAATTTTAATCAGAAAGAAGCGCTTATTAATAAATCTTCTACCTCGTCTAGCTGAAAAATCTAGGCCTCACTAATAACAGATCGTTTTTTTTCTGAAATCTTCCGGGCTTTTTAACTCCTCCAGCTCAAGTGGTCATGTTTTTCTCAAATCAACTACCTCCAGCTCAACTTTCAAGACTTTATGAGCTTAAGGTTCCTAGCAGGACCTCAGAGCTCCTGAAAATCGTCTTACTGCTGACAGGTCTCAGTTTCCTGAACTTTTCTAGGCCTGTCCTAGCTTCCAACTCCTCCAGCTCAACATTCAACTCTTCAGTAGATTCAGATCGTTATCAAAGTCTTCCTTTCTAGAAAAAAATCATGTTTTTCTCAAATCAACTACCTCCAGCTCAACTTTCAACGCTTTATGAGCTTGAGGTTGTTAGCAGGACCTTAAATTTGATAAATACTTTAGGTGTTCGCTTCTTCAAGTCAACTCCTCCAGCTCAACCTATCCTAGCTTCATCAGGCTGCCTTCGAGCTTCCCATTGTTTGTGGTACTTATCCTGGCTTCTACCTCCTCCAGCTCAACCTATCCGAGCATCTACCTCCTCCAGCTCAACTTTCAAAGGTTAATGAGCTTGAGGTTGTTATCAGGAGCTTGAAGTTGATAAAAATCTTCCTTTTTGGTATGTCAACCTCCTCCAGCTCAACCTCTCCGAGCTTCATCCTGCTGCCTTTGAGCTTTTCCTCGGAAGGGGGCGCCCCATAACATATTATATCCGGCGAGTGACAGCCGAAACCGTGGGAAGACAAATACCGATATATAATATGTAATGTACGTCCCGTATAAGGCCGTGAGGCAGACTCCAAGTGAATATATTATGTGTGTGAGGCGGGCAGCGACTTGTGGGAATGAAAAGCTAATGAGTGCTCCAACGGACAACAGCCTCCTCCTTCTTTCTTCTTTTTGTGGGTTTTTTTCCTTCCGAAGAAGGAGAGGAAATTGGCCGAGGCGCGCATTTGCTGGCCGAGAGACGGCCGGCTTGATGGAATAATTAGTTACACCAGGCCAGAGGAAGGAAAGCACACCAAAAACATTTCCCTTTGAGAGGAGAAGGAAAATGAGACTTCTTCAACCACCATTGTATACTCTTTCGAGGTTTTAAATCTAGAAAAAAAGCTTTTTTTGGTTTTATGAAATAATATGAGAATAAATAAGCCTATTTTTGATAGTTTCAAAAAATTGCTTTTTTTCGATTCTAGCCTCTTCAAAGCATAACTTTCAATGAAAAAAATATGATTCTAAAAAAATTGATTACTGTAGCCAGAAAAGCCGCAAACACACGCAAATTGCGTCCTAAACGCGGCCTTACGACAATTTCCTTAGTTTTTCTTCAAATATTTTTTTAATTTCCTTTTTTCTTTATGATATACATAACTTTCAAGTTTCGAAAAGTTGTACCGAGGTTTCGTCGCATACGAATGGATTTTGAAACAATCGTGGAATCATAAACTCGTAAGTTTCCATTTTTTTTTCATCCTTATTTTTATCATTTAAATGATATCTGATTTAAAGACCCTTTCTATGATGATTTTTAGATTGTGAAGTCCTGGTCAACATCTTCTAATTCTTCCAAAAATGTCAAAGTCAAAATTTTTTAATCAAAATTTGCAAAAAAAAGCTGATGTGGATATATCATGGGAATCACAGAAGCGTGAGGGAAATTTTTCGAAAATGAGAAAGAAATATTTTTTTTCTTGGTTCTAACGAGAAGTAGGATTATAATTTTCGGAAGAACTCACGTATCATTTTTGTTTTAAAAAAATCAACTTTTCTCATGTTTTTTTATCATTTGTCTATTTATCATATATATATATATATATATGAAGGGTTTAAAAATAAATGAAACTTTAACTTGCTTTGAAACTGGTTTAAATTTGAAATTTGATAGTATTTTTGAAACTTTTTTTGTAAAAGCAATGATCATTAGGGACTAACAAAAACTAGTCACTTAATTTTTTTCAGGGAATAAATGAACTTACTATTGCAATTTTTGTTTAAAAAAAGCGGTTAATTGGAAAAAAATTATTAGAATAACATCTTAGCTTCATATGAAAAATGAGGACTTCTAGTTTTTTTGAAATACACATTTTATAATAAAAAATATTAAAAAAATGTTGAATAGTGATATTTTTTTGGATGGAGATTCAAAGAATCATTATAGATTTTGGTAGAAGGGATGGTTAGAAAATGGCTTGAGACGCGTGTGCGGTCGCGTCGCGGATCAGAAATTGACGTAATTCGAAATTTAAGCTTAAAGGAAATGTCAATGAATATTAGAAGAGTAGGGAAAAAAGAAACCAGAAAGTCCAAGGAAGTAGAAAATATTGAATAGGAAGCGTTGCGGTCTCGTCGCGGCTCGAAAGATGACGTCATAATAGGGAAGGAGCCATGGAGAGAAATATTAGAATTTTTTGAAGGCCATCAGATATTACCGAGTTTAATATATTCAGAAATGGCTCAAAAAAAAAAGTAAGATGGTCCAAAATGAATTTTGATATGCGTTGCGGTCGCGTCGCGGCTCAGAAAATGACGTAATTTTAGTTTTAGTAGAATTTTCAGAGATTCACAGCTGTTATAGAGTTGGAATTGTTCAATAATCGATGAGAAGACTCAAAAAAATATTAAAGAGGATTAAAAAGTAGATTTTTACAATGCGTGGCGGTTGCGTGGCGGTCCAAAAAAATGACGTCATTTCAGTTTCAGCAGAATATTTTTTTAAGATTCTGAGCTGTTGAAGAGTTAAAAATTGTTCAATAGTCAATAAGAAGAATCGAAAAAAAGTAGAGAGCGATCAAATTTTTTTCAACGCGTTGCGGTCGCGTCGCGGCTCAAAAAAATGACGTCATTTTAGTTTGGAAAAAAAGTCAAAAATAATAAAAATCTTCGAAAAATTTCAAGCTTATTCAAGGATCAAATAACTAAATAATCAAAGAGAAGACTCAAAAAAATATTAAAGATAATCAAAAGTAGATTTCCCAACGCGTTGCGGTCGCGTCGCGGCACAAAACTTACCGGGAAAAGGCGCCGAAAAGCGTCCTCCTTGTGTTGCTGCGTCATGTCGAGTCAAATTCGCATCCGATTTCCGGAGCCGATTTTTCGGTTTCTCAACCGTTGGGTTTCTATGGTGAGGATGAAAAATTGGTGGATTCGCCTTGGAGATGCGCTTCCAATTAGCGTAAATTCCGGGTTTGCGGACTTTTTGGTCGGATTTTGGGAGGTCGGGGGGTCAGTTTTAGAAGGTCTTCTGAGGTCGAGTAGATCAGAACTTTTGGGAGTTTCAGTAGATCTTCGGAGAACGAAGCTTTGTTTCGGGCTTCAGAAGGCTTCAGACGACGTCAGGTTGCTTCAGAAGGCTTCAGATGACGTCAGGTGGCTTCAGAAGGCTTCAGATGACGTCAGAAGACTTCAGTTGGCTTCAGATGGCTTCAGATGACTTCAGACGACGTCAGATGGCTTCAGATGACTTCAGACGACGTCAGGTTGCTTCAGAAGGCTTCAGATGACGTCAGGTGGCTTCAGAAGGCTTCAGATGACGTCAGGTGGTTCAGAAGACTTCAGATGACTTCAGAATAAGAAAATTGAAGACTTTGCGATTTATAATGGAGCACGCCTTCAGAATATTGAAGTTTGACCTCAAGTCGATTCAGAACCGACTCGTAGCCCAGTAAAGACTGCAGAATAATTCCAGAGCTTCTGATTTTTTTCGACGTCTTCTGGGCTTTGAAACTTCAGAATCCCAGCTTCGAAGTATTTTTTGTCGAGGAGAAGCTCAGGAATACCTTCAGAATTCAAAAACCAGGACTGAAAAACGTCAGGAGCCCTTTAGAATATCCCGATTGGACAACAAAGCCAACGAGAAGAAGAAAAAAATAATAAAGTGGGCGGAGCTTTTGAGAATAATTTCGGAGGCAAAGTCGCGCCGCGGCGAAGATCCACTCAGCTTGAGCCGCGAAAATGGGCGTGGTCAAGAGCGGGGCGTGGTCTCTCCCGCCCTAATAAGGTAAAGCGATGCGCCAATTGAATTTGTCAAGGTTGGTGAGAGGGGCGGAGCCAGCCAATTAGAAGGCTTTGGCTCACGTTGATGAGCAAATTTTGTTAAGTTTGAGAGAGGAAATTTGAGATTTCTATGCGTTTTCGAGCAAGACTCGAAGGAAAAGATGTTTTGAAAGATTTTGGTCGCATTTGGAACGGCTTACAGCGTCAGGAACTTCAAACTGCGCAAGTCGTTTTTAGTCGGGCGCACTTTTATAGTTGCCGCAGAGCCATTCCAAAACGCGACCAGACGCTTGTAGTTTTTAATAGAAAAAAATCAATTAATTGAATATTTTTTTGAACTCGCTACCAGGTATAAAAAGATATTTGAAGACTTTGAGGTTTAGATGACATTCCTGCTTCAGAGATCAATTAAAAAAATATGAAATTTTTGAGATAAATTGTAACAAAATGAGTGAAAAATTCTTTGGAACGCCAGAGTGGCCCCTAAAAGGATTAGGGGAAAAAAACAGCTCATACAGAAACAAAAAGTGCTCCCTTTAGGGGTAAAACTTGAAGTGGTCCCTATAGGGAAAGATGATGTGGTCCCTAGAGGGGAACCTTTAAAAGCCCCTATAGGGACCACTCTAGAGTCACTAAGTTTTTTGATTTTAATGTTTTTTTCAAAAATCAATCCTTTTTGCGCGAAGCCGTTTCAGGTCGGGTGCACCTTCGATATGAAAAATAAAGCTTAACTTTTTCTGGCCGAAAAAAAGACGTTTGCAAGTTTCTTTCGAGAGGCTTTTGATGCAAATCAAATCATACGGCCTTGTGGGATTCTTTCACCAAGTGAATAAGGTTCTTCAAGAAAAATGAGGTATTCGAGGCAAAATTTGGCTTTTTTTCAAGCTGGGGACTCAATGGATCATATGGAAGTCTTTCCGAATACGTAGAGGGTTGAATTATCCAAAATTTCTCATTTTCCGTATCCGTTTCGCGAAAGTCGGTTTAGGTCGGGTGCAACTTCAAAAACCGCCGAAAATCCGAAAATCAGTCCACAAATATTTTTCTTTTATCGAAATAATGTTAAAATGTTTATTTTCGCTTCAGAATTCTCAATTTTATCAGAATTTCTAAAACTCTTACACCAAAAAATGAATTTTACCCCACTTTTGAAGTCGTTTTCTGCAAGAAATCATTAAATTTGCATGTCTTTTTCTTGGTTTTCCGGATCAGAAGATGGCACGAGCTCATTTGAAATGGAAAAAGCTGAGGGGAAGGAAAGAAAAAAGGAAAAATGGCTCGATTTCAAGTTGTTCCACGCACAATTTATACGTTTCGGGGACAAAAAAGCGAAAAAATGATGGTTTTTTGAACTTGAATTGTTTCTTTTTTGGACTAAAGTACATTAAAGTGTAATAGAACATTTATTTTTTTGAAGTGAAAAAAAGAAAAATTATTAAAAAGTTAGCTTTTTTTGGTCAAAATTTTTCCAAATTCAGGTTTTTTTCAAGATTTTTTTTCTATTTCGAGTCAAAGTTTTTTTTCTGCAAGTTTTGAACTAAAAAAACATTTTCCAGTTGAAAAATGACCCAAAAAAATAATTTTTTTACGGTATATTAACGATAAAAAGTAAAAGGAAACCATTTAAAAAAAGAAAAAAATTTTTTTCCTGATTTTGAGGTTTAGATGACATTCCCGCTTCAGAGATCATTTCGATTCAAAAATAATAAATTTTGAGATGATTTGCATGGAAATAGTGAAACTGCAACATTGGAATTCTAAAAAAATACTTTTTCCAATTTTTGATGACATGAGTAAAATACAATTAATCGAGGAAAATTATAAATACCTCGATTGAAACGGGAAAATGAGTTAAAATCATAGAAAAAGGCGAAAACAACAACACACATGTCCTTATAAGGGGAAAAGCTGATCAGCTCGGGATTAATCTCGAACTTTCGAGAAGTCCCGACTTTCTCGTCAATCCTCATCATCAAAGGTAGAATAAATAAAAAAACAACATCAACAACCTGTTTCAAGATAAAATAGGCTCCAAAAAACACGGCGATGCGTGGGTTTTTCCACGAGTTAGGTGGTCAAATAAGGGAATAAGGAATGTTTTTGAGGATTATTGAACTTTGAAAAATAACAGACAACTCAAATCGTACGATTTCAGTTCTTTTTTGAGGATTTTATTGGAGGGAAAAGTCGAAAATATTATTGTGAAATGGATTTTTCGAAATATGAAATCAAAAAAATACCTTCCAACCGGAATTTCAAAATGAAGAATGAATCAAGGCAAAGAAATTTCATTTTACAAAAAAATATGACCGCATTTGGAATGGCTCGCTTTTAGCCATTCAAAAATCGAAAAAGTCATGAAATTCTGGAGGTTACATTGAATTACTGTTTCAAGTCTTGATCATAAGTAACATTATTCCGATTCTTAGATCAATAAATTGAATCTCACTCTGTAAACTTATGACCGCATTTGGAATGGCTCGATTTTCAAAAAACCAGGGTTATTTTCTATGCCCAGTTTTACAAAAGTGGGAGCCCCGATAATATAAAAAAAGAAAATGTATCCCCAGAAAAAAATTCTACGGAAGTTTCGTGAAGAAAATCATGAGTATTATGGGAAAAATCTAGAGAAATAAGCTTTTAAAAATATGAATAATGTGGGATTGGACTATGAAAGAAAAAAATCAGGAACGGCAAAAAAATAGAATTTCTGATACACTAGAAGCTTCGTAGATCCACGAAAAAAATGAAAAAGAAAAAAAGATTAATTTTTGACGGTTATATTAAGTTACTGTTTCAAGCATTCATAAAAAATGAATTACCGGTACACTAGAAGCTTCTGTAGAATCATAAAAAACGGAAAAAAAAGAAAAATGACGAAAATTGCAAGAAGAAACGACTTGACAAGGTCGGATGGCGTACCTGACTAATTGGGAAAGTTCACTGGTCGACTTCTTTTTTTCCTTTGGCCCCTTCTTTTCGGCGCCTTGATCCAATTAATGTCACTGAGATTCGTTCACGTTTCTTCGTTCTGCAACAATTTTTCGTTTGGGATGCCGGAAAAGGATCGAAAAGTGGCGAAAATTCGAAAAAATCGTACAAAAAGGGGGTGGAGAATCGCTTTTTAATCATATTTAATATATATACGGTGTTGATTTTGAAAAAAATAAGATCGAAAAAAAGGCCTTTAAAATTGCTTTAAAAAAAAGCTGTGAAAAAAATGGCCTTTCCATACAAGGCTTTTTGCGCTCCACGGATAATTCTTCCAAATTTTCAAAAAAAATTTTTTTAACTGTTTGAGCAGTGTAGCTCAAAAACTCACGATTTTAAAAAATTAAAAAAAACTCGGAAAAAAATAACCGCGACGTTTTTTGCTCCAAGGAGTAATCACAAAATTATCAGTAGAGCGCACAAAACTCAATCATTTTAGGAAAATTTCAAAAATGGAGAAGTTATTAGAGAGCGTGGGAAAAGTGGAGGGAGCCACACATAAAAAATTTTCCCGGAAATTGATCACAAAGACAGTTTTTTATGCATCCGACTTGAAACGGCTTTCGCCAGAATGCATCAAAAAGCATTGGAGAGCGGCCGCGACACTTCGAGCCATTCCAAATGCGGCAAAATTTTGAATCCTAAACAAAATCCGTCCCTTTTAGAGGATATTTTCAAAAAAACTGATTTTTCCGCAATTTTTTTTATTCATCGTATCAAGTTTTCCAATCATTCTCTTGGTCAGAAAACCTTGTTGAAACAGGAAAGTCGTCTAGTGCCGAGAAACCTCGGGATATACGTAGGGACCGCAAAGCCACGCCCCTTTTCGCGATAGAAAAAGTGGCTTTTTTTTGGTTTTCAACTTTCATTTTGTTGTAGTTGCAAAATATGTGGAACTGGCGAATAAAATTCGACACACATGTACAGAAAAGCTTCCTCTTTCGTTTAAAAAATATTTCACGCTTTCTTGATGCGTTCTCGCGGAATGTCGTACAAAAACGTGAATGGAACTAAAAAATTTTGTCATTTTTCGCTTTTTCATGTGTTTTTAGGTCGAACGCACTCTTTCTTTTTTTAAATAATGATTTTGATTCAAGTAACGGTAATTTTAAAACAATAAAAATAAAAAAATTCGTCTTTGCCAAAAAAATTTTAGGGAGCGCCGAAAGTCATAATTCAAAAATATCGTTAATAAGCGAATATAATCGAGTTTTTTTGTTTTTTTCAAAAATTTAGACCATGGTCTTACTTAAATTTTTTTCTCCACAGCACCTGTGCTTGAAAAAAAGTTGTTTAATACGCAAAAAAACGCTCTTGAAACTAGAGAAAAAAATTAGCGGCGTTTATCACACAGAAAGCGGTCGAACGCAGGTTTTTTTCAAATGATTATATACATTTATTAGTAAAAAAATCTTTCAATTAAAAAGAATAAAAATAAAAAAATTCGTCTTTGCCAAAAAAATTTACGGGGCCGTTTTAATGCAGCGATCGTTAAACGAGGCAAAAAAAGCACTAAAAAAACAGTTTTTTTCGAAGTGAATTTCCACGAAACGTTTGAGTAAAGATTTGCGAACATATTCTGATAAAAAAATAGCTAAATTACTTCAAGTTTTTTTATTTTTTTGAAATAGGCAATCTGTGCTATTCAAACGGCTCAAGGGTATGGCGGATGGAAGCTCCC